GAGAGAGAGAGAGAGAAAGAGAAAGAGAAAGAGAGACTGACTGGCGCAGCTGGCGCAATCCTACCAGGAGCTGCTAGAGTACGTGGATAGACTCCCCAGGCGTGTTGACAAAAGGCATTGGAGGTGCTGACAGCGCAGCGAATTCGCCAACCCCGAGCTCAAGTCGGTCGGCAATTACACCATCGGCCGGCTGATCGGCAAGGGGTCGTTTGGCAAGGTGTATCTGGCGACGCACAAGTTGACGAATGGCTCCAAGGTGCGCCCTCCTCATTCCAACATATCTCATAGGATCATAGGCATCTAGCTTGCCGCTGACAGCACTAGGTCGTCCTCAAGTCTGCGCGAAAAGAGGACTCCAACCTCGCCCGCGAAATCCATCACCACCGCCAATTCATCCATCCGCACATCGCACGCCTCTACGAAGTCATCGTCACCGAGTCGCTCGTCTGGCTCGTCCTGGAGTACTGCCCCGGCGACGAGCTCTACAACTATTTGCTGAAGCATGGACGATTGCCGGTCGAAAAGGTACAAAAAACATTCGCCCAGCTCGTCGGGGCGGTCTGCTACGTCCACCAGCAGCAGTGCGTGCATCGCGATCTGAAGCTGGAGAATATCTTGCTGGATAAGCACGAGAACGTCAAGTTGTGTGATTTCGGGTTTACGAGGGAGTACGAGGGCAAGGCGAATTACCTGCAGACGTTTTGTGGAACGATATGCTACTCTGCTCCAGAGATGCTGAAAGGGGAGAAGTATGCGGGAGAGAAGGTCGACGTCTGGAGTTTGGGTGTGATTCTGTATGCCCTGCTCTGCGGCGAGCTGCCGTTCGATGACGATGACGATAATGTCACGCGGCAGAAGATCCTGACCGAGGAGCCGAATTACCCCGATCATATCCCCCCGGAGGCGCTGAGCTTGCTCAAGTCGCTGCTCTCAAAGCGGCCGATTCTCAGACCCAGCTTGCCCGACATCCTCGCGCACCCTTTCCTCGCCGACTACGCGCCGCAGCAGCAGGAGATTCTGCGCGTGTCCCAGCCGGAGCCGTTCTCCACGCCGCTCGAGAAGGAGACTCTGCATCGGATGCGCTGCGCCGGCGTCGACACCGATTCCGTGGTCGAGAGCGTGCTCGCGCACCGATGCGACGCTCTCGCCGGCTGGTGGGCCCTGCTCATCGAGAAGGAACAGCGCAAGCAGAGAAGGAGGGAACGTAAACGGAGAGAAAGGGAGGCAGAAAATCGGAATTCGAGACGCTTCTCCCAGGCGTCGAGCAGGCTGAATATGCTTGCTACGGTTGAAGAGGCGGGGCAGGTGCCCAAGTTGGGGGATCCGCCGCCGCCGCCGCCGCCGCCGCCGCCGCCGAGGACGAGGGGGAGGAGCGAGAGGAGAAGTGCGCATTATCCTAGTTTGACGATCCCAACTACGCCGGATCTTGAGGACCGATGCAGGGGGCCGCAGAGTCCGGCTGATAGCGAGGTCCCCCCGCCGCCGATTGATAAGGATTCTATCAGGTCGGCGAGCACGAGCCGGCAGAGGAAGCCTATACCCCCGCCAAAGGAGGGCGTCATCCGGAGTGCGCGGTCGAGGGGTTCGACGCTGCACTTGGTAACTACTGGGGACGCGCTGGATCCGAATGTAGGTTGTGGACCGCAGTCTTCTGGGGGTGATGGCAAAAAGGTGAAGAAACGGCCTTCGCACGCCATCATCAACACCTGGAAGAACTGGACGCACTGGCTGTTTGAGAACACGCGCCGGAATAAGCATGCTCGGAAGCGCAACTCCCAGTCCTCTCCGGATTTGTTGGCCAAGACGGCTGGAGGAAAGATCTCCAAATCCAAGGATACCCTCCCCCGTCCGCAGACAAGCAAGTACCCCGTCAGCTCGGCGTCGTCCGCGCCCAAAGCGAGCTTGCCTAAGGGCGTCGTCGCAAACGGGTTCGCTTCCCGCTCTGGGCTCGGCACCTCCTCCTCGGCAAATGCCCCTCCTTTGCAACTCCATCATCAGCCTGTTTCTTCCGGGCTGGGCACCCCGCCTTTGATACCGGGAGCCGGAGGGGCTATGGCAAGAATCCCGCCCGCTTCCAGTTCCTCCGCAAACCGTGATTCCTACCCCAAGCGGCACTCCCTCTCCCCCTCCCCCCTGACCCCCCGCTCGTCGGCCGCAGTCCGCCGCTCCTCCTCTGGAGTGGGCGGCCTCCGCGGCCGCAAGTCCACTTCGTCGAGCATTTCTTCGGTGCGGAGCATCCCGCCTGTGCATCACGCGCATCATCATTCCCATTCGCATTCCAAAGCGAGCTCGACCTCCTCCACGGGAAGTGTGTCTACCAGTGTGAGCAAGACCCCGCTGCATACACGCAGTCCGCATCATAGCGTCAAGGTTTTGCCCGCTACGCCGGGACATGTGCAGGGCGGCCTGCTGCCGAGTAATATCCGGTTGGTGAGGGAGAAGGGGGGACCGCCGTTGGGAATTCCGCTGCCGATCTACACGGGGGAAACGCCGGGTACACCCGTACGGGCGGGGGGAGGTGAGATAGGAGGAGGGGGGATGCAGCCCCCCGGGAGCCCGAATCCTTTCACCGGCGTGGGCGGTGTGATGTTTGCGAAGAGGAAGAGGAATATCTTCAAGGGGCCTATGCTTAGTTTTGCGAGTGTAGGTGCGAGACGGGGGGAGAGGGGGGATGGTATTGTCAGGCATGAGAGGAGCGGGAGTATTGGACGCGGGGTGAGGCAGGGTGCTGCTGGAGGGGAGGGGGCCATTCAGGAGGTGGATGAAGATGAGTATGACCTTGCCGATTCTGCACCCGGAAACCCGTACTCGATGGGTATGAGCGGGACCTTCGGGCCGGGATACAGGGGAAGTTTTCATGCTAGAGGAAGTCAGATTATGGAGGAGGATGAGCCGCTGGACGGTAACGGGCTTGGTGTTGGTGTTGGTGTTGGTGTTGGTGTTGGTGTGGGGGAGGAAGAGGAAGAGATTGAGGAGGTCGATTCTTTTGCTCCTATAGTGAAAGGTCCCGGGGAGATTGTCGAGGAATTAATTTATGAAGAAGGGGAGGAGGTGCCGGCTGTGGTGAGGAGGGTTGGAGATGGGGACGATGCAGGACCCGGGCCGGTGTTTTCGACCCTGGCTGGGGCAGGGAGCGCTGCGGGGCTGGACTCATGCTCGGAGGTTACGATTAAGGGGTGTGTCTCGTCCGTGTTGGGAGGATCTCTGGTTCAGGAGCCGGAGCAGGCGCAGACGGAAGAGGCTCAGCCTCAGACTGGGCTGGCTGAGAGCGAAGGGAAGGGCAAAGGGAAAGAGAAGGAGAAGCCTGCTGAGGTGAAGGGGTTGGCCCCCTCGCCGTTGATTACACCCATGTCAGCGTCAACACCCAGCACGCAACCCCCTTCTCCGATCCAAGCCCAACTTTTGTCCCCGTCTCCGGCTCGTTCTCAGCCTCAACCTCAAGTTAAGGACGAGGAGCAGATCCAGATCCAGATCCAGGTGCCCCCTGTGCCTGCCAAGGACAAGGAGCAGGGTCAGAGTCAGAGTCCCAAGAGCCCCAAGTCTGCCGGGGCTGAAGGTGGGGGGAGTAGTTCCAGTTGACGGTTACTTGCCTGGCGAGGCTTGAGGATGGGGGTTAGCTCGCCGGGCAGTGGGACTACTAAGGAGAAGGGGAAGAGGGGAATGAGAAAGGTTAGTGTTTAGCGGGTGGGGAATTAATTTGAGGCTAGGGATGGTATAAGTTGGTTGTGAGATGGATGGTGTGACTGTGACTGTGGGAGTTGACCAAGGGTGTTTATTGTTTGGAAGTTGTGATGTGCGTTTGGTTAAGAGAAGTTGTCGAGTCAAGTCTAGAGTGTGTCTCTCTTTTTGTTTTTTGTTTTTTGTCTTCCTAACATCGGCTGCTGTCTGTTTACCATTCATCATGTTGTATGATACCTACTGCTCGTCTGTCGTTTTTTTTTTTTTCCCTTTCTGTTGTTTGTTGTCACTAAGAGGTCTCGTCTGGTCTGCATTTCACTTCCCTTTGTCTGTCTATATGGCTTTACTTGCCAACGGAGTCTGGAGTTGGAGAGGGGATCGGAGGATACCATATCACGTTTGCTTCTTCAGTTTCAACATTACTTCTAGATAGCATATCTTGTTTTTGTTTTGTCAGCTATAGCCAGGCTGCTGGTTAGGTAGCTTTTATATCGTATGGGTTCTAGTTTCTATATATATATATATATATATATATAGAAGCTTTTTCAATTCGGACGCCAGATATACCTATCTTTGCTTCTATCTCCTTTATCAAGTATCGGTCACCGATTTCTCACGTCAGGTGCAGATAGCTATATGAGAGCTCAGCGACTGGAAGTAGTTTATCTGAGTAGGCATTGAGCTATTCCTAATTATGGTAGGGAGCTCGGTCTTCCGGAGATGCGGCATGGGTTATGCATGGTATGAGTAATGGGCTAGAAATCCTTGACATTCTGTCGATGTGGATGGAAACCCTTGACATCTGTACCTACACAGACACAAGCACTTCGGAGACTGAGTCTTGAGGATGAGAGTTGGTTGTTCATACTGAACGAAACCCGACAGATTTGTCGTTTACACAAGGGTCATGGAGTTCCTGGCTAAAAAGGCATAAGGCCTATACTTCTCTTTCATGTGGGTTGAGTTTTGTTCAGGCGATACTTGGACTTGATGTTCAGAGCAACAGCTAATACAAGACAACACCAGTTGCACAAGCTCTTTTCTTTTCTTTTCTTTTTCTTTTTTTTTTCAATGATCAAATTATGTGGTTTATTTTTAGAAAAATAAATATTATATTCCTGTTGACAAACCCCTAAATAACCGGCAAAGATTCGCGATCAAGAACAAAAATTCGGCGTCTTAACGCCCAAAAACAAGCCGCCAAGTCTCCTTTTCTCCCCTGCTTCCAGAACTCCAACCCCCTGCAAGCTCAGCGGGAATCACCCCACCAGGCGGCCCCTGGCGGCGTCTCAGCGCGTCGATTGGCTGCGCCGAACATGCGATTGCTCGTCCCATGTCGTCAGAGCCAACAACGCCCTCAGCCTGGGCTTTGGGGACTGGACTGCCCGAGAGGAGGAGCAGGCTGACCCGAAAGTCGACTTTTGAAACAACTTTCTTTTTTCTTTTCTTTTTTTTTTCCCGCATCGATAAGCTTCGCGTCGTTCTTTGTAGACTCGGTTAGGGTCCGGCATTTTTGCCTTTGGAGTCGCTATTTTACATCATCACGGCAGACTTAATAGCACCGGATCTTTTGAGATTTTGCAACGTTTGCGACTTCGACTTGACGAGGCGAGGTGAGACGAGACGAGACGAGACGGGGACTGCGACGACTGCGCTTATTATCTTAACAGCCGCCGTCGATCATCCATTTAGCAGCATATCTATCCGCCTCGATACCTGCGCGACGACATCCATACCTATCTCCCGTTCCATCTCCAACAACCCAAAACTCTCCGTCTCCTAGCGCTACGCCAACCGGCGCAATGGCGCGCCGTCAACACCTAACCCTGACGCTCCTCGGCGTCATGCTTTTCCTCTCCCTCCTCTACATCATGTCCTCCTCTTCCAGCTCACAGTATCCGACCCGTTTTGGCAGCGACTACACACCTCAGCAACAACATGACGCCGTCCATCACGAGCATGAGCACGACCATGCCGGTGATACAGGCAGCGCTGGCAGCGGACTGGGGACGTCCTTTGTGCCGGAGAGTATCCTCCACGGAGGTGCGATCGCGCCTAAGTTGCCTAATGCCACTGCGAGGTTTGTCTTGTCTTCCCTTACCTCCTGTCTGGTGCCCTCCCCCCCCTTTTTCCCCAGGCTGAGCGCTAACGTGGATATGTGTTGTTGTAGAGCCGAGCTAGGCCGCGCCTCGTGGAAACTCCTGCACACGATGATGGCGCGCTTCCCCGAACACCCGACTCCCGACGACCAACTCGCCTTGAAGACATACATCCAGCTCTTTGCGCGGCTCTACCCGTGCGGCGACTGCGCGGCGCACTTTCAGAAGCTGTTGGCCAAGTACCCGCCGCAGACGAGCAGTCGAAACGCGGCGGCTGGCTGGGCGTGCTTCGTGCATAATGAGGTGAATAAGAGACTGCATAAACAGGAGTTTGATTGTAGTAAACTGGGGGATTTTTATGATTGCGGATGTGGGGAGGAGCCAGTAGAGGGGCAGAAGAAAGGAGGGGAGCTCAAGAGGGATTAGGAAGAATGGAGCGGGGAAGTGAAGGAAGGAGGAGATGTGTTAATAGTTGGGAGTTTTGAAGCTTCAAGGTAGTATATGTGTTTTGAGGAAGGGTCGCAATCTGGGTGTATCGGGGTACAATCGCGGAATTAGGCCGCCGCTGTGTACAATTCTTTTTCATTCTAATAGTTAACATACTTTCTGAACGCGTGGTTGTACCACCTCTCACTTGACCTTCACACCCTTCATTACTGAATTACTTGACCCTGACACGGGCCCTCTATACCTGATCCTGATCCTGGTACCTCATGATATGATGAGCACCCTGTTGGCCGATAAGATAAGAAGTGAAACCTCACGTGATCTGCGCGCATGGGCTGCCGCGCCAGGCGGTGGCAGTAGGCTGGGCATGCGTGTGCCAGAGCTGCCTTGAGCTTGAAGCTTTGATGGATGTTGGACAGCTCCAACCATCATCATCACTTGTAGATTTGACCGACCACGACTGCCTCTTCGCGACGAATTTATGCCCGACCGATTCGACACCGTGGATTTCGACTCGACTTCAAAAACAACATAACGAACGAGGAACCAATAGTAATACAACAAAAAAAAACATGGAATTCGGCACGACGGGCTGTCTCAGCGAAGGTCCGTTAGACGCAGTGACACCCCACCTTGGATGGGAGAGGATGAAGGGTTGACACCAAGGCGTAGATGGCATCCATTTGGATATGGATCGGTTGAAGAAGGGTGAGGTGAAGTACGTTTTCGAACTCTCCTTAACTCTCTAGAATTGAGCGACTGACTGACTGTTCCCAGCCTGGGTACCTCGATGTAAGCGCCCCGCGACCCCTCCACGATGCGATGCGAACAATCAATGCCTAACACCCCATAGCATGGCCGTAACATTTAAAGACGGCGTCATCCTGGGTTAGTCAGTTACCATACAGAACCAACCTTTCTCCCCCCTTCTCCCCCCCCCCCTTTTTTTTTTTCTCTCTCCGTATCAGTCCCGACTGACCCATGCTCCCCTCCCCCTCCCCAGGCGCCGACTCCCGCACGACAACCGGCGCATACATTGCGAACCGAGTCACCGATAAGCTGACGCAGGTGCACGACACCATCTGGTGCTGCCGATCCGGTTCGGCAGCCGATACTCAAGCCGTAGCAGACGTCGTCAAGTACCAGCTGGAGTTATTCAGCATGATGAACGGGCGGCCGCCGACGACGCAGACGGCCGCGGCCATCTTTCAGGAGATTTGCTATGCTAACAAGGACATGCTTTCGTACGTCCCCTGATATACACCCAACATGACATGCACTTTCTGTGGGCTACATGTCCTCTTTTTATTGAGGATATACTGACACTACGTTTGCAGAGCCGGCCTAATCATCGCCGGCTGGGACCCCCGCCACGGCGGGCAAGTGTACAGCATACCGCTAGGCGGTTCCCTGCACCGCCAGGCGTATGCGATTGGCGGCTCTGGCTCGACCTATATCTATGGCTACTGCGACGCGCACTGGCGCGAGGGCATGAGCGAGGAGGAGGCGGTGCAATTTGTCAAGGGCGCGCTGCGCGAGGCGATCAAGTGGGATGGTAGCTCGGGCGGTGTCATTCGCATGGTGGTGTTAACGGAGAAGGGCGCGGAGAGGCATTTGTATTTGCCGGATACGGATTATCAGGTTCGGCATGCTTAGGTGCCTGGCGGTCGGGGTTGGGGGTAGACTCGCTTGGGGTTGTTGGCAAAGGCCTGACAGGGTTAATGCGAGTAGGAATGGGAATCATGACTGGGGGGCCTAAGGGCTCAACTGGGAGTCGCGAGGTCTTGGACATTTCGGCATCTATCTAACCTGGTGACGGATTAACAACTGTTGGGATGGTGGGGGGTTCTGTGCCCTCCTAACCAGCTTCACCCTGTCCTGGTGTCCTGGTATCCTCTTCACGGCAAACAAAAAACGACCGACTCGATCCCTTACCGCAGTGACGCTACGAACACACTGATGGTATGGATAGGTGTGAAATGGGCGAATGGCACACACACATCCTTCAGACCGACCTCCCGCCGTCCTCAATTTCTCGCTTCTCCCCCCTAAGAAAGATGGACATGCCTATCCCCCAAAGCGACAAACTCGGACATGCAATGAGATTGACAGCTCAGAGGGGATGAAGAGACAGGCTGTCCTGCGGGCCTGACTTTAATTCCCCTGAATTCCCCCCCCCTCCCCTCCTCCCCCCCTCCCCCTCTCTTCCTCTTGGGCATAGCGCCCTCCTGAAAAGGCCCACGACCTCTCATGCTACGAGCATGATTGCAATCACATTATAAGAGACATATATGCCTGCAGCTTATCTGCAGTCCCATTCCATCAACCTTCTGGTTTTCAGATCTCATCCAGGAGACTCTGAGGACAAAACGTAACACCCTTGCCCTTTGCGATAAGTATGGAAGCGGATTGTGATGGTGCGTGCCCTATGGTCGTGCAAAGTTCCCGTGCCGGCGGAAAAGCACAATGTGCCTGCAGCTCGTCTTCACCTCCATTTGCTTACACCTTGCCCGTGAAAATCTTACTTATGGTACTACTACCCAGCACCCTCGCGATCTAGCTGGGATCCAAGCTCATCTGTAAATGGTTCTTCGAGAGGCAGAACTGAGAGGTTTCTGGTGAAACCGTAGCAGTGGCTGCAGGCCCAAGTCCATAAGTTTTACCCCTCGTATCATCTTACTCGCATAAGTAGCCAGCATTCAGAATTCACTTACTCTAGCTATGGATGACTCTTTCAGAAGCCCTCAGCTCTCCTCAGCTCACCGTTGAGGTTGTAATGCAGCCCAGGCATTGCCTTAAGTACCTATACGAGCCCCCTAGCGACCAACCTATATAACCTTTCCTTTCCTCGCCGAAGACATCGGTGCGCTCCTCCATACACACACATATCCAGCCAGTCGGATCCCGCCCACGGCAGTCAGCAGCGTTTTCCTTTCTGTCTCTCTCAGCTAACATTTCTCTCAAGGAAAATGCGGTTTGTCAAGGTTTCTCCACGGAACCATGGATGTGGTGCAGTCGGGTTCCGAAAGTTCTTCGCCGTGGCATGTCCCGGCCTGGCCTAGGGCCATGCAGATGCAGGTACAGCTGGCATGGGTGCCATCCCACCATCAGTAGCTTGGAGGGACGCCACAGCTTCTGCTCGCTGTGGAGAGAGAGCCCTGTGGGAAAGACAAAGAGTATTCTGCTCTGTAAGCGCCCGCTGAGCTGGAAAAAAAAAAAAAACAGAGGATTTGACCTCGCAGTAGATAGGGCTGAAATCTAAAGTTTGTACCCGAAGACCCTCGGCCCTGCAATGACGTGATTAGGCGGTGAGCAGTTCAGTAGGGAGATCTAGCACTCCATTTTAGAAGAGGTTGGTGGAGTGTGCCACAACTGGAGAATGGAGGTTGAAAAGGGACATGTTCCATTAAACGTTGGAGTGGAAATCTCCAGCAGGAGGGGCTTGGCAGGGGTGGGGATCAAAGAGAGAGAGAGAGAGAGAGGGATGGATGGGAAATCTGAACTTCTGGGACCATGAAAACTTGTGAGTTGAATGAGGAAATCTCTCCTCGTGCAAGTCAACCCTTGGGAGAGGTCCTCACAAACATCCCAATCGGCATTGGCATCCCACGTCCCTTAAAATGACCGATGAGTGAGAGCCTGCCACGAAGACATGCATCATGAAAGAATCCCAGTCCACTCAAGTCGGGATAGGAAGCGTTGTGGGAGACGAGCGGTGAAGAAAGCACAGGCAAAGCTCCAAACTGCAGCAGCCGACGATTCGGCACCGGCAGGCAGCCCCGCCCCCATTCGCTGCGTCGCAGTCGCAGTGCTGTCCACCACTCACTGTCCATAGCTCGCTCAAAAACTCGAGGTCGCCCTCTTGGCCCCTCGTGGGAGCGTCGCGCGCTGGGATTGGTCGATTCTTGAGTTCGAGCGTCGGCTGGAATCTCAATTTTTAAATCTTCAGGTGATCAATAAACAATAGCACTGTACTATGTAAGATGGCACAATGGCATGTTTGTGATCTGGCGATCTCGTTGTCAAGACCTGTCTCCCCCGCAACAACTCGGGATTCCCTGATCTCTGGGTCTTCTTGTCATCCCATCTGATCCGGGGGGGCATCTCGAGAAGTCCAGGAGAGAGAGAGAGAGAGAGAGAGAGAGAGAGAGAGAGAGAGAGGAGGGAGGGAGGGGAGGGATCGGGGCTGCCCGGCTGGATGGCGTTGGTGGATTGGCAGAGCAGCGTTCCATGGATCCAGCACGTCAATGCCGGTGGGCCTCGGGAGTGTCCATGATGGGCTGGTCAGACCGGGCCTTTTACTGGGTGGTGGTGAATGTTGACAGGAGAGGAGAGGATTGGAGGGCCTCTGCGTGTGAATGGAGAAGAAGATATCATCATTGCTATCGATATAAATGTAATTGTGACAATTTAAAAGTTTACAGGATTTCCAAATTCCTAACCCCATGAAAGAACTTTGAAAAAAAAAAAAAGAAAGCGAGAATGATGATCTGCAACCCTCAAGCACAGCGGCCGTGGATCAGATGCAGCTGGGGTACTGGCTCACACGTGGCAAGGGGAACAAGGCTAAGGTGGCAGTTCAGGTGGCCCGCCAAGCTCACGTTATCGCAGCCAATGGGGTCATCGCACGGCCTGCTCCTGATATGATAAAGCAATCATGCCGGGGGTCTGGGCACTCCAGTGAAGACTGATTGCTGGAGGAATGGATGGATGACTTTTGTATTGATGTACATCCATTCCATTTCTGAGATTTTGAGATTGTCGACATCAGGTCGACTTTGAGTCCAGTGTTTCCCAGGCTACCACAAGCAGCAAGCAGCGTCGAGGCCTGGTGAATTAGGCCAACAGCACGAAATCAAACACTCAACTTGAAAAAAAAAAAAACAAGAAAAAGAAAATACAGCGAAGCAATCGTGCTCTCGCCGAGTCAGAAATTCAGCAATCAACCACTCACACTCGCGCTTAGCCTTCTTCATCCCCTCAGTCCTCACACAGCCATCGCCGACAACTCCTGCCCGACGCTTCATAGCCCTGAGTCTTGCACGACCTTCCCATCTCGCCATCCCGCCACTTGAGGCCTCACGATTAGCCCTCCTTTTTACTTGACTTAACTCCCTCGACTCGCATGCGCGCAAGTGTGCAGACACCTTGGTAAGTCTTCTTTTCGTCTGGCTTCTGACCCGGATGACGTCGCCCCCGACTCCGACATGACTTAATTCATGCCACTTTGCGACCCTACAAACTGTCCCCAACCGACGACGACGACGACGACAACGACGACGACAACGACGACGACAACGACGACGCCATCTCCTGAATACGTGCATGCCTGTGAATGCATTTTGTGCTTTGTCCGCTTTGTCACCAACAGCTCTTTACATTACATTCCCCAAAATTTCCTCGCTGACAGCATCCTTGGATTCACCTCGCCCTCCGTGCCAGTGCCGGCCCTTTATCGTGCCAAAACTTGCATTTGCTAACACTGATGCGACGCTGCAGCCGCTAGCCCTCCAGCCGAAAGAGAGACCTCGATCCCGCAGCGACAGCAGCAGCCCGTTATCTCGGCCGCACAGCCACTGATAAGCCCGACCGCTTTGCAACTTCTCCTCCTCTTCCTAGGAGTAGAGACAACCACCATGGCCGCCATCATCGGCGACGTTTTCGACTCGTCGGCACGCTTTGGTGTCATCCGCGGCCACTCTCACTCCCACGACATCGATCTCTGCGGGCAGCGCTCCGTCAGCCGATCTCGCGACCGCGACCGCGATGCCCAGTCCCACAACACCCCGCGCCCAACCGCGCCCAGCCCAAGGAGACACGCCCACACACATGCGCCCTTCGCCATCATGCCCATGACTTGGAGAGACTCTGATACTCAAGCCGCGCCCAAATCCCGCATTCCCTCGCCGCCGCCTTCATCGTCGTGTTCGTCGTCGTCGCAGACAGATGCGCAGACTGTTAGGAATGAGGTACCATCAGATACGACCAGCGCTGTCTTTTCCGAGTCATCAACGACATCCTCCTCATCGGCATCAGAAGCGCCCACTGTGGTCGCCGTCCCCGCAAAAAGCATACCTTCCCCAGACCATGACCGTGCCCCGGCATGGGCTTCTTCAACAACTACCCAGTCCATCCCCATCCCTCTCTCAGTAGCTGAGCCAGTACCCCCGCAACAAACCACTATCCGCGTGCGCGACATCGCACACATCACCAGCCTGGTGAAATCCGGTACCCTCTCGGCCTCCGGGCCAGGGACCCTGAATGATCCTCCTTTGCAGCAAATGAAGTACGACATCTCGGCGATGCCCATCGCAGATATCATCGAGATGATTGCCGCTTTGCTCACGAAGATTACGACTACAAACGACATGGCTGCCGATGTCCCAGGTCACCATCATCGTGGGGCCAGGAATTTACGCCATAGCAAAAAAGGGGGGGATAAAGATGGGAGTGTATCCCCCCTTGCGAGCTCGGTGTTGGCCTTCCATGGGAAGAATATCCCCGCTATCACGATACTCAGCTATCTTACGCGCATCCATAAGTACTGCCCGACGACGTTTGAGGTGTTTCTGAGCTTACTGGTGTATTTTGATCGGATGACGGAGCGGGTGAATCAGATGGTTACGGAGGTGGTCAGGGCGAGAGAGAGCAATAAAACGGCAAAACAGAGGGAGCCGCCTGATCATGATCGGGAGGATAAGATGGAGGTGGAGACGGTGAGCGTGGAGGGGGCCGAGGATTTGATTGATGATGAGGACGAGGAACAACAAGGGGAGGGCGATGGGCAGGAGAGGGAGATGACGTATTTTGTGGTCGACTCGTTCAACATCCATCGCTTGATTATTGCTGGCGTGACATGCGCGAGCAAGTTCTTTTCGGATGTGTTTTATACGAATTCGAGATATGCGAAGGTATGTTTTTTGTTGTTGTTATTGTTATTGTTGTTGTTGTTGTTGTTGTTGTTTTCTCTCTAACCTTTCCAACTTTACGACTTCATTTGGGCTTTTGTTCGCCTTGGCTACTTGTAGCGTTTGCCTTATGGAGCCAGATCGGGATTGAAGAGTTCATAATGGATTGTGTCGTTTGGAAAGGTTACTTTTCCCAGGTTAGAAGGTATGCTAACTTCTTCTGTCCAGGTCGGCGGGTTGCCTCTAGCAGAACTCAACCACCTTGAGCTGCAGTTCCTTTTGCTCAACGACTTCCGCTTAGCTGTGCCTGTTGAGGACCTCGAGGCGTATGCGACTATGCTTGTTGAGTTTTATGCGAGGGAGGTGATTTGTGCTAAGTTGGGGCGTTCTTCTTAACGTCTTACCTATTGAAGAGGGTTCTAGATGGATCCAGGAAAGAATGAGGGTAATACCCAGGTGTAGACCGTAGGAATGGCGGGGGGTAATGGAAGATTGGAAGGGGGTAAATAGAGGTGTTTGGGTCTTGTTTATCTACCTACATTACAGGGCTTAGAACGTGGGCGTGGATGGAATGGAGGGAGGAAGACTCCTTTAGGGAGGGGAGAGGATATTATCCCCACTTTCTTCTCTTCTTGTTATGTGTGTATGGTTGGTTTGGTTGTATGTTATGTTGAAATCTGTATTGATGACGACTCTGGAGGGGAGAGAAGAGCGGAGGGGGATGATACCTCGCGGCAGCAGAGCAGCTGGAGGATGAGGGAGTAGTAATTCTGGCTTTGGTTTGATCATGACAACAGACGAGACAATGACGATTACGATGATCATGACCGTATGATAGGCACACAGGCAGATGGAGGATTAGAGAATGGATGAATGAATGGAGGAGAGGTTTATTAAGAGGATTAAGGTGCCTACCTCGACGTGGACATAATTACATTCTGTGAGACGAACCGACAGACAGACAGACTATTACAGGAGAAGGAGGATAAATGTATATTTTTCTTTTTTTTGTTTTTTTTTTTTGTTCTCGTAGGTGTATCCCCACACATTGTCACTTGACCAAGTAAGTAAAACAACCGCCTGTCCCATCTCCCTTTTAAGTATCTTAGCATAGTTAACCCACAACATGACGAAACCCCTGATTTCTAGAACAACGGGTGTTCATCCCATGTCTGCCATTTTCTAAAGTGGCAATGAAGTCATCATCCGCTCTATATCCTCCCTCCCCTGACTGGTGACTGCCGGTTCTCTCTTGCTCCGATGAAGTGAGACATGTGATACGTTGAACAATGTAGACAGACGCAAGTGTCCGTTATTTCTTGAGATATAGATATCCAAAACGATACGACATTCGTCGAAGACAATTGTTGGATTCCATGTATGTCTTGCCTGTCCAGGCTTGACCGCCAATGACCTCCTGGTCTGAAATTCAAGACTTACGCGGAGTTGTTGTTACTCTCGACTGGCTGGCTGGCTGGCTGACTGACTGACTGACTGACTGACTGTTGAGCTAGGTGATATCATCGCTTGCTTCTTACGTCCCTACTTAACTGATTACTTCACCGAGTCCCTCGAACTGCAGACTTGTCCGATAAACATGACGGGTAGCACTCAAGCCAGGACAGGTCCCATCCAAGAGAGCCCTCAGGGGTAAACCATGCATGCCCCCTGAGTTCCGACTCTGTTCCGATCTTCACTAACAGCTTCCCACACTGACAGACAAACACAGATCGACACGAACGGCGCCTCCAGCCATCTCGAAAAAGGCGTCTCCCACCACGAACACGTCCATCCAATCCCTCCTGCTAACCAGACTCTTGAAGACCGGTACATCCCCATCTTCCTCTCCAGCCCTTTCCCCTCCTTTTTCCCTGTCTCCCAATTACTTAACAGTCTATCGCTGACCACAACACGCCGGACAGCCTCCGAAACCCTTTCGCTAACATTCCCCTCCCTGACCTCCTCTCGCAAACCTCCTCCTTCGCCACTGGCTACTCCCTCTCCTCCCACACATTCCTCCTACAAAAGGCAGCCTTACTTGTTCAAAATGGTCCCGACAACTTTCCTCGCGACGACATCCCCCCCTCCCTGGCCCTCACGAACGACGACCGTGCCATCTTGGCCAAGGAAGCCTGCCATCCGTGGAGGTCTCTCCCCCCCAGACTTATCCTAACAGTCATTGTCTGCTCGATTGGCGCTGCCCTCCAAGGATGGGACCAAACCGGTTCGAATGGGGCAACAATCTTCTTCCCTTCTGTCTACGGCATCGAGTCGTCCTCTGTTCGGGACAGGTTGTTAGTCGGGCTGGTCAACGCCGCGCCTTATATCGGGAGCGCACTTCTAGGATGCTGGTTGGCGGACCCTATGGCCAACCTCACCGTCCGAGGCAGAGGATTGGGACGGAGGGGCGTGATATTTGTGTCGGGGAACCTGTGTCTTTGGCCGGTGTTGGGGAGCGCGTTTTGTCAGAGCTGGGGGCAGCAGTTGGGGTGTAGGCTTGTCATGGGGGTCGGGATGGGACTGAAGGGGGCGACCGTGCCGGTTTGGGCGGCGGAGAATGTACCTGCGCGTGTAAGGGGGGCGTTGGTTATGACTTGGCGTGAGTTCTCCTCCTTAAGAGTTTGGAGATGATGGTGGTGATGGCTAATGAGAGTCGCAGAGCTTTGGACTGCGTTCGGGATCTTTCTGGGGACGGCGTTTAATTTGGCCGTGTTCCATGTTCCAGAAATTAACTGGAGGCTGATGCTGGGTAAGCGCTTACTCCAATTGATTCTTGTCGTTGTCAATATATTCCTTTTTTTTCTCCCTCTTCCTATTTGTATCGCATCTTTTTTTTCTTTGTTTTCCTTTTTCTCCGTGTTCTGCCTCTTTTACTTTCTCTCTCTGTAATCTGCTCACTCACCCTCCCAGGTGCCCCTCTCCTCCCAGCAATCCCCCTCCTCGCCCTGCTCTACCTCTGCCCCGAATCCCCCCGCTGGCTCATGAAACACTCCCTCTACGCCGAAGCCTTCTCCTCCCTCCTGCACCTCCGCCCCTCCCCTCTCCTCGCCGCCCGCGACCTCATCCTCATCCACGCGCAGCTCGACCTCGAGTCCTCTCTAGTGCCCACACACCAAACCTACCTCCAACGCCTAACCGACCTCTTCACCATCCCCCGCATCCGCTTTGCAACCCTCGCCTCCACAACCGTAATGCTCGCCCAGCAACTCTCCGGCATCAACATCATCGCCTTCTACTCCACAACTCTCTTCCTGCAGGCCGGTCATACTCCTTTCAAAGCATTGTTAGCGAGTCTCGGCTTCGGCGCAATCAACCTCCTCTTTGCTCTTCCGGCCCTCAAGACCATCGACTCCTTTGGCCGCCGCGCCCTTTTGCTGGCCACATTCCCGCATACAACCTGGTCTCTACTGGGAGCCGGCTTATCCGCCGCCCTGATCGCCCCCGACAAACCAGAGCGTATGATCCTCGTCGCCCTCTTCGTCTACCTCTTCGCAGCCTTCTATGCCCCCGGCTGCGGCCCCGTCCCCTTCGTTTACTCCGCCGAAGTCTTCCCTCTCTCACACCGGGAAGTCGGCATGGGTTTCGCGGTGGCAGTATGCTTGGCTGGGGCGGCAATTCTGGCGATCACGTTTCCTTTTCTGTTGGAGAAGGCTGGGGTGGGAGGAGCGTTTGGCGTGTATGCCGGGTTGAATGTGGTTGCGGGGGTGATGGTTTGGTTGGGGGTGCCGGAGACGAAGAGACGGACGTTGGAGGAGTTGGATGGGGTGTTTGAGGGGGGTGTGGGTGGTTTTGTGAAGGGAAGGGTTAGCAGGTTGGTAAGGTTTGGGAGAGGATGATGGGGAGGGTTTTGTGATGATGTTGGTGTACTAGTACGAATGGTTTTCGAAGTTCTACTCTAACAAGCTTAAGAGAGGGACAACAAATTTGCTCCTGAACGGGGACTCGGAGCCCCTGAATCTGTGAGTCGCGGGGCTGGGCACCAAGGTATGGCCATCACTTGTTCATCGTGAACAGATATGAGGGAAATCTGGGCTGGCATCTAAGGCCTAGCAGTGGGAAATAAAACTTATCTATATTTATACACAACTATTGAAACTTACCAGCCATTTCCTTATTACACCGGAAACTATATCAGGAGTAGGCATTCCAATGACGTGGTGTACATCCGTGCTACACTATATACTGTAAAGATGAGAAAACACCAAAACACTCACTGCCCTTGCAAGCTATGATCATAGACTTATGTGCTCCGTTTCCTGTGACAGACGAATACACAGCTGGTTGGTAGGCACTGGACTTCATTGAATGTGACCCCCAGATGTGCGAACCACGAGGCGATATCTAGGCGAAGGCATTTATATTCTCAAGCCTCCAGAATAAGATCTCCGAACCCCCGACTGCTCGGCATTACTGGTTGAAACTGTACAGCTAACGTGTCGATTTACCAATCATTGGGCTCGCAGGGCAGGAGTCTGTTCTGTTCCACTCGAGTCCTGTCATCATGGTTTCATGAACATGCTTTTCAAGTCATGTCCCCGTAACTTATGCCTGTCAAGGTGTCCGCAGGGCTTTCTCGGAAGGATATAGTACTGAAGAGCAGTTGGACTATGGCCTAGTTGGAAGAACGGACATGAGCAGGTACGCAGCAACAGTCAGGTCTTAGAAAATGAATCTCATACCACACTGCTGAAGTATAACCTCCCATCTTTGTTTTCTCTCATAGGTATTTGCCATTCCCGTCTTTCACTCGGTTACTCGGTAACTGTATCCCTGTATTCGGCATAATAGTGGACTGGCAACGTTTCCGGTCTCCCCTTACGGCCTGTGCAGCTTGCGGAGTTCGCCGCCCAAATGAGCCAACGTTTCATCCCTCTGAGGCTATCAAGCCCATGAAACTCTCCGAGTCCAAGTCCGAGAAACACCGAGCAGAGGTTCACTGCCACCATGAACTGTGGGCATAACAAATCGAGTTTGTTCAGCTCTCAGTCTAGGCTTGCCTGGCATAACAGGTACATGTCGGCGTGTTCAATATGGGCTAACACCATAGACTCCAGTCAGAGGACACTTCAGGCTGGAGGTCTATCTCTGGATATAGGATCCAAGCCAGGAGTTGCGATCAGGCCCATGGTAAACCATAACATGGACGTATAAAATGTGATGAAGGCTTTCACTGGGGCCTGGATCAGTGTAAAGCACTTATTTTGCAACCCTGGGACTAGCATCACAATCTTGTACATGTGTCTTTCCCACCGGACAGCTGGACTGAAACATTCAGTGAAGGATTCGAAAGCAAGCGTACATCGACGAATGTCCAGATTGGGTAGTCTCAATGCATTATGTGCATCACTCTCCCATCAAACCCAGAAGCATCCTCATCCTATTTCCGGATCCGGAACTCAAACTCGAGGAGACGTTGGTGAGCCAAGACCGGGATTGAATATCCCAATAGTCTGTCCGGTTACATCGCATGTGCTTAACGGCTGGCTCCCCGCGGGGAGGACGTGTGGGGGTGAATTAGTGGTTCAGTTTGTTGACAATGACCTTTTGATATCAATGTTGATCTTTGGTTGCCCGCTGGATTCCGAATGCCGAGCTAGAGCCGCGGGGTGCATATCAAGTCAACAACTCGATATCACGGTGTAAGAATCCAAGATCAACTCAATTGTCAACCTTTGATGACCTTTCAGCGTGAACTCCTTATTATTTATCATGAAATGAGAAGCTACTTATATTACTCTAAAAGACCGATTAAATAAAATTGAAGCATCCAGTGTGTTAAGTGCTCCCAAGGGTTAAGCTTAATCAGAGGTTCAGATCTTAGATAAGCTCCAAGTCTTTGGGGATAGGATGCAGTGATAACGAGATCCCCTATCAGATCTCGGCTGGCGTTACCGATCCTGATAAGCACATCGCCCCCCTCCCTCAGTGATGTCACTCTCCATACTCCCAGTCCCCAACTCGGCCATCTTTCTCGGGCCCAGAGTTTTCACTCTCAGACAGCAGCAGACAGCCGCATGTTCGCTGCAAGCTGTGTGAAAACGATGCCGGATTTGTATTGGCCCCGGTCTGTTGCACATGCATCGCCTGGCTTCAACGGTTGGACGCCGCGGGAAGATGCAGAAGTCGAGCTAAGCTATTGCCTGCCACTGTGCTGGCGCTTGGCTGGTGTTTTGGAAGGACGATAAGGGGGTTAGAGTTATCGCCCTGCGTCCGATCGGCGTGCTAGCAGTGGACGTGGTTCATCGATGCTAGATTGTGATGGAGTTCCGGAAGCTGGAGTCGACCTGCATAGATATAAAAAAAGATATAAGCCTCTGGTGACCGCTTTTCCTGATTGTAGCTCCAGGTCAAATCCAGTCGGTCGACTTCATTCAAGGTTTAACACGATGACGGCCCTGATTCTCCTGGGTCTCATCCTCTGTGTAGTGACGGCACTGGCAGCTTTCAGCCCGCGGGGCTTGCTCTTATGGTTGCTGGGCCTGCTCGGAAGAGAGTCATTATTGCCACCAAGCAGCGTGAAGCCGGATGTTGAGAAGAAGCCAAGTTCCGAATCATGGCCGCCCATCGAGCCCCTCCCAGATTTCGACTGGAAGACGACGCCTCCAATTAAACTGCGTCCGTTCAAGCCGATTTATCACATCAACATGGGTATGTTCCCCCCCCCCCCATCTTCAAGAAGTTGTCTCTCCCTCATCATGAAGACTTCTACATGCGACAGCCCTCAAGCCAGTGACTGAAGACTGATTGACCTTCCAGCCATCCAATCCACAACCCCCTCGGAGCTGATCGTCCTTGACAACACTTACCTCACCAAAGTCCTCGAACGCCGCTCCATCCTCTCCTCCCACGGACCCTCAGTCCACGGCGCCATCCCCTCCGGCTCGGCCCCCGTCCACGAGCTCTACACCTATCTATTGGGAACCTACCTGCCCACGCGCTACCCTCGTCTTTTCTCAGTCTCGCAAACCGAAAAAGGCACTCTCACCTTCCACAACCACGTCACCGGCCTGACTGCTCCCGTTTGCCCAAGCGAACAAGAGATGGACGCCGAAGCGATGCTGCGCATCCTTGGCGAGACGGTAGAGGATGATCTGTTTCTGCTATTGCAAGATCCGGCCGAACAGGGGGGACAGCATAGAGCTGTAGCGTTTGTGTGCTGCCATCCGGCGGGGTTCGCTCCACGAGAGAAGCTAGGGATGAGGCTGGGCGAGATCCATGGCCCTGTGCCGGGGATTGAGAAGATTAGCGGAAGTATGGAGAGATTTTTCTCCAGGTTAGAGGTTGGGAAGCCGGTGAAAAGGGTTAATGTGGGTTTTGCGCAACACCTGGTTTCATGCCAACACGACGTAGAATGACGGAGGAAAGCTGACTTCCATCACAGTGGACCCTCCAAACAACACCTCATCTGTTCACCCCCCGCGGCAGCGGCGTCACCCTGCACCTGGACGACGCGGTCCAAGAAGTCGAGAAGATTGACCCTTCGCAGGCCCGCATGCGCGTCGAGCTACAGACGCTGACACGGCTGCCGCAGAGCAGAGCGATCCTGTTCAGCTTCAAGTCATTCATGTATCCTCTCGAGGAGATCAAGGCCGAGGGCCTGGGGCCGGCGCTCGCGGATGCGGTTGAGGGATTGCAGAAGGGGAATGTCCCGGGGATGTGGATTTATAAAGGGGCTGTGAGTTGGGGTAAAGCGATGATTGGATATTTGAGGGAGTAGGGGTCGCGTGTGGGAGAAGGGTGAAGCTCAGGGGCAGAGACTGACACGGCTAGTGGGAAGTGGGCGAATCCGAAAACTTGACGGATGATGAGGGCTCAAGGGCAACTTGCGAAGAATCAAATGATGATGATAAACAGATACCAGACATGTTATTTCCTATGTCCATCGAAACCAAGCAATTGAATCAGATATACCAACATCGCCATCTTTCTTTAGCCCCCCCAAACCCCCTGTGTCATGGGGAAGTCATCCCCTTAGTTAGATTACGATCCTCCTGTCTCCGGCACAACATTTCTCCTCAACTGCCATCCTCTACTTCCCCAGCCGACTCCACCGCCGACAATCCCGCCAAAAACCCACAGTTATCCCCGAGATCCGAGCCCCATCCCAGCTGTCCCTGGTGGCCTGCCAGGGTATCCTCTCCGGTGGTCAGGGCACCCGATCTGCAGGCTGCATGTATAAAATCAGCTTTGCCACGTCTGACTAGAGGAAGGGAGGCATGCTCCAAGGTGTTCTCTGAGTTGAGGTAGTATTTAAGTATATTTCAGAGAGAGATGGTTTCTGCACAGGTTATGAGCGAGAATGCTCCTCAGGCTGAGAGTGAGAAGGACAAGATGAGTGCCTTGAGTAATGTTGTTGTTGTTGGCGGATCTTACGTGGGATTGGTGAGTTGGTAAGGGAGATATTTGGGTGTAAGTGCTGACAGGAGTACCTAGACCGCAGCCAAGGAGCTGGCGAATATCTTACCCGCAACACATCGTGTCAGTCAAGACCACCTTAATGTCCTCACGTTTATGAACAAGCCTGCTTAATATCTTGAAGGTCATCCTCATCGAACCACACAGCCACTTTCACCATCTCTTTGCCTTCGTAAGCCCCCCTGCCGCTTACCCCTTACCTCTGAACTGCCTATTCCATCTCCTGCCATCTACGATATACACATTCCAGACGTGCTAAACTTCCCCCAGCCACGCTTCTCTATCCTCCCCTCGCACGAACACAAAGCCTTCATTCCATACACATCAACCTACACCTCTTCCCCAGACCCCTCGCGCCACCTTATCCTTCACGCCCGCGCCACAGCCCTGCACCCACACACCCTTACGGTCGACCGTCCCATCTTCCAGTCTTCAACCTCAGTCCCCTTCGACTACCTCATCCTCGCAACGGGCTCGAAGCTGCCCCCGCCAGGGAATATCCCCCTTTCCGTGACCGACTCCCTCAACAACATGACTCATCACGGGAAGAACGAGAAAGAAAATGCAGCAAGGTATCTTCGGCAATGGCAAAGCGCCATCAAGCAGGCAGATACTATCGTCTTGGTCGGTGGCGGCGCAGTAGGCGTGCAAATGGCGTGTGATATCAAGGAGATCTATCCGCATAAGCAGGTGACGATTGTGCATTCGAGGGATAGGCTCATGAACGCCTTTCACCCATGGTTGGGGGAGATCGTGGACGAGAGATTAAGGGAGTTGGGGGTTCGCGTTGAAAAGGGGGTTCGCGTTGTTTTCCCTGAGGGGGGCTTCCCCGACCCAACAACAACAACGGGGTCCAACTCAACTCCAAAGACGAACATGACAGAGGTCAGACTGACAGACGGTCGTTGCCTAAAAGCCGACCTTTTCATCCCCTGCACCGGCCCCAAACCCTCCACATCTCTACTTACCTCCCCATCTAGCACTCTCCCCGCACAAGAACTGATCAACCCTGAAAACGGGTGCATCCGCGTCCGTCCAACAATGCAACTGGCACATGAGAAACTGTCACATCTTTTCGCGATCGGGGATGTTGCCGACACGGGCATGCATAAGGCTGCTAGGCCGGGGATGGTGCAGGCGGGGGTTGCGGCGAGGAATATATTGGCGATGGTTGAGGGTCGGGAGGCGAGAGAGGTGGTGAAGGGGAGCCCAGGGGGGATTCACCTTACTCTGGGGTTGGTAGGTGTTTTCGATTTTCTGTTTAATTTAATTTGCCTTTTCAGAATCATCTCTGTTGTCGGGGGAAATGGCTTCATCGAGAAACATGGAGGAATGAATATATAGCAGAGCACTTAGCTGGAGGATTTTATTTTCTTGCCCCTTCCTTTCAGTCAAGAGAAACTTGATGGACTCGCAACACTAACACTCTACTCTCACCTCTCATGAACAGACAAGGAGCGTCCTCTTCCGCAACCCCAACATCACAGCAGGCGAGACAGAGCCATACGCCGAGAAGAAGGAAGAGTAAGTTCCCTTATTCTTGATCTCCATGGCTCTCACAAGACCACAGGTTGACCTCTTGAAAGTGGCGCCGAGGACATGCACATAGCGATGGCGTGGGCTAGGAGGGGGGTGAAGGTCATGAAGGTAGAGGATTTTCATCTTTGAGCCAGGATCTGCGGCTGGGAGAGAAAGAAATAGGGCCTGGAGCGTTCTTCTCTCTTTTTTTTGTTCGACGTTTAATTGCCGCTTTTAGCCTTCAGTCCCTCAATGGATCGTCTAATCGAAACCTCGGTTGTCAAGTAAGCATGGACAGCGACACTGGAACAGATGCCACCAACGACAACACCAAAGGCCTGAGGGGTAAGCCATATCCCTTTGCATCGACTTAGGAGGACTTTCAAGACCTCAATCCCAAAGAAGTGTGCACATAGAGAAGGGGTTTCAACGTTGTGAGGCTTGGTGCTTGTCGAATGGCCGATATTGAAGACCTGACGAATATGCAGGAGGCCATGGCATGCGGCCCGTACACATCTCAAGGGGCATTCCCCAGCACAGTCCACCTGAGACATCTTCTTTCATCCACCATGCATCCAGGTAGCCTATATAGTGTTCGCCCATTTGGCGCCGCATATCGCGATCGTGATCATGCAAAAGATTACGGCTTGCTTGGCTTGGTTGGTGAGAGTGTCGGTTAAATCATTGGTTATTGCTCCAAGACTTGTCGAGAGATCAGACCGTTGAGTTGATCGGATTCTGCGCTTGTCGCAGATATAGGAGTGAATGGTCTAAATGTCTTTCACGGTACTGTGGTTTGTACCCTCTTCCCACTTTTTTATTTTCGTCCTCTCTCCAGGTTTCCTTTGCACTGCAGTCAGATGCTCAGCAGCCCAAAGCAACATCTCAAAAGTTTTCGTTTCTCGCTCAAGAGGGAACAGTTCAAGTCATTATTCATGAATCACGATTCAAGGTTACCGCTCACCAGGATGAAACCGAAGAAACGGCCCGAAGACTGGGAACCCGAACATCCCATCACAAAACAAGGTGAAATTTGGCGATGCAAACGGTGCTGGCATCCAGGTTGGAGATAACTCTGATGTTGTCAACGTTGGTTTTGCTGATATCATTAACAACGGAGACATAAAACTTACCGTTATAGCTACGCTCCTTTATCTGATGTTTCCAGCAGTGTACCTCGTAACTTTAACATTACTTAGACTGGTAACACAACTAGCATTATCGGCCATCAATCACAGACAGTCCTGGTTGATTTTGATCCATCTTATATCTGGCCGGAGTTTGAATTACCATATATCACACAAGAAAAGATCTGGAACAGCGCTTAAAAGAAAGTTCCAAGGTTAACAACATGATGATGGACATTGCCCACAGAATGAGCATTTACCGATTGTCAACATGTATACAGAATCTAGGATTTATATAATTCAAACCGGAGCGCTAGACAGCATGCGCGTGCTGCCCTTGTAGGATATCCAGGTGTTGGGTATGTTTTTTCTACCAGACCCCCCTCTATTATGTGATGAAGCAATATTGCTTTTGAGAGATAGAAAAAGCCAGATCGTTCTCGAAATGGGTTACAGGATTCATGCCAGCTTCCCCGACATCTGGGTAGTTCAAAACTGGTCGCTGTAACGACGTCCTGGAAGGTTTTCAGTATATTGCCGGCGCTTCGAAGCTGTCCGATCGAAATGGAACCGGGGAGAACATCTTTCAAGTCGCTTATGATTGGTTACGCAATGATCCAAATGGCACATGACTTATGATCGAAGATGACGCCGATGACGAGGAAGTACTCTGTACCGAAGTGGAAAACGGTGCTGCTGCAACAAATCGGTTCAAACCGCTCGAGGAGAATAACCCCCTCAAAATCGCAATAGATGCACGATTGTTACATCCCGCAGCAAAAGACTACTTGTTCCCGGCCATGGAGGTCACAGCCCTCGCATACGTTCTCCAGCTTCGTTCTCCTCCTCTGGATCACATTATCTCCTTGCTTGATGTTCGCTGCTTTGGGCACTGTGGGCTTTTTTTGCCATTACATAACAGGATATAATTCATAGACACTATAAGAAAAAGATCTGTGAGAGTCTTCTACTCCTATTATCTAGATCCCTAGATGGATGGGATCAAACCGTTGTTGTGTTTGCTCCCATCATTTGACTAGTGAGCAGAGGCGGGTAACATTAGGGCTAACATGAAGTATTCGTTGCAACAACTTCAGCAGAGGGCCATGGCTGCAGGAGGAAAAAAAGGGAACGGCGAGAGGTATTCGTAAGTACGTGCCTACGTTTGTATCAGCTTCAGGTCATCACAACGTGACTGAGCAGGATTATAAGACGTGGGGTTGAACATCAAGTACAGTACGACATCTTTAAATTAGTTTCAAATATCTTAGTAAGAGACCCCTATTCTCATCAAAAAAAAAAAATACCCTCTTCGCATTTTCTTTACCCAATCTCAACAATCCCACCCCCTTCAATCCTTCAACTAAACAACCCCCCGTCCTCCTCTCCATCCACCCCCCTCACATTCCAACACTACCGGACTACCCCCAGGCCCCGCGACATCCAAGGCCAGTGTAACCCTCTCCCTCTCTGGCACAACACACACCGTCTCACCTAAATTCCTATAATCCGTCTCACAATGCAACTGATTCCCTCCATTCCAATTCCCCTCACCATTCTCCCCCGAACTTACTTCCCTGATCTCGACGGTCGGCAGAGGGAGGTACCCCTCCCGAAGAGGGATCAATACCAACGGAATATGCGCCTCGGTATCAGGCGTGGAACTTATCCCATCCGGCTCATCCTTCCCATCAGTAGGAAGCATAACAGAAGGAATAACAAAATGTCCCTTCCTCCTCCCCCCGATGATCCACGTATCCCCCGGCGCAGTAACTTCATACCCAAACTCCAAGTCCCTCGCCCACGCCGAATTTTGCCCCTCGGCGCCAATCCCAGGATTTGGGCTACCAACCGGCAACGGGGACGAAGGAGACGAAATAAGAGAAGACGTATCCCACCTCCGAGTCCACCTTAAATGCAGCGTCGCCTCCAGCACTTGGTTCACCCTAACAACAGGACACCCCGCACTGGGCGTGTCTGTCCCCGGGAAAAGCTCGCTACTTCGGTTGGCTGGATCCAAACAGTGCAGTTTGATGTCGGCTGTATGCACCACCGCGACAGATGGGACATCCACGGGGATGGTGATCTCCCTTTTCGCGTCAGGGACCGGGGTTTCCGGGACGATCAGCACCGGGTTGGCCGTAATAAACTGCCTGATCCAAGCCGCTGGAGCCAAACCGCCTCCTCCGCCAGGGGACGAAGGAGAAGGGGGCTCCAGGCCGAGGGATGAGCATACGCGCTCCCAATTGATCTCCTGCAGGAGATTGGTCAAATCCAGTTCCCCTAACAGCGCAACCCTCTCCAACGCAGTAGTATCCAGTGCCCTCCGCAAGCAAGAGACGACAACCCCTGCCACCGCCTTCGCCATTTCGCTCAGCGAAGGAATGTTCTTCAGCTCATCTTGTACACGAGAGCGAACAAGAAGGTCAAGTTCCTCCATCAAAACGGTATACCCCAGCCGGAGATACAATGTCCCAGTCGTCCCCGGACCCGCCTTCCGAACCCCCTTCTTTCGTTTGATCCTCCAAAGTAAACTTGCCGGCTGACGTCCAAACACTACGACCTTCTCCGGCAGGACGCCCGCCTCAGCCTCGAAAATGTCGCTCCCCTTGAGCTCGGCACTGACCACCCTTAATGGTGACTCCTCGCCTCCGACTTGTGCAGGGGCGACGGCGAACCGGGAGAATAAGGCATCATGCTTGAAGATATCTTGTACGTTGACCTCTAGGGCGAGGGCGATCGGGACAGAAGCAGTCTTGTGTAAGGTGTATGTGGTCCCCGACACGGTGGTGTATGAGACTTCCACGCGCACCGTGACGTCCACGACGTCCTGCTCGACCGTAAACGGCAACCGCACCAATCTCGTAACGTTCTTGGCGAGGTCAGAGAAGGCAAAGATCCCAGGCGTGGCCGGTTTCGTAGGATTCGCGTCCCTGGACGTGAAGAGCTCTGCCTCATGGGTGAGGAGCCTTAGCCCGCCTGTCGCAGCACGCACGCGGATCTCGACATTGGAGAGTTCGTTCCAGCCGGTGTGGAGTTCGAGATCCAAAAACCTCCGTTTGTCAAGTTGCAGATGGCGCGGGCCAGACACAACGACGTCGAGGGCGCTGGTGCGGTGGTAGAGGACCACGCGGGCATTCTGGATGACCTGAGGCGTTTGAGCTGGCTGCTGGGTGGCCCCAACCAGCGTCGAGGACAGAGGAGCATCCCGCTCGTAGTGCAGCACCACACGCTTCGCTTGTACCCTAATCTGATCCGCCTCAAACGCCCCCGCCATCATTACCGTGCTCCGGACGCGAATCTTATTCGGTCCAGGGTGAATAGTCACCTTCCCAGCCGTAGACAACCAAATCTCCCTATTAACCGTAGCTCCCTGCACGCCCACGATCCTCACCCTAACCGAGTCCGCCTCAAACTCATCCACCAGCAAGCTGTACATATCCACAAACAAACTAAACCCATCTCCCGCCTCGTCATACCAAGGCGGTCCATCAACCGCAATCTTGCAAAACAGACTCGTCAACGGAATCCGAACGTCTCGTTCCAGGCTCGTCGAGGACGTGATCAACTCCCCCAAAAACCCCTTCACCGCCTCTACATCAGGGAACCCTTTCACACTGGCCGCAACAACCCTGCTCTTACTTGCTAACCGCTCCTTCTCAGCCGCAGCAGCCTTGCAAAGCAGCTGTCGCAGCGCTTTAATCACATAATCCTCGACTTTGCCCAACTCTTTTAGGCATCTAGCATACATTACCAGCAGACTGAGCTCAAGCAAAGACCAGCCGGACTCCCCGAAGAAGGGGATCACCTGGTAGAAGTAGCCCGCTGCGGCGGCGTATTCTCCCAAGTGGTATTTGAGGACTGCGAGGTCGGCCATGGAGGCTTGGACGGAGTGCGTGTGTCCGGCGAGGGTGAAGTGGCGCAGGGCTTTGTCGATGAGGGTTTCGTAGAGGCGGTAGAAGTCGTCGCGGTTATCGAGGGCTGTGCGGAGAGTAGCGTTGGAGACGCCAGCTGTGGAGGTGTACAATGCCTCGGGCTCGGCTTCTTTCTTCGTAGCTGGCTCAGACGAGCCATCTAAGGGGATATCCTCCATCTCCTCGACGCCCGTCTCACCGACGGTCGGGACGCCCGCCCATCCATCCGTCCAACCCCTCTTCTTCCCACATTCCTCAAGCACATTTCTCGACAAATTGCACAGCTCTGCACGTTGCGCAGCCAACTCCTCCAACCCAGCCCTCTGCACAGGCAACTCCTGCTCGAGCCGTCCCGGCCCCGGGAAACCCGGGCTCGGAGGCGGTTTCTGTCCCTCCCTCAAACTTGACGACCTCACTGGCAGGGTAGTCGTCCTCAACTCAGGAACTTTATCCGCCGCCTCTCCCGTCGCCAGCGGTCCTCCCAACACCGAGGGCGGGATGGGCAACAACTTGGTGCTCGTCTGCGCGAGGATCTGCTGCGCCACGCTAAACGCAAACGACGCAACCATATTGTCCACGACCTCGACCAACTCTTTCCCCATTGCTTCCTCGCCCCCCATCGCTTTTAACACATCGGCCCTCATAACCTGGCTCACGCCCGGCACAAACTCCAGTGTCCGGCGACAAATCTCCGCCAGGTACAACAAATTCTCCGGCTCCTCTTCATCAACCGGTTTTTGGCTCGGAAGGTTGCGAGGGGCGACCCCGCGCGGGGCGAGCTCTTGTTGCTCCTTCAGCTTGGCAAGGAGTTCTTCCCGTGAAGACCACGCGTTGGCTAGGCGTAAAAGGAGAGCGGTTTGTCGCGCGAAGATGTAGCACCGGAAGTCGAAGAGGGAGACATTGTTGGCGAGGATGAGGTCGCGGTAGGGCTTATGGGCGGTGCTGATGGGTATGCCAGAGATGGCGTCGGAGGGTTTGTCGGAAGAGGGTTGGGCGTCGAGGGTGACTTCTTCCTCGTCGTTGCCGAACTCAAGACGTCCGCCGGTTAGTTCCGCGAGGGCCTTTTGGGCGATATCTTTCAGCTCTTCGGTGTAGCTGAGCAGAGCGCCGCCGTGAGCAGCAGGGTTATCGCTCGACGCCTGCTCAGCGACAATACTATCCAGCCCGACACTCAACTCATCATATACCACCAGGGCATCCTCCACGAGTCCGACACTTTCAAACCCCCGCGCCAACCCCTCCTTGAGTATAAAAAACGTACAGAAATTCCATCCCGGCAACGCCCTTTGCGCATCCTTCTCCTTAATATCCTCCTCATACTGGCTCACTCGGCGATCAAAGCTCGCCAGGATCAACTCCTTCATCTTGCCGATGAGCTCATTCCACGCCTGTTCTGCCTCGGCTTCAGTCTCCGTGTAGCCAGTTGGCACGGCAGGCACCACGCGAGGCAACATGTTATACGGCACGTCGTTAATGCCAATCCGGATCTGTCGGACGCGGTCGACGGAGCCTTTGGCGGAGCCATTGAAATCGGCGCGCATTTTCTCAAGGAGGGTACTTGATCCCCTCCAGCGTGTGGCCGAACTGCTTGACTTGGAATCGGTCCCCTCTCCTTTGTGGGATGATACCCTTGGCTGGGTAGCCGCCACCGAGTTTGGAAGGACTATGTGGATGATGAGCCACTCGAAGGCATCATGGTTTTCGGCTGCCCCCTTGGTCGTTGTGGAGGTGTGTGTTTTAATCCATTCGCGGATCTCGGAGCGGACTGTGCTCTTGTAGGTATCGTTGTCGTCGCAGCGGACTAATAGGATTTTTAGATAGGGGGTTCGCCGTAGACCGGGGATCTGATGCCTCCTTTGCGCCTGAGTAACCGGCGGCTTCAGCGTCGAGGCACTTGACGTGGTCGTGCTCGCGGTAGAGGATTCGCTTGGCCTCGCATCCGTCGACCCCGCGCGTCCTGCAACCGAGGCGGGTATAAAGCCATCGTCTTTATCCTTCTGTATATCGGTTTGACCAGTTTTAGGGGGGTTGGGCGAGGGCGTGGGGGTGTAAAGCGAGGAAGGGTCGACGCCGGCCGGGACAAGCTCGATGTGCAGCGTGGAAATGGAGCGGACGGGCCCGGCATGGGATTGCCAATGGAGGTCGCGGAGGGGCAGGCGGGAGATTAGTCCGGGCGCGAGGAGCTTGTAGACATCGTGCGGGTCGTGGTACTCGACTGGACAATTGAGGTTAGCAGATGGTTGTGGCTAAGGGGAGCTCGGGGAGAAAGCAGTTGGAAGGAAAGAAGACTGAAGGATGATGAGGGGCATACCTGTTACTTTGGAGGAAGAAAATGGCTGCTCCATGCTGAAGACAGCTTTGCGTCCCGACCAAGCTATGCGGTCAGGTCAGCATGGATGGGCATCCAGGTGTTGAAGAGGTGAGGTCAACAAGGTAAAGCTGATGAGATAAGCCAGAGGTCGGCAGTTGGTGTGCCAACACCGAGGTACCTACCCCACTCTTTAGGCTATCCTTATTTAGGTTTAGCGCGCAATCTTATCGAGTAGCTATCCAAACCCCGCCCCCACTTCGATCTGGACCCTGTCGCAATTCATGCCGCGATGGCGGGGCATTGTTGATTTTATTTCTGATTCGCATTTTGCGACGTCGCACAGCGGCTTTGAGAGACGTTGACTACATATTATCACTCACTTTTCTCTCTTTTTCGTCTGGGAATTTTCGTCAAATTTCGCTCATCTACTGAAGCAAGACAGAACAATGGCCACCCTCGAGGCAGTCAAGTACTCCCGCGGAAAGCTGCTCGTCCTCGACCAGCTTCGTCTGCCACACGAGCACCACTACGATGAGGTGAACACGGCCGAGCAGGCGTTCGACTGCATTCGAGCGATGCGCGTGCGCGGTAATCTTTCACTCTCTCTCATGTCTCAAGAATCATATGCTGACTTGTCCAGGCGCCCCCGCCATCGCCATCGTCGCCGCCCTCGCCCTGGCCGTCGAACTTCACCACGGTGCCTGCAAGGCGACCACTGTCCAAGATACCATTAGCTACATTGACGGCCGCCTAGACTACCTAAAAGAGTCCCGGCCCACAGCAGTCGACCTCTTCAACGCAATTGCCAAACTCAAGGCCGCCATCCGCGTATCCCCCTCTTCCCCTACCGATATCATTTCGACCTTTATCGCCACTGCCGAAGAGATCCTCCGCCTCGACCTCTCCAACAACACCTCCATCGGCGCCCACGGTGCAGACTGGCTCACGCAACAGTATAATCTGTCCTCATCCAACAAAATTTCTGTCCTGACCCACTGCAACACCGGCTCCCTCGCCACCTCAGGCCATGGCACCGCCCTCGGCATTATCCGCACTCTCCACTCCCGGCAACTCCTCTACCACGCTTACTGCACCGAAACCCGCCCATACAACCAAGGCTCTCGCCTTACCGCCTTCGAACTCGTCTTCGAGGGCATCCCCTCGACCCTCATAACCGACAGCATGGCCGCCGCATTGTTTAAGCTCCGCCGCGAGTCGGACAAAATCGGCGCCGTAATCGTCGGCGCAGACCGCGTCGCCCGCAATGGGGACACAGCCAACAAAATCGGCACATATGCACTCGCCGTGCTGGCGAAGCACCACGGGGTGAAGTTCATTGTTGCTGCGCCCACGACCTCGATCGATCTGGAAACTGAGTCAGGAGATGGGATTAAGATCGAAGAGCGGAAGAAGGAAGAGCTGACGCAGATCAGCGGGGCGGTGATCCGCGAGGATGGGAGCGTTGATACCAGTCGGACAGTGAGGGTCGCGACGGCGGACCAGAGGATTGATGTGTGGAATCCGGCGTTTGACGTCACGCCTGCGGAGTTGATTGATGCGATTGTCACGGAGAGAGGGACCGTTGTGAAGGGGCCCAACGGGAGATTTGATTTTAAGGAGGTGTTGCCAGAGAGGTGGCGGTGGTAAGGGGGGGAGGGAATTTGAATTAGTTTGAAGGGTTGACGAGTTACATTTTTTTTTTTGGGCTTTTGTGTGTTTTTGTTTAGAGCGTTCATAGACTTGGGATTGGGACGGACTATGCGTTCTTGACGCGAGACTTGGCTTACAGGTCAGGGTCTATTTTGTGACTGGGTGGCTCCCTAAGCTGCAAAAACCTCTCAGATCCGAGTACCTACATCTTAGAGAGGTAAGATTGTGCTCCTATGACCAGGGCCTCTTGTGAGGATTGCAAGTCCAGAAGGCTGAGCTCCATTTTTGTGCATTGTTTAATAGAACACAGGCTCATTTGGGCATCAATGACCGGTCTGGGACGGGATCAGCACCTACCAAGTGGTGTATATATATGTACAAGATATATCGGTGTTTATTTTGGTAGCTCTTTGGCAAAGCTATGCGGCGTTCTTAGATGAGAGATTCTGCCAAGGAGAGCCAACAAAGCAAACCCCGGTGCTTCTTGCTTAGAATACTGAAATCTTCAAAGCGTTACACCTCTTCCTTTCTGAACAAACAAGAGAGGCAGTTAACAGCCCTTTTGCCTAATCCGACAGGCTCATCAAAGACCCTTCTCTAGCGTTTTAAAGTTTTCATTAGAATCCAAGGCGAAAGTAGAGGGTGATCTGCTAGTTGAGCCGCTATCAATGTACAATGCATGTGACTTAGTCCTACCTATGACTCACGAGCTTCCTGAGCGTTCTGAGAAGCCAAGCTGATTGGGGCCGCCGCGGGGCGGCGAAGCTGCTGACGGCTAGGAGTCTCAGTTATTGGTAAATAACCCCTGGTTGACCTTATAATTCTGTGATTTCAGATGCTGGAGGCTAGATTAAAACATAATGCCCCGCATTCAATCTATAGGTTGAACAATATAAGAGCCACGATGAATGATATTGCAGAGCAAATAATTCAGAAATACGAACTAGAAGTCTGGAACCGAGAGTTCTCGCACTCAGCTGCCTCTTTGGCTGGACAGGTCCGCAAGCTCAACAAGTCATTTAAGGCCCATAGCACTGAGATCAAGAAAGAGTAAAACGGATTTCAAGAGACGTTTCTTCCTTTGGAGGCTCAACCATGAAATAGCTGTGCCTATGTCCCTGAACTGTAAGGCGACGCGTGAAGTTCAAATCATCTCACGAAAGATTGCCTCCGTAATTCAAGAAACCCGCAACGAGCCTGGAGAGTTGAGACTTCACGACAGGCAAAGTGAGATACGTTTGCCGCTATTCTATTTGTAGGTGAAAAAGCTTTCAAACTCCAAAGAACTGCAAGGCAGATGTTCGTGGACCGTGGGTGGTCGAGAAAGTCAATTCAAGCACACAATGACCATGTGATGACTGACGTAATTTTCCAAGTTTATATTACCTTTTGTACACTTTACCGGCATGCTGACCTACCTGATAGAATCTGCACACCGTCGAAGTCCATATGGGACTTCTTCAAAGAGGTGTTGCCCTCGTTTCTCATTGGTAGGCACTCCTTGAACAACTTACGACAATAAGGATATTACAGTGTTGTTCTTTAGGTCTTCAACCTTTACACCGTCTTGCTCGACTTTGTGCAGATTCCTCAGCGGAAACCCCCATATAGCATGCAGGACAGAGCATATTTCTGTTTGGGTATTGGGTAAGATCGCAAATTCCGCACATAAGTTACTTGGTCAGACCTGGCTCTCTTCCGAAGCAATCATAGAAGAGTGCGCTTTCGATATCTCTAGTACTGAGCTTGGCCGGGAAATAACGTCGATCGTGTGGAACCACGAGTCTCGGGACTCAATAGTTCCAAGGTTTTTGAGCATTACCTGTCGTAACGTGTCACTCATGTATAAACGCTACACAGAGGTGTTTGTGGTGGTGACATTATTGGTACGAGCCGCCCTATACATCCAGCATCTGGCCTTGAGGAAGACCGGAGGTCTAAGCCCAGTCGAGTCCTCGCGACGAATTGCATGCTATTCTGGTTTCTTTGATGGTTGCTCTGGACATTGTCGGAAACTCTCTCATTTACGTCGGAGTCCCGTTGAGTCGTGGTTCGGGGAAGTCTACTCTTACGGCGAGTCTTCAAAAGATCATAATGTCATCAACTTGATGCTGGCGCTACGAGTAGTAAAAAAGGCATATGTACAAATAGGGCTAGGGTGTAAAGAATTCAGCATGGAATCATTTTATAAAGGTCCTATGGTGGTGAAAGCGATGGGTCTTTTCATGCCCTCGATCTTCCAAGCGCTAGAGGGAGTAGACTAAGGCATAGAAGAATTTCTCCCACAAGAAGATATTTTAAAAACACTGGGAGACACGATAGAAGCAACACAGGAAGCATAATTGCAATAAAAGAAGCAAAAAGAAAAGAAAAGGAAGTGGGAGAAGGAGAAAAAGAAGTTCGGGAGAGTTTTAGATTGGAATTCGCTAGGAGATAGGGAGGAGAAGGGAGCGTTGCTAAGGATATGGAACAATAGGTTTAAGTTTTGTGCAAATTTTCAGGGAAATATAGAGTTTTACGAAATTATACTTCATTACAGCCATCAACCAAAACAATCTATGCACAAATTCCCCACCCTCATTTTTTGCTTCAAACATGTCTGTGATCTGAGACGACCCATCTCATCGCTCTATCTACTGCAACTAACCGACCATCATTCAGCCATCTGCTCCATTAGCACGTCCCTTACATCACCTCCCAACCCCCCTCAGCAGTCTCCCCCTCGCCCTTTCCAAAACCCTCACCGTCCCAACCGGCACTGCTAACGCAGCATCCACCTCCGCAAGCCCATCCCTCGCCCTCCACTCCTCCGACAACAACCCCAACGCCGCAAGTCCAAAACACCCATGATACACGTCCGGCGGACCGCCAGGGTACTTCGAAAACCCACCGATCGTGTGCGCAGTCCGTTCAAGCAGGAATCTCCTTGCTCGAGCAGCATCCAAAAGGTCGAAGTGCCCTAGGATGCGCAGCGCTGCGCCCACCCACCAGGTGTAGCATGTGTCGGGGAGTTTGTTGGCGCGACCGTTGAGGGCTACGTAGGGGAGGGGGTTAGGGGGAAGGAAGGAAGAGGGAGAGGGGGGTAGGAGGAAGTTGTCTTCGTCAGAGTCAGAGGAAGAGTCGTCGTCGGGGGAGTCGAGGTAGACGAATTGGCGGGAGGAGAGCCAGTGCAGGAGGTTCGGGAGGTCGCGGATGCCGTGGTGGAGGGAGGGGATTGCGTGGGGGGTGGTACTGTTTGTTAGCGGGCGGTCGAGAAGGGAGAGGGCGGCGATTGCGCAGAAGGCATAGCCGGCTGGGGGATGTTAGCGTGGGTTTTGGAGAAGGTTTTGGAGAAGGGATGGGAAAGGAAGGGACGTACCATGTGGCTCTTCCTGCGAGCTACCCGCGAAGCCGCCGTCGTAGGTCTGTTAAGTTAGCATCTCGTAATAAACACGTTATCCACTGCAACAACGTACCTGTGTTCGGAGGATATAGCTCCTCAACCCGTCAATATCAATATCCTCGACCCAACCATCATCCCCCTCCTTCACATCGCCCCTCAAAATCCACCGTATCGCCGATGCAATATAGCAATACCTCATGTCGTATCCCCCACCAATGTACATCTCCTCGCCCGGAATGGGCATCCTCCTGACGACCTCGCCGAAACTCCCATCCTCTCTTTGCAATCTCCTTAGCCATCTCAACGTCTTGACCCTGTCGACACCCACTAACGCACCATCGGGGTCGTTTTCATCTGCAAGAAGAGCCAGGAGAAGAAGGGCAAATACTGTAGCGGGAAGGTTGGCTGGGGAGGGGTAGTCCGCTGCTGGGTCGTAGTCTGACGACTCCCCTGGACTAGATTGATAGACATCTGGGTTGTCCGGCTCCTCGAACGGGAAAATGAGCGACGACGTAGCGATGAACCCGCCACCAGGATGCTGATGAGCGAGGATCCATTTCCGTAGCTGCTTTCTCAAATCTGGAGTAAGAAGGGGCTTCCTTTGAGGTTTGGACGTCTCATCTGGCGATGAGCATGACGGGGAGAGTGACGGCTCTAGAATGGCGATAGAATTAATGATGAAGTAGGCTAAAGCCATTCGGTTGCCTTCGTTCGAGAGGTAGTGATGGGGCAGCGGCGCGGTAAGACACATCCGCCAGTAACGCAGGTGACGGTCAATGTTGAGTGTCGGTTCGGGTTCTTGGAGGTCGGCCATGTTGTAAGTGAGCTCGGGAGGTTGGGTAAAGTGAAGATGAGAATGAGATTGAGATGCTGATATCAAGGAGGGGTCGTTTCTTGTATGATGTTGAGATTGATGACCTTTTGTAGTACTGATCCTGGCCGCCTTTTTAATATCCTGAAAAATAAGACCAACTCGTTCCAGTGTCTGGTCTACTCTCCTTAGACTTCAGATAACCAAAACACAAACAAACACCCGCCAAGAGGCATCACCGCCCCAATCGTCCAGCCCCGACCGAGGGGTAAAGCTCCAGCCACACCGCGGGGTTCTTTCAGACCTCACTCCCGTACCTTGCGTGGCGGTGCCTTGTGGCTCTCCAAACCAATCACCTACCTCCCCTCGATAAGACCTCCAACCCCCCTGATTACACGCGCCGTGCAACACGTGCATCCCGCCTCGACCTTTCGTATCGCATTCTCTAAGCCATCGAACCAGCCCTGCACAAACGAGGAGCACACCGGACAGACATTGGGCTGGAGCAGCAGCTTTTCCAGTGCGTGTGTGTCTGTGTGACGCTGTCCGGGACCGAGGGCCGCGCAATTCCATCAGGAGCCCGAAGATTGCCGCCAGTTTGGACCCGAACAAGGGAACAACAGCACAGCTTCAACCCGATCGAAACAGAAGGCCTTCCATTTTTCTTTTCTCGACTCTATGCTTGACCATATCTGAGACTCAAAAGAGAGAAAACAACCCAAAATGGCGCTCATATCCGCCCGCACAATCATCACCTCCCTCTCTCTCTTCCACCTCACACTGGCCTTCTTCTTTCTCACCAACCCGGCTGCTGTGTCCGACCAGGCAGTGGTGTACCTATTAGGCGAAAGCATGGGCCTGGTATGTCCGCTTCCTCTCTCTCCCAACACTCTCCAGAAGACATGCTAACATCGTTGAAGCCCCATTCCCGCTCATTCGACGCCCAGTCCCCCTCCCTCGCCTTCCTAGCCGTCATCCTCGGGCTCTTCGGCCTATGCGACCTCGTCACGCTCTCTCTCCCCGACGAGATCTGCATTGTCCATCACTGGGGTGTACAAGGTCCGTCTCTTTCCCCCTCCCTCCTCACCCTTCCTTCCCCCCTCAGCAACCTACTAACATTCCCGGTTTAAATAGCACCCCTCCGCCTAACAATCTCCCTCCTCCTCTCAGCCTACTCCTTCTTCCTCTCCCCGTCCTCCCCCTTCTTCTACACCTCGCCCAAGGACTTCCCCCCGTACACCTCCGACACCCGCGCGCCGTTCGCCCATCCCTCGGTTCACCATGCGACACACAACCCGGCGTATATCCCCTCTGGATGGGGCGGCGATGCGCTGAAGAATAGGGTATTTTTCACGTTTATGTTTGTGGAGACTATGGGCTGGTTCTGGGCGCTGGTTACGTTGCGGGAGGAGCAGAGGGAGATTTTGGAGAAGAAGGAGCGGCAGAGGCAGAGAAGACGGAGTAGTGGCTCGGGGAGTGGGTTTGGGAATTTTGCACGGTAGAGGGACCAGACGATGAGCTGGGTTGCATGGAGATTTTGCATCTACAGTATTTCAATAATGTAATGTCTTGGCTCCAGCAGGAAGAAGGGTTTGGTCACGGCCGGTTCAGTTCAGTTCATTCATCAGCGATACCTCTTAGCATGGTGCATCTAATCTCACAGCTGGCACAGAATCAACATCATCATTTTATTTTATTTTATGTTATTTTATTTTATTTCATTTTTCTCTTTCGTATCTTCCACATCTCCCAACAGATCCTACACATCTCCCTACCTACTCCCACCTAACCATTCCCCACCCCTTAACCCCCTCCCTCCAACTCTCCACCACTCTTCCAACCCACTCTTCAGCCTCCTCCCGTCCCCCAACAACCCCCTCAACAGCCTTCTCCACATCCCCCCCTTTCTCAAAACACAAATTCAACACCCGATCCAACCATCCTCCCTCCGCAAGCATCTCCTTCAACTTTTGCACATGTCCCTTCAGCTCCACCAGGGCCTTCGTCGCCGTCTCCCCCAACACCCGCATTTCACTCAGCGCGTCACGGTGCAGACCTGAGCGACCCGTCCTGTCGCGGGAGATTTCCTTGTCATGGAAGGAGGTGGCAAAGAGAGAGGTGTGTTTTATCGCAAGGGCGGATTCGCGAAGGAAGGCGAGGGTGTGCAGGTTTGTTAGGGGGGTTAGGGCAGGGAGAGATGCAGGACTATTAGGGGTGGGGGAGAGGGTTGTCCGAAGGGAGTTGAATGCCTTCTTGATGGAAGCGGTTGTGGAGGACAGGGATTTGGAGACGGGTTCGGAGCGCGGGGAGGAGAGGGCGGTGAAGAGCGCTGAGGAGAGCAGGGAGATGATGGTGTAGTACGTGCGTTCCGCGGGCGTGAGGAAGGAGTAGGTGTTCGGGGCGTTGATGAAGTCTGTTAGGGAGGCGCTCAAGTCGTCCAAAGTGTCGAGGGTGTATTCGCGGTCGCGGACGGCGACTTCGTTGGGGCGGTTGGCCTTGAAATCTTTGGGGGGTTTGTACGAGAGAAGGTCCATGTATTGTTCCGCCAGGAAGGCTAAGTGGCTGCGCTCGTTCTGGGATACGTTAGAAAAAGCAGGTCAAACGACTTGACAACGGAATGCTCACCGAAAGCCCAGGTCCAAGACGTAGATACTCATGAATAGGTGGACCGTGTGGGCTCTCAAGGTTAGGAAACGGCCCGTAGTCCGTCTTGTCGACGAGGACCGTGTCGTGCGTAATTTTATCTGCTTTTAGTTAGCATGTCAAGAGTACAATCGACCTGACAGGAAACTTACCAAGCAGAGGATGTGCCTCAATCTCGCACTCCTGCCTAGCACCATAACACCTCCTGGCCCGTCTCTCCTCGACGACTGTCATCATGAGCGTGCAGCTGCGGCGCAGCCGGCTATCATACTCGCTCATGTCCAAGATACTCGTATAGCTGCCGGCCAGGAAAGCGTCCCAGATCCTAACCGGCGAGTTATCTCGCAGGCTCTGGTTGTAGAAACTCCTAAGCTTCTCCGTCGGGGGCACCGACCCTTGGAAGAGGCCGGGCGAGAGGCTTGATATTCTGTCGAAAAAGAGCGGGCTGAGAGCGTCCTGGATCGTGCGCTTCACGCCAAGGGGGTTCCATAGCTGGTAGGCGTAGGAGGCACAGCCCAGAAGCAGGTAGAGTTGCACCAGTAACAGGCGAAGCTCGACATTGTTGGGGGTGAACTTAAGCTGGCTGTCAAGAAGTAGCACCGCTTGCAGGAACAGGCCGGGGTTAACGTCTTGCCAGAGAGATGATGAGGTCGGATCAGAGGTCCGTGGACGAAGGCCAGAGAGCTTCAACAGCGACATGGCGATAGCGAAGGCCAGGTCGAGACGAGGATCTTTGTCGAGGGTCGGAATGTGCTCCAAGATCTCCTTGTCACTGTTGATCTCGTTGTACGCAGCAGACGCCTCGACGACGATCTTGCGCAGGCAGTGCTCACAAGGAAGCGAGGCTTGGTTAGAACACATAAGGCATTGGGAAGACCCCTCAGACTGTGATGTTAACGTCTGAGGGCACGTAGTCAGGAGGTAGCGTAGTCGGCACTCCAAAGCCTTGAGCGCCATGAGACGCGCCTTGGATGTATTCTTGCGCTGGTCAGTCATGTCTCTTGATGACAATCTGTGGGCAATTCTCACCTCGTCCAAGATGCCCGGCAGGACGTCAAGGAAACCCTGCATCTCCTCAAAGCTGAGCTCTGACACATACCCCTTGACGTCGTCAAAGGCTGCCAGCTTGTCAAAGTACTGGTCTAGGAACAAACCAAGTTGCTCGACCCTTGGCGACAAACTGCTATCGGCCTGGTTCTGGTTAATCGCCGGCAGCCGGAAGGTAGTCTCGAGAACGGCGAGACTGATATTTTTTCTGTACAGGGGGATTGCCTGAGGCTTAGCCTCGAGGAACTTGTCGAGGATTTCTTTAACCTCCTTGACGGCACTACGACGGTGAGCTTATGATATTGAACGAACATTACTGAGTCAGCCTACCTCTCAGAGTCAGCGACCTTGCTAGCAGCCGTGGCAAACAGTCGCCATATCCGCAGGTCACACACAAAGAAGAGCGTCGTCTCGCCGTCGAGACCCAGTTTCAGCGCATCACGGCAGAGGGTGAAGATGAGCTCCCACTCGCCCCACTTCTCGAGGGCATCCAATGCCTCGCAGAACAACAGCTTGTGGCCCTGCTTCAATTGGCTTAGGGCACCCAGCTTGGGGCTTTGCAGACGAGAGATGAACTCGGCCTTGGCCCCTTGCCTCAAAAGTACCCGGTAGTATAGGCATACCTCTTCCTCGGTTACGAGGCCCCTGTCGGTAGATTCGAGCTTGGGCGACTGCTAATGTCAGAGCCTATCCCTTAAGTGTGTACGACGATCACATACGTTCTCAGTCAGGTCGGCCGCGCGCTCCAGCTGCTTTGCCGCTAGCAGGCTGTACACCTTGCGGCTGGTATCACTGCACTGGGGGCTTATCTGTCCATGTCAGCTGTGCGCTCAGGAACTAAGGGCTGGGAGACACACTGAAAGCAGGAACGTAAGCGTGATGTTCCAGAACATGAACCGGCGGTCCGACGTGTTGGCGTATGTCTTGTCCAGTGTCGTGGCGATCTACTTCAGTCAGAACTCCTGAACTGATTAATACTACACATCAGAGGAGCTCACCTGCTGAGCGCTCACGAGATCCCAGCGCTCGACACACGCCTGCAACGACTGCAGAGCAATGGGGCTCTTGGGGTTCGCCTTGACCCAACGCACTCTCAAGGGGCCAAAGGTGTCGGCATACTCAATGTCGTAGTCAATAAAGTCCCGACACGCCCACTCGTAGAGTTCGAGGATATCGATGTCGGGGACCTTCTTGTTCTTAACCAGCTCGTCGACAGCCGTGAGCACGGCACTCCTGTCTGCAGAGCCGTCAAGCTGAGCCTCGGCACAGATCTTGATGGCCTGTCATGAGATGAGTAAGTGAGCATGAGTCCAAGCTCAGAGTGAGTGAGGCTGAGATAAGAGCTCACCTCATAGTAAGGGTCCTTCAGGGTGGCAGCGCGTCTCGCGGCTAGACGAATGACCGTGTTCCAGTTGCCATCTTCAAACGCCGTCTGCAGCTGCACGTCCACACTGGCCTTGAGTGCCGGGCGGCCATAACGGTAACCCATGGACATGGTGCCGGCCGGAAGGGGAGAGTGGTCACACTGTTACTTCACTGTCCAAGTCCGGGTCCAGATCCCAGGACTGACTTTTTTGTAGCGTAGCGGGGTAGCCGGGCAGTCCTCCGTACGCCGAGCCTAAGGTATCGCTGTATCGCGGTAGCAACTATCGCTGAAATTGCTGATAGGCAGCGCGGGGCAGAGCAAGGCACTGGGCTACTAAGAATCACGCAGTTGGTCGTAGGGGCAGCATTCGGGCAACAAAAGCTGCTTCAGAATGGAGTGAGAAGTATCTCAAGGCCCAATAACGTTGGCAGAAGCAGTGGAGGTGCAGTCTGCTCTGACCTGCTCAAGCCTCGCAGCTAAATGCTGCATGCAGCTTGATTCCATTCTGGCGAGCATGGTGGGGCATGCAAGCTCTGTGGGTCTGTGCGTCATCAACCCCACTATGAAAGTGGGAGGTCGAGCATGCGATGAACGCGGCCTCGAGCATGGACATGACGGCCAGAAACTGGATGACCTATCTCTGCTCTAACTTGTTAACTACGACAATTGCCAATTGATATCTTTTATTCATACAAATGTCTATTCCAAATCATCCACTCAGGAGGTGTAATGTTACAAGACATCGTACACTGTCCCTCTTTCCTGTTGACTTCCATGACAAGCCATGAGCCTTGTGTACTGCCATGTTTTATTCAGTATCGTAAGTATTATGGGGCAATCCCCGTCGTTATAAACGATGTCTTAAAGGCGAGTCATCGAATCGAATGGCTGAAACGGGGTATCACGAAAACCAACCCTTCTTTTCCTTCTTGCGCTGCTCGAGCTATGTTAGGGGAATGAGTTAGCACAATTCAACGGGTAAGCAAAACATATGATCGTACCCAAGCCTTCTTGCAATCTCTATACGCCCTGTGATACACCCTGTCAGAACCAGTCCCCTGAACAGAGTCCCCCAAAGGAAAGCACGAACTGGAAGTAATCCGAGCACATCGTCCGATCGCCATTATTCCGGTGCAGGCATCGTATACTCCGGGCGGCAGCCTCTTGGCACGGGTCTAGATATGCACTGCGGTCCTTCCTGTAGGGATTGACGTCAGCGATTCTGGACTGTCAACTGTCTCAGCAAGCTCTCAATCACAAGACTCACTTCTCAAACTTCTCTCTCGTCTCTGGGGTCCACGGATCGCCCGTCGACACCATTTTTACGTTTTTTTGAATTGGCCTGTCCATGAAACAGTGGCGCGCACGCAGGACGAGGGTCGAGATGGCGGCTTGGACGAACGACTAGACCTCGGGCAAGTGACTGCCGACGTTCCGTTCTTCGACGTCACCCCCAGAGCCGCAAACCCCGCTGCCCTTGGGTGTGCCAAGACCGCACGGACCAATGACCCCAGGAGCTGACGCACAAACCACATCTTGTAGCCTCTGTGGGGATCAGCAAGCTACTTGGCCCGGTGGTTCAATGTATGCAATGTGATGTTCCTTGCTGCGGCTGAAGAAAAAAAAAAACAGACATAACTGAGCTGAAGATCGCCAGCCGGGCTTAGCGTGTCCGCGCGGTTGTGTATATGGTGAACCTCCTGTATACGGCAAGATAGTTTCGTTATATAAATCTACCTGCGGCTCTAGAACAGTCGGGTATGTCTGCTCTTTGGATCAGCTGTGCCTTCTGAGCTATATCGGTGCCGGTAGCGGGACCTGCCTGGCTCACACTCGCCAGGACCATCCCAACCAATCTCACAGGGATTCTTCCCCGTCCAGCTAGTTAAGTTCCCTTAGGCTTGGCGTCCCGCCACATTTTCACGCCCAAGGTCCAAGAGTAGCGCCAAACTTAATTAACCTGACTTACAGCACCAAGTGTCTCTTGAGGGTCACCAACTGTCATTAGCCACGATGAATGCCTATATGACTCACGGCCACTTGCTTATCACCTCTGAGAAACGGTTAAGCCACATAGTGTGCTGCAGGCCTGCAACCTCACTGTGACGATCCAGCTAAGCCTTCCTGAGATGTGTTCAAGTTTGGTTCAAGGCTTATGGATCTGGAAGACAGCAGTTCTCATACGGATTTAGGAGCATTGTGGTCACCGGTTGGTCTAGGCAACTGCTTGGATTGTAGACTGGGAATTCTTCCGCCCCCCCTTTCCAGCTGCGAGGCCTTTATCTACCTCATTTACTCAGAATCCTTCCTTGTCTCTTCTACCAAGAGCCTTTCAGTCCTTTGTCAGTGATTCTTAACTCTGATGACATTTCGTCAGAAACCCCTTATTTCTTCGTAGCAATCAGGCTATGAAGTCTAAAAGACAGAAGTTCTCACGCAGAATGTCCAACGCTGCGGTCATCAGCTGGGGTAAGCAGCCGTTTATATTGCTAACTAAGAAGCCCTCATGGACATTCTCAAGTGGCTCACGAGCTACATCCTTATATACACGATGTTGATGATTCTCCCTTGGTGATAATCGTTGTTTCCCAGAGATGACCCTCGCGCCTGTGCAGCCATTTGTCACTCTTGGCAGGGTGATCATCAGCCGGGTATTTATGATTATTTTCTGATTTGCCCATTTCCTTTATGCCTTTATGCCTTACAAGCCTTACTTTTTATGATTTGCTCATAATAGCAGAAAAGAGCTAGGGAAGATCAAACGTTTTCCCTTTTTAAGTCTAGGTCTAGATCTTCAAGAGAGCTCTCTCATGTGTGAGGCAGCTCCAACTGTACCTTATTAATTGGAAGCGATATAGACATTTAAGTGAAGATATGTATCTTTGGACTATGAGTGCTAAAGATCTTGCTATTGCAAAAATTTGCATGTTTTGTTATGAAATCATCAAAATCGTAGGGCATATGGCAGGGACAGGAAAAACAGTAAAGCACTACAAACTTGAATGTTAAGCATCCACATGCATAATGAAATGAAATTAACATACTATGGCTTCCTTACTCGCAACAACCGCTCTTGAGGGTCAGTTTTGTCTCTCTTTTTTCTTACCGTGATCGTAGCAGCAATAGTTACTCGTTTCGGCTTTTCAGGGTGCCGAAAGAGCTGGATGTGAACTTGGTCGTAACGGAGACCCATTAGAGAACCGGGCCTGGGTCCAAAGCCAGCTTGAATCAGCGTAGGGCGGAGATCAATCTGAGCCTTCGAGTTGCAAAAGATATCTTTTACATGACTCCACACAGTGAGTCCTGAAGCGCAAGGAGGTCCTTAGTATCACTTCAACCTTATCGATGGTTAAGGTTGGATCAAGCTTGAATTCCCGGGTTGCGTGCAGGATAAGATACTACCAAGCTGGAGTCAGTAAAACAATGTCTAAAAAATGTCAAGTGTAAAAGAAGGACAATTATCTCTAGACTTACATTAGTGATTTCGACCACAGGTCGGTTTCGTGACATACCTGGCTCCCATCTTAATCTCCGTTTCTCCTGTTTTCCGGGCACTTCCGTCTCATGTCCCGTAAGACCGTATTGTCATCCTTCACCTAAAGGTTTTTTTCAGACTTCGACTATATACCGGGTAGTTTTCTAAGCGTTTGTACGATTGGAACTTCTTGCGGTCCGAGTACTGAACAGTCTTTACGAAAAATTCTGATGTAGTATTTCGGAACGGCTTTCAATACGGCCTTAGCATACGCTTTATCGCAGCAACGATCCAACACACAGTTCTGTCGCAACAGCATTGCCGTGTCTCTTACAACACAGTCGTTGCTGTTAAGTTCCTTCCGTTAGGTTATTCCGTTTTGCTCCGTTTATAATCGATATCGTTAACAGTGGGAACAGAGGGGTCCGTCTTCAACCGCTGATGCTTATTCTTTTTCGTCGTTTCTGTTCCGGAAACATAAGGATTAGTGTCGCGTCCAGAAAATATCCCCCAGAACTGAAATCCTCATCGTTGATCTAAGGTGTGCCAGCTTGTCTCTGCCTGAATGCTACAACATCGATCCTAACTTTTTCATCTACGTATCTTTCAACACAAATTTCCCGCTTTCCGTTGACCTGGTAAAGATGTTTCAGCACAACCAATGCTCCCATTTCCTTCTCCAAGCTCCTTCAAAATCTCCCCTTCATCTGCCATCAAATTAAAAATCCATCGTGAACTGGATGGTTGTTGGCGGCTCTTTTCCGGCCGACATCACGAACATTCCATGATTTTGTCGACCAAGACCGTTTTGTACTGCTCCTTATGTTTCAACTCATTGACTTCCGCCCGGTGCCGGCACCGACGCCAGCGTCTGGCCCCAGCAGCTGTCCGAACATCGGGCCAACCAACTCCGTTGGCTGTCAAGGTCTATTTGATTTGCGACACGCCGGGCTTCGGCGCCTGCATTCTTGCGAGCATGGTAAGCAAGGTGTGGTTGAAGGTTTCTTCTAATTTAGCGAGGGAGGAGAGTTGGGAGTTGGGGATCTTTAGGAGATGAAGTTGAGGGAGTAAGAGGTCGAACATTGTGATACTAGAGCTGGGGGGTTGGGAATCTTCATATCTACCTGTTTTGGTAGGTTCCTGACATTTAAGAACTAGTTAGCAATAATATAATTCAGGCCAGTTTCCTCAATAGAGATGAACAAGAATTTTCTGTTGAAAATGCAAAATTCGGTTGCTCTGCCTATGTGTGGGTGTTGGAACCAAAGATCGGATGATGAGGCATCGTAGACCCTATATCACGCTCTTCCGCGCATGTTCTATAGTGAGGCCAAAGCGCAAGCGCTCTCAAGCCTTGTTGGTCCACCACACTCTGTCCATAAAATAGTTTCATCTATTCTCTTCTCCCTCAATTCTCCAATACGTTCACTCTTTTCTCTGTTCAGATCGTCGTTTTGAGTGCGTCCCCAGCTTCAGCTCCAGTTCATCAACTAGAGACTGATATACGTTCGTTACCAAATTGTCTTCGCATTGTCTTCAGCATCCCTTCGCTTGTTTTTCCACAAATCTCTCTTAGAAGATATTCCTAAGGCACATATCTTTCGTCCTCGTCAACACTTGTCTGAGTTGTCACTCAGCTTGCCCTGCCAACCTCGTCGAGGCACTTCTTTGGGCTCGTCTCCAAGTGTTAGCCCATTTTCGGTCACTCGAACCCAAGGTGCTCAAACTCGAAGTACTCGGGTTTCGAAGAACAGCTAAGGTACAAGGAAATTTTATGTCCGATAAGGCCCGCTCAAGCTAACATTTCGTCGGACATAGTTGAAAGTTAGCCCAGGCTATATGAAGCACGTTCTGTGCAAAGATCTCATCTTTCGACAAACCAGCTCATCACAACCTGTGGGTCTTTCAGAAACCAAGTGTAAAATGGCTGCTATTCCCTCTCCTTTTACTTGCCGTTGGCCCCTCGAACCATATTGGGAGTTGAAGGGGTTTGATTTTACTATGATAAATTTCCACGACATCAGCAACACCATGAAGGAGGTGTTGCACGACCCGCAGTTCACCACTCCCGTTCCTCAGCAGGCCAAGAACGACGAGACTGAGCAGGAGCACATTGTAAGGGTCGTCAAAAATAACTTGGCTGTTATCTTCAAAGCCATGTTGCACTCCGAGGATTCTTATATGGCTCAGAACTTTTGGGAGAGAGTGAGCATTTGCTCACATGGCCGCGGCACTCAAGTTTCCTCAACGATTTCTGAGCTGTTTATCGAGGCCCGCAGGACCTACACCAGCAGATTTGGGGATAGCATCATCAATGGCGCCACGATTTATGTGGACCAGTGGATAGAGCTCGTCGACGCACTCGCGAGTGGTCATGATCCACGGAACAAAAGCCGGAAGGCATGGACGACAAAATTCAGGGAGTGGACGGAGAAGCGCCAGAAGGGTGAGCTCGAAAACCTGGCTGATAAAGTAGAGCATGACCTGAGCTCTCGGCCTCAATATACTCAACGGAGAGGAATGTCCGGGTCTCAAAACGGCAGGCGGCCTGCTGTTAGCCACGATAACGCAGAAGGCAGTCAGAACAGCGATTCCGACAGCGATAGCGAAGTTGTTGTCGTTTCTGAGAGAAAATGTGAGAGGTATCCTGCTCAAATAAACGATAAGGGTAAAAGAAAGACTGTTGAGACGGCCGAGGAGGTAACCACTCGCCCGATTAAACGGCGCGCAGACAGATATCATCATCGGGCTTTAACCACCCCTCCTCAATCTTCTCCCCCGAGTGGTCACAACAGGTCGAGGAAGCATAACAACAACAACAACAACAACAACAACGAGGAAGAAGACGACGTCAACGACACTTGGGAAGGGCCGTCCGGTAGTCCCGCCGCAAGGCGATGTGCCACAAGGGCTGCTGCCCGTACTATCGACGACAGTGACGTTGAGAATCCTTCTCACCATCGTGACAACAACAACAGCAACGCCTGTCCGTCTGAGCATAATCAGCAAGAGGAAATCAAAGTGTTGAAGACCTCTGTTCTCCAGCTCCATAACCGTGAAAGGAACAGGGGGAAGTACATGACAACCTTAGCGCGCAAGACCGTCAAGAAGGAGTTTGCCGATTTCCTCAACGATCATAACGGCGAACTAAAGTCCCATAAGGAGTTGACTCAACAGGTCACAAAGCTTCAGGGGAGAGTCGAGGCTCGCGAGAAGCACGATGATAAACAGGGCAAAATGTTGAAAGACCTCAAGAATACCGTCAATGATCAGCTTGAAGACTATAAGGCTCTCGCAGAGAAGGTGGAGGTACTGGAGGCTACCACCAAGGAGTATGAGCAGCAGATTGAGGCACTCACCGAAGAGATCAAAGCCCTTAAAAATGCTGAATTCTCAACCGACTCTGGCTCCGACTTTGAGCCTGACTCCTCCAACGACAAGAAAACTGCCGCTAATGCCACAGTCACCTGGCAGGAGTTCCAGAAGATAAAGAATATTCTCAATAACCACGAGAAGGAGTTCGAGCGCCGCCTTAAGGCGCTCGAGAAGACTCTGTGCGAGCGCTATGAGAAGATCATTCGAGACCTTGAGAAGGAGAATGCTGAGCTGAGAAACATGCTTGCCCAGCAGAACCAGGCCACCGTCCAGAGCAATCAGAATGGTCAGCAGGATCAGCAGGTGCCGCAGCGCCAGCAGAACAACAACGGTGGCAGACAGGCACAGAATGGCCACCAGCACCAGATCCGGAACCAGAACAACCGGGGCAACAACAATGTTCGTTTTCAGTCTTACCAGTGCAATAGCAGCCGGTTCAACCAAAAGCGGCTGAATCACTAAGCTCAGGTCTGGGGGGTTCAAGTTCCCGTGATGGGCCATAGAGAGGTTAGCTTCTTCTTTTTTTTTTTTTTTTTTTTTTTTTAGGATTCAATTCGAGGGATTGAATGCAGAGTCAGCCACCAAAGACTGAGTAAATGAGATTGTTGACACAAAGTCAACGCTAACAAGAACCACGTCTCCATTCACTCTCCGACTGCAAGTCGGACAAAGAGAGAACGACCCTGCAGGTTGTTAGAAAGATCGCTGAGCGAGTAATGGTCGATTGCCAACCACTTACCCAAGGCTATATTTTGTCCTCAGCGCCCCACTAGTAACTCGACACCATGCCTTCACAACAGGATCATCGAGGAACCTCTTCGGGGCTTAGTGTTTTCGGAGCTCGGAGTCAGAGGAAATACCCCAGGAGAGCTTTGCTATCAGTTGCTCCATTGTTTTAGAAAGTTTGCTATCAAGGGAGAATGCATGCTTGGGCATGGCACATGTACTTACCTGAGAGAGTCCTAATAGATCATTGACTTGACAGACCGTCGTAGAGGCCCAGGCGTTTCAATGACTGGTGACTAACTCCATCGACAACTATTATCACAACACGGATCAAGCACAACCTGCAAGCTCTCTGCTGCATACACACATTAATGACCATACCATTCCTCATTACTGAAACTAAAAAGTACATAACAATACTGCCGATCAGCCAGTCCTACCAACGTAAAATGATCCAGACCCAGTCCTTAACGCCTGTGTAAACATGACATTATTGAGCCAACCCATACCCTACACGCTGAGGCATAAGCAATCATAGCTCCCTATACCCGTGTGGCACCCAAAAAGAGGTACCTACCCAAAGTACGCACTGACAAACCGCGAAAATGCCGAAGCAAGCAATCCCATAACTTCAGCCCTCGGACCAGCCCATCCCCATCCACAGCAACCCCCCCAAAAATGACCCCAAAATCACCGCCGTCAACACTCCGGCACCCGCGCGATCCCCCACAGTGATAGGTCTCATCGGTTCAGGATCATTATTCACCAACCCAGCATTCGGATCACCGCGGCTCGTCCCGCCCGTATCATTCGTCAACGGCCCCCTCAGCACATGTGGCTGATCCAACAACAGCGTACTCAGCGCCGCGACCGCACTCATCTGCTGGCCCGCAGGACCATTCGCCACGTCCTCATCATACTTGCCAATATTCCAGCGGAAACCGCACGTGCCGTCCGCCAGGCAGGAGGAGACACAGCCTTCGGTGGAGGAGCGCAGTGTGCGCATGATGGTGTCGCGCGTGAAGGGGGCGACGACGGCGACGGTTGCCAAGGCGCGGTGCATGTAGCCTTTGAAGGAGTGCTGATCGACGTTGCATTGCATGCGATCGGGGAGCTCGCAGGCGCGCTCGACCATGATGCCTTCGGGGAAGAAGTGGTCGATTGTGCGGTTGAGGAGGCCAAGGACGCGGGAGCGCCATTTTTCTTCGAGAGTCTACGTAGAGTCAATATGGGGTTACAACTCCGCAGGGGAATTGGAGAGACATACGTAGTTGTACATGATAGCAGCTGCATGGATCAGCAGGGCCGCGTTGGTTGAGAATTGCACCGGGTTGATGTCAGTGCAGTTGTGCTCGACGTGACCACCATCGAGGACGTTATACTCTTTGGTGATGTAGCCGACGCCCTGAGTCCAGTCCCAGGCAGTCTCGGCCCAGCGAGCGTAGGTGTCATTGCGAGTGTAGCGGGCCAAGCGAGAGGCAATATTCATGAAAACGACCTGGGCGATCGTGTTCTTGTAGTTGTAGCCGGCATTGGTGTGGGGGATCTGCCAGCGCAGACCACCATTGCAAAATTCCATGTCCCAGAGACGAGCCTGACGGTTGAACACTGCCTGAGCGAGAGCCAGCCATTGCGGCTCATCGGGAGCCGGATTAGGGAAGTTCGTCTCAGCAGCCAGCATGGCAGCCATGCCCCAGAAGCCTTGGTCATCATTACCTAGCGAAAGAGTCCAATTCCGCGGCTCGAAACTGTAGCCAGGACCCTCGGCCTGGAAGACAAGAGAACGGCGCGTCTCATTGACGTAGGTATCATCGCCAGTATAGTACCAGTAGTCGATCAACGTCCCCCACATCGCACCAGCCTGCCACCAGTAGTATGGACCACTAGGTACGGCAGGATGCGGGCCAGGCAGAATACCAGGTGTCTGGCCGGGTTTATCGCCGTGGTAGTAAGTCCAGAGGTTCCCAGCTACAATTTTAGCAGCGCGACGGATGGAGTCTAGAACGTGTGTCAGCAACATGAAACGTGCCATTTTACTTGTGTGAACATCCATGCGGAACGGACTGCGACGACGCACCGTAATCGTCAAGATCGACTTGCAACTTAGCCCGCCCATCTTGCGCATGGACGCAGGCTGCTGTGAGAAACAGCAGCGCTGCGGCTATCGACGCCAGGAATCGGTTCATGTTGGCGAACACATTGGTCTGAAAGAAATTGCGTGAGATGTGGTGGATGACGACAACCGGTGATAGAGATGTCGGTACGTGTGATGGGCAATCAACGGGTAATATCCACTTCTAATGTAGTCCGTAGAGAAGGGTAAGTCAAGAGCGACAGCTAATGGCCAAATGCCAGTTGAAGTAGCCAAGGTGTTACGGTCTCATGGAGCGTCGTCCAACATTCGAGTCAGCTGAGCGGCGTCTCTGGTTCGAATTCCTCCGGATTGCGACTGGCTGCGGCAGAATAACTGGGCTTGAGAACTTGGCGCTGCACTTAAGATTGATCGTCGCACAGTGATCACGGCGTGGGTCGTCGATGGCACAGGCTTTAAGCGTTGATGCCTTGATGTCAGCGGCGTCACGGGCCTTGATGATGTTGCCGTCGCTGCTTGAATATGCAGCTGGAGGAGGAAGAAGAAGAGCCACCAAATCCAAACGCCGCAGTCTGCAAGCGCTGGATTCGGTGCTTTCCTTCTTTGTCGCTAGTAAAGTCGCTTCTCGGAGTCCTTCCGTAGGCCAAGCCAGGGATCGGGTCCCGGTCAGGGCTAAGGACCTGAGGCAGTGCAGCTTCGCAGTCTTGTTTGTGGAGAGTGGGGCCTCAGTCCGTCATCGAGGGGCAGCTGGTTGCTGATTGGTGCTTCAGCCATGCTTGACACACTCACTTGTCCTGCTTTGGCCTAGCGCCTCGTATCCATGTGGATCCCCCACTGGGGAACGGCTGGCTGATGCGTGCCGTCTTTGGCATTCCATGAACCTGGGTTATGAATTTTTGGTCGAACGTGAACCTGGCTTGCGTTTTAGGATATGATGAAATGCTCAGTAAATTTGAGCATACAAGGTCAAGGAGGTATATTTGCTATTTGGAGTTTTTTTCTCTGAATATAAATCAGAAAACCTATCAACCTATCCAACATCATGCACACACGAACAGGGGTTCATCATGCAACCGACCCATGTGAGGACCTCAAGGTTCTCGCTCTCAATCGAGCCACACCTCATCACTTGAGCTGCACAACGAGAACTTGAGATACATTCCATTTCTTCACGTTTATACATACCATCTGATCACCCCTTCACCTTATTACAGATACCACAAGATGATGAGTTCTTGTTTCCAACATGTTAATTTTGTTGGCTGGCATATATTAGAGAAAATGGCCACAGATGTGTGACCTTAGAGCTCAAAGAAGTTCAAAACGCATCACAGCTGATAACACCTAGCATGGCTTTTGCCCAACCCTAGCACTCAAGTAATCGAGAATGTGATAAGGAGATATGTCTCAAATGAACCCTAACTCCCGGAAAAAAAAAGAGTCAACAAAAGAATGGGCCACCGCTGGCTACGGGGGTAATAGAATGGTCATTTAACCCATTTCTTATCATTGTTTACTACAATCCGAATGATTATAATGTGGTTGACACTGGCTTTGGCTCTGAGTCCTTGTTTCCTTAACAAAAAGAAAACAAGCGTCTCTTTGCCCAAACAAAAGCCAAAACTTCAACCAAACACACAGCCTCGCTACAGAATCGAAGGTTGAGATTCACATTTCCTACGGCTGCGGCACCCGTCCTTCCCTTCTTCAACTTCCAGACTCCTCCCATTTCTCAAATTCTTCAGGTTTCTTAGCAAGTACCCAAAGTTTTATCGACTCCTCGACTGGGCCTTGGTTTCTTTTCATTCTTTTCACTTTTGCTCTGACAACTCGCACGCCCTTAACCCGACCCTCGGTTTCCAAAAACTTCCCGTAACCACACTTTGTAAGTTTGGATATATGCTATGTGATCCTTGGAGTAAGGGTTTCTCCAGTATTTACTAACTCAAGAGTCGATAGAAGGGAGCCGCCAACATGCCCTACTACCCCTTCAAGCGCCCGTATAGCTCCCTGTTAGGGCCGCCCATCATCCAAGCGACTCATGACGACGGCTTGCCTTTGGAGCAGCGCGGCAAGCGGGTGAAGGGCGACAGGACACGTCATAATTCCTTTGACGATATTGACGAAAATTCGGATCCCGGTTACGAACTCCAGAAGGACTGGGTTGGCATGGACTCCGAGCAAGAGTCAAGCCCCTGTAAGAAGGGGTCCCGCGTGAGCTTCGCGGAGTCGCCTTCTATCGTGATCTTCCGCGACGAGGATAGCTCCCAGTTGACCGAACGGAGCAGTCAGTCTGAGTCTGGAGACAAGAGCCCGAAGAGCAAGAGAAAGAACAAGGATGGAAAGCCAGCCGCGAACATGGCTAAGACTAGAGTCGATCCTGCCACTGTTTCCGGCTCAAAGGACGACCGCAGAGACTCTCCTAAGATGTCCTTAGACTTTGAGAGCCCGCATGTTTTTGTTCCGCCGATCAAGTTTGAGTCCAAAAAGATCAAACTTCCGAACTATACGGTACGTAAGACCAAGGTTAAAGCAGATGTGACTGGGGACACCCCCACAGAGTCTTCGCCTGTCTGGAGTGATGTTATTTCTTCCTCCGGAAAGCCAGACAAAAAAAAGAAAAAGAAGCACAAGAAGAGAAAGGACACATCTGAGACCCCCGAGACTCGAAAGCTCGAAACCACTACCGCCGTTAGCCCTGAGCCAGTCGTCGAGCGCGCTTCCTCTCCGCTCATCTCTGAGACCTCACCAGCCGACGCCAAAACCCTTAAGTCAATAAACAAGCGCCTCAAGTCCATCGAAGCCCGTCTGCATGTCCTCACCTCAGCTTCCGCAATTACTGTCTCCTCCGGAACCGAAGAACCCGACAAACAACGCCTCATCCTCCACCCCACCTTCACAGCCTCGGAACTGCAATCTCTCCGCGTCGAAGTCAGCCATCTCAAATCCCGCATCGAAGCAAATGCCATACGTTCAGCAGTCCGCCACGAAATCCTCTTCACGGCACTCACCAAAGTCTCGGCCGATGTCAACAAGCTCTCTGCAACAGTCGCCTCCATATTGGAGCGCGTGGCCTTCCCGTCGACCCTCCAGATCCAGCCGACTGATGATCAAGAGAGTGCCGAGAGCGCCAGCGAGACCGGTACCGGCGCCGCGAATGGGAGTGTCTTGACCCCCAATAGCGCAGCAAAGAAGACTGCCCGTTCAAAAGAGAAGATGCGTGCTGCGATGGACCAGGCACGGAGGAATATGGAGCAATGCCTGAGAATGTTGAACGAGGATATGAATAAGGCTGAGACGGCAGAGGAGGCGGAAAAGTTCGGTCAGTTGTGTGTTAGATATGCAGAGGATTTGTTTAAAACTCTGTGAGTTTGTTGTTCTGTGGGTTTCGTGAGAGTGGTAAGTCATGTTTGATGTCGGTTTATGTATCTGTGATATTTTGGGCGTGCCTTGAGATCTAGTAAGGTTGACGGCGTTGACTGCCAACTAAAGCATCTGGTGGTCACTCGTTGCTGGGCGTCTTCTGGTTGTTCGTATGTTTCCAGTCCTTTTCAGTTTGTGTGTCTCTATTGACGAAGCCGCACTCGGTAGATCCTTGGTCTAGGAAGGCAGAGCTGTGGCCGTAACATAGTCTTCATGTTACAGGCTTATAGCCTGCCATAGTGATGTGTTTTGACCGGACTTTTACGATACGCCTGCCTTGTAGTCTGTTTTATGATGACCCTCCTGTGCCTGGTTCAGTTAACTTATGTCTTCTGAATCTCCCTTAATGCTGGTTTCCTTCTGCCAAAGATATGTCTAAGTATTGGCAGCACATCATGGGATGCCTTCATTCCGGGCCGTTCTGGAGACGATGGGCCTCATGCGTTCGGTATTGAGCACAGAGTTAAGGACCAAGGCCCAGTGTAACTAAAATAGATTGTGTCCATTTCGCTGCCGACTTACTTCTTGTAACCCTGAACCTGAGGCAATTATTGGCATGTACATAGGAGGTAATGCTAGTATGTTGCCGCAACACTCTACGATCCTCAACGCAGGCAGATACAGGCGCTGAGAAGTAATTCGACATCATCATACAACATCAGGGCACAAGACTACTTGCATTAACTGTTTTTTCAACAGTAGATTTGGGCCATCTATGTACTCTACAAGTCCCAAACCAGCCGTCATTTTGACATATCGCCACATCAGACGCTTCCCCTTTAGTGCTTCTCCCGCTTCCGCGGAGCCGCCCTTATTATATCGTCCACACGCAACAGCAGCTGCAGCGTAAATGTTAGTAACTGCACAAGCCATCAAGCTGTAGGCTGAACAGGGGCATACCTCAGCAGCTTCGCTAGCTGACGACACAACCGCCCTCTTTAACTTGTAGCTCTCAATGACACCCAGCTCGCGCATGTCGGCGATGCCGCCGCCAGGGGTCATCAGGTCGAGACCATAAGTGGTCAGACCGTCGTAAATAGCCTTGCGTAGACGGGCAACAAGGTCACCCGAGTCAAGACCAGCGTTGTCGGCAAGGATGGTCGGCAGCTGGCGTAGAGCGACGGCGAAGGCAGCAACAGCAGTCTGCTTCTTGCCTTCAACGCGGGTCGCGGCAGCCTCGACGGCTTTGGCCATGATCATCTCGGCGCAGCCACCGCCCAGAGTCGTGCGAGGCTCCTTAACCGTCTGGGACAGGACGGCCAGGGCGTCGTGCAGACTGCGCTCGGCCTCATCGAGCAGCTGGTCGGTGGCACCGCGCAAGACGATGGTGCAGGCCTCGCCGGCAGCGACACCAGAGAACTTGATTAGCGTGTCCTCGCCAATCATGACCTCCTCGATCAGGTCGCAGTAGCCAAGCTTGACCTGCTCCGGGTGGTCGAAGGTCGAGGCGATCTCACCGCCCGTGACGAGGGCCAACCGCTCGATACCATCGAAGTCGGCGTGCTCAATCGACATGATACCGGCATCGGTGAAGAGCTGCTCCGGCCAGTTGTAGATGAGCTGACGGTTGATGAAGCAGTTGATGCCATGCGCCTTGATCTTCTCAACCTTAGCCTTCATCTTCTCGCGCTCGGCGCGCTCCAGCTCGGCCAGTTTGCTAGTCGAACCGACCTTGAGCCGAGCGCCAAAGATCTTGACCTTGTCCGTATCCATGGGCGTGTTGGCGATCAGGATCTTGGCCTTCTCCAGGCGCTTCGGCTGGTTGACACCAATCTTCTTGTCGAGAATGAAGCCCTCATCCAGGTACGACTCGCACAGCTTGCCACCGGCCTTCTTGATAATTTGGATATGGCTGAGGTCGGACGAGCCCTTCAGTCTGAGAACGGCTTCGACGGCCAGCTTAGCAAAGTGGTCCCGGTCCTGCGCTAGCACTTTGGAGCTGAGTGTTGTCCGGGCAATGGCCTGCAAGTCCTTCTTGAATTGCTCGGGGTTGTTGCTGTGGTCAACCGCCGACGCCTCGAGGGCCTTGAGGGCTGCCTGACTGGCTATCCGGTAACCCTCGATGATGGTCTGGGGATGGATCTTCTGGTTCACAAGCTTCTCGGCCTCGCGCAGAAGCTCAGCAGCAAGTACGGCGACTGATGTAGTACCGTCACCGACCTCGTCGTCCTGGACCTTAGAGATGTTGACAAGTACCTTAGCGGCAGCATTATCAAGAGCGATGGACTTGAGAATGGTCGCGCCATCGTTTGTTACCATGATCTCGCCGGTTGACCTGTATGTATCGCACTGTGTCAGTCTTCCTGGCCCAGTCCAAGCAACACACCTACCCCTACCCCGCGGGCCCAGGGCCATTACGAGACACTAAACGTACGCAGACTGCAAGATCTTGTCCATGCCCTTTGGCCCGAGTGTGCTCTTGACGAGGTCGCCGACGGCGATGGCGCCGACGAAGGCGGAGAGACGAGCATTCTCTCCTTTTTCTTCTGTGGTTCCCTCCTCGAAGATCTGGGTGGGGCTGAACGACGACTGTGCTTGCGGTGAGCATATGCTGGCACGAAGGGAGCGTTTGAAAAGCAGACGGGGGTCAAAAACATACCATGATGCCGACGGTGTTGGGTATCTAGGGGGTTAACGGAGTGGGCTGCAGCTGGCCCCAAAAATGGCACTGGAGATGGAAGTGGAAGGTGCTGGATAAAGATCGTGGGGATCTTGGATGAGGGGCAGCTCGGGCCAGGCAAGCAGCGCTCCTGCAGCCAGCCAAAGCTGCCGCAACTTTTTGCCCAGGCCTGGCAAAATGCGAGGTTCTGGGAGCTTCGCTCACCGCCTTCCATCTTCTCCAGCGCTGACTGCCCGACAGGTGGCGCCAGGTGCCGCCGGATGAGGGATGGTTCTGGCATGACCAGAGAAATGAAGTCAAAAATAAAGTAAACATCTAGACAAAGAGTTTTCTTCTCTAAAATACAGTAGACTTAATTTCAGCTGTTTTGATTTCTAACGTTTCGAGGTTAACAGCTTGATCCATAGATCGTTAGCTGAGGCTAACGGCAATCTTGGGCTTCAAGCGCTTCTGGTACGTATCATACAACAGCGTGCGGCGAGGGACCAGGGTGGGGCATTTTTTTCGACTCCCAAGGCTGAACCCCACCAAACTTCAGCGCAACGCACAAAATCTCAATTATCCCCGGACAAGAGACCCAGAGCCCGCGGCCGCGCAACGTCGAGAACCAAAACAACCCCTCCCCCTTTTAGCACCTCTCCGTTTCCGTTGTAGTCTTTCCGACCGAGAGTAGCCCAACATGGCGCCGTCATTCGATCACCTGCGCGAGGAAGACCTCGATGAGGAGGACATTGATATGGATGAGGTCGACATCTCCGATCTGAGAGAAAAATATGAGGTTCAGCTTGAGCAGGGCTACGACACCTTCGTCGTTATCGACGGTCTGCCTGCCGTCTCCGAGGAGCAAAAACCGAAGCTCATCAAGTTCTTGCTGAAGAAGCTGAACACCGTCGGCAAGACCCGCGAAGACATGATCTACATGCCTATGGGTGATGATGGCATGTCGTTGAGGTATGCGCCGGGAATTTGGCTATGCGGGGACCTGCAGGGACCATAGGCTGGCGTTCTTGCAGTCCTCATCACATGAAATGGCGCTGATTATTTGGCAGGTTCGCTTTCGTCGAGTACTCTTCCCCCGCTGAGGCCTCTGCCGCTGTCAGGCAACTCGACTATGTGCCCCTCGACAAGAAGCACACCCTGCGTGTCAACAAGCTCACCGACATTGACCGGTATGGGCGGGAAGGTCGCATCAGCGAGGAGTTTGTTCCCCCCAAGATAGAGCCCTTTCAGGAGAAGGAGCACCTTCGGTGGTTTATGGCCGACCCCGCCGATCGCGGCCGCGACCAGTTCGTTATGTACAGGGGAGACACCGTCGGCGTCTTCTGGAACAACGAGAAGGACCAGCCCGAGAATATCGTCGACAGGCAACATTGGACTGAGACCTTCGTCCAGTGGTCGCCTTTGGGCACATACCTTACTTCGGTGCATGCCCAGGGTGTCCAGCTCTGGGGTGGTGCCTCGTGGTCCCGTCTGCGCCGTTTCCCCCACCCCTTCGTCAACCTTGTCGCCTTCTCCCCTGGTGAGAAGTACCTGGTGACCTGGTCGAACCGCCCTATCCAGATCCCTGACAGCGGTCATCCCGTCCTCACCCTCGACGACGATGGCAAGAACTATATCATTTGGGATATCGAGACGGCTAGACCCCTGCGTTCGTTCGCCCAGCAGGATATCCACCCCGAGGAGCACGGTCCCAAGAAGGGTCCTCCCAAGTTTCCCTGGCCCGTGTTCAAGTGGTCTGCCGACGACAAATACGTGGCTCGGTTGAATCAGGGCACCTCCATCTCCATCTATGAGCTCCCCAAGATGAACCTGCTCGACAAGCAGGCCGTCAAGATTGAGGGCGTCATGGACTTCGAATGGGCGCCCGCCACGGTGCAGAGGGAAGGTGTCAAGACCTACGAGCAGCTCTTCTGCTTCTGGACTCCTGAGATCGGCAACAACCCCGCGAGGGTCGGTCTCATGAGCATCCCCTCCAAGCAGATTGTGAGGACGCTCAACCTCTTCAGCGTCTCGGATGTCAAGATGCACTGGCAGTCGGAGGGTACCTACCTCTGCGTCAAGGTCGACCGGCACTCCAAGTCCAAGAAGTCGCAGGCAACGACGCTCGAGATCTTCCGTGTCAAGGAGAAGGGCGTCCCTGTTGAGGTGGTCGATACGATCAAGGACACTGTTATTAACTTTGCCTGGGAGCCCAAGGGCGACCGCTTCGTTATCATTACCACTCCGGAGCCTGTTGGCGCCACCGCTGTGCCACCCAAGACATCAGTCTCTTTCTTCTGCCCTGAGCTTAAGAAGGGCAACCAGGTCGGCAGCTTTAAGCACCTGCGGACTCTTGAGAAGAAGAACCACAACGCGATCTACTGGTCGCCCAAGGGCCGCTTCGTCGTCATTGCTACCGTCCACAACACCCAGAGCTCCGATCTCGAGTTCTGGGATCTGGATTTTGATGGCGAGAAGCCCGAAAACGAGAAGGACCTGGCCGCCTGCTTGCAACTGATGGGTACTGGCGACCATTATGGTATTACCGATGTTGAGTGGGATCCTTCGGGCCGCTACGTCGCCACCTGGGCATCAGCGTGGAAACACACGGTAAGCACCAATCCAGTCAACATCCGGAGAATACTGGCTAACGTATGTAGATGGAAAATGGCTACCACCTCTACGACTTCAAGGGCGAGCTCCTGCGTGAGGAACACATCGAGAAGTTCAAGCAGTGGCAGTGGCGTCCGCGGCCGCCAACCCTGCTCACCAAGGAGGAGCAGAAGCAGATCCGCAAGAACCTGCGCGAGTATTCTCGCATCTTCGAACAGGAGGATGCCGAGCGTATCAGCTCCGCCGACGTGGCCGTTGTCGAGGCCCGCCGCCGTCTACTCAACGAATGGTACGCTTGGCGCGAGGCTATCGAGAAGGAGGTTGCCGAGGAGCGTGCTGCCCTCGGCCTGCCTGCCGACCCTGCTGCGGAGCTGCTCAAGCGCAAGATCGCCGAGGTTGCGCCCGACGCCCAGGAGCAGGTCATCGAGGAGATTATGGAGGAGGTGCTCGAGGAGACCGAGGAGATTGTCAACTAGTAGTTTCTTTCTTTCGGATCTCCTGCTCGGGTATCGTCGATCTGATAATGGCGTTTAGTCTTACATTCCTCACACACACACACCTTCTCTCTGTTCTCCTTTTTCTCTCTTGGGATTTTTCCAGATCATCTAGGTATCTCTCCGGGTCTCGTTTGCGCGCGGGCCAAAAACAAAAGTGGATGCGTGGGTGGTTGATTACACTATGTAGGGAATGGTCATGATCCATGGTTTCTTCATGCCTCGTATGTGATTCACGTGGGAGTTGTATTTTGCAGAGGGGGGGTTCTTGGAGGCTCTTGATCGATAAGAGCTCATTCCAACTGTCCCTCTTCACTCATCACAAGTCAGCTGCTAGACCCCCTCTCCTGGATTTCTCGCTCAAAGACTCGGATCTGGAGCTAAAGTGTTTGGTGGGTATTGGCTATGGTACCGGGCGCTTTGTAAGAAGTATCTAGTCAGATGACACTGGTTCGTAAACAAGGCTTGAGGATCGTGGAGGTAGGGCTGTACTCGTGCAAATAGTGTAAAACGCCATCTGACCTTGACACTGAGACCTCGCCCTGCCACCTGGTGACTCAAAAACATATACCTTGTACCGCTTGAGTAAAAGGAGTGAAGGGTTTGCCCAACAGACGCTTGTGTAACCCGGGCCACGGGGCAGTCTCACTGGTTGCCCCTCCATTGGAGCTGATGTGGACCTGCAGCGGCCAGGTAGGCCATATGAGGTCGGTGTTTTGAAGCCATTCGATGGCATATGATTATGAGAAAGCTTACTGTAGGAGTCTTACATGGATAATTTATCTCAATGCTATTGAGACGTCTCTTATAGGGACCAGGCGATATTCTGTGCCATGTATCAAGTTGAATAAGGCCCAACAACATTGAAAGTGTTTGGCAATAGTATGCCCAAACACATCTCTTAACCTTAAGGGCAAATACTCTCAACTGTTAGTGATACTCTGTCGGGGAGAGACGGCAACAAAGCGGGAAAACTGATTGTTTTGAACAAGCTCGCATATGCTCTTCCGAACGGCTAAAAATTTGTAAGAAGCATAGTGAAGGTATCAAGCAAACGTGCTCTTAGACTAACACAGGTTGAGAGGCTTGCAATTGTAATCACATTAGTATCATAGTGGCTGAATTCTGAATCCAACATGCTGTGCACCTAGTTGCAAGCCTTTTTACGCTATTTTGACTGCTGTTCTTACAGGGGTAACAAATCTTGCAGTTGGCAATAAGCCTTGCTCTCCCGCTAAAAGCGTAAGCTTCAGCCATAGCTAGCTAGTTATAGTGCAAGGCTAGATCCCCACTTGCGGATCGCTTTTATTGATACCTTTTTATAAGTGTCCTCCTAGGCTTTTTTATATAAACATCAATCTCTGAAACTTGCAAACTTTCTTGTGACGATCCACCTAGCTTTCCTGAGATGGGTTCGGATTCGTATCAAAGCTTATGGATCTGAGAGACAGGAGTTGTCACACAGGTTCAGGAGCACTGTGACCACAAGTTGGGTTTGCGCAACCGTTTGTATTGCTGACTGAAGGGTTCATCCCTTTTTTCCTACGAGAATTTATCTACCTTATATTTCTAAGGATCCTTCCTTTGTCTCCTCTAAAAAGGGCTTTCAGCCCTTCGCTAGTGAAACCTATTCCTATTGGCCGTTTCTAACCTCAGTGACGGCTCACGTGTGGACTGGCAGCTGCCCAGAAGACGAATGAGGAGGTTCAGAGTGGGTCAACGACAGACCAATCAAAGTTAGGGAAATATTATCGCCAAGAGTCACCGCCTCTACACTCGATAATAATCCTAAACTTGGCTGACGATAACCTGAATGGCAGGAGAGGCATGTCAACGACCTCTGGATATAATATATATATAGAATAATATATATAGAATATATACATATACATATATATATAGAATCACCCACTCCCAGAACCATGATGAGAACTTCCTCAGTCAGCAATAGAAACAGTTGTCAACCAACAACCGGTGATCGCAGTAAGCCACATATACTTTGTAGGAGGACTCCTGTCTCTCACATTCTACACCCTGAACACTACCTTTGAGCTCATGTCAGGAGGATGTGGAATCGTCACACTTATCCAAGGGTGTCGAAGAAGCCCACAAAGCCTCGCCAAGTGGCTAACAAAACAAACGCCGGAATGACGTATAAGAGCCCAGGTGAAATGATGTCAGACTGATATGGGGCTAAAACTGTGACGATCCCACATCCTTCTGACATGAGCTCAAAGGAAGTGGCCAGGCTATAGAACCTGAGGGACGAGGGGTCCTCACACAGTAGCATATGTGGCTTACTGCAGTCACCAATTGTTGGTTGACAAGCTGTTTCTATTGCTAACTGAGGAGGCCTCGTCATGGCTCTGCGGGATGAGTGATTCTCTTTACATATTGATATTCAAAGCCATTGGTATGCCTGCCTTGCTGCCATTGCTATTTGGGCCTTGATGATAGTTTTTGCATTAATCGCAGTTTATAGCGGTGCGAGAACTGCGATACCTGCCTTTCTCCTAGTAGGTCTTCCTCTTGACCCCACTCGGGGCCTTCCCATTGATCCCCTGGTACGCCGTTTGCGGAGCAGCTGCCGACCCCAATGACCAGTCATAACAAGAACTGCACAAGGCTCATGAAGCTCATGCGTCTGACTTTGCGGTTTCCAACAGGCAAGAATATAAAACTGCATAGTTTGCAGATAGATACTAAGCACCGATTATGGTTCATCATTGATCTTTGACTGGAGGCGATCTTGTAGTAGCTGGCTGGGCGTTGAGGGAAAGGAAACAGCTGCCACAGACAAGTTTACCTCTGTGTCATCCACGTAACGGTATGACCAACTTGAAAGTTTCAAGAGCTAAGTGCAGCATGGCAGAAGCTGGCCAGTTGCTGCTGATCAAGTCCGGTCGTCCCAACCACAACAGCTATGATAGCTTCAAGTGTTTTGGGAGAGGAAGCTTCGATGTCGGCTTATCGGATTATCTAGTTCTCACTAACCTCGCAGGCAACGGGGTTTCGAAAATCGAGCTGAACGAGTCTACGGTGGATAGAACAGGTCCCTGTGGAATTGGGCTGTCCCATCCTGCTGCTGGCAGAGCTTAGACGGAGACTTGGCCAGAAGAGAGCAGCAAAAAGGCAGAAATGAGGCCACACGGTGAGCGAAGAGCTGGTCGTGAGTGCAGGACAAGACGCTAATGCCAAGGCCAGATGCGGCCACGAAACTAGCATGTTTACCCCTCCCATCCGCTGCAACCTTGGAGTCAAGTCAAAGGAGGGGACCATACCCATGATCCCACCTTGGGTTGACATAAAGCTCCTTCCTAACCTCAAGAACTCTTGGACACGATATGCCGTAGTTCTGGATGATGTGCGTTGAACAGAGGCCATGTAAGACCGTCAAGATGTTAGCAAGCACTCACATGCTGACGATATCAACATTGGTGATGCAGAGTTCACGGCTGTGGTGTCACTCTGCTCCGTCTCATCGCCGAAGCATCTCCGTGCATCGCCGTGTTCCGGGGTCACATTCGGCCATCACGTCATGTCGAGCTCGGCCCGGAAGCGAAGGCTCGGATATTGCTCCGGGAGACATTGCCATGTCGCATCCTGTGACTACGTTGCGGGAACGGCCGGGGGCAATCCGGAGAATGACCCCCCTCCAGCGCCGCCACACCCAGGGACGATAGTGGGCACTGGCAGGGATCAGCACGGGTAGCCAGGGTAGGGCTCAACAAAAATGGCTAGCCTCCCCCAACAAAAACGAAGTGGCCCACTCCGCTGGCCTCAAAACTGCATGGTGGCTGCGATGCAACCGCAGTTCCTGATGGCTTCCTTTTCGGGGATAACATAGGGCACAGCAGCCAACCAGATGCGTTTTCTTGACTTCCCCTTTCCCGACGACAAGAAGTAGATGAGGAACACCCCAAAGGCCCACAACAGCGTGGTGTTGAGGGGGGCAAAAAGGTAGAAACATCGCAACAGCAGTATCTGCTCTGTTCATAGCAAAACACTGCACGGTCTCGCGCACGCGTCGTTCTCAGCAGCGCGAATTGTTTGGAAGCGGAGTTTTCTGCCTGTGCACGACGAGAAACAGAAATTTTTTGCGGAAGTTCCACAGTTGTCTTCCACCTTTTCACAACCCCGCCCCCGCGGTCTCAGGCCGCGATCCGAATTCGAGCTGGCGCTTGCAGGCTTCGCAGGCCCAGATCTGTGCCCCACACCCATTCCGGGATCTCTGTGCTAAAACAGCCAAGATTGGCCTGGAGGGGCAAATCGCAACGTCCCCCGAGTCAACCATCGATGTCTATATCCACATGTCCACATGTTTTGTTCCTCTGGGCGATTTTGCACAAGCTGTGATGCGAGGGCCCCTCTTCTGGAGGCCCAGGAGCAAATGGGACGGGTTGTTTCAGCTGGTCTTACTCTCAGCCAGAGCGGAAGGTGTGCACACGTCGATGACGAAAGACACAGATGCAGCGCTGATCTGGCCAAAAGACGTACTGAGAGGAGCCCATCCAGCGGCGACGGCCAATCGGCCGGGCCTCGGCAAGACAAATCTCTCACTCAGCTCGGACGATACATCATATATCAGCCATCTCTGCCCCCCTTAAGCCGGTTGCATGTGAAAGTCTCCCACGAGAGGCGGTGACGGAGCGGTTCCTCGTCCCGCTTGGCCCAGCATGGGTCGGCGAACTACACCTGTACCGCGCAGATACGTCGTCGAGTAACTGTTTATCCCCGAGATGAAGGCTGTTGCTGTTAGCGTTGGTCCCAGCAGCTTGTACTTGTCGTGTGTTACCCGGAGACTGTAAGTTTGTCAGATGCCGTCATGTAAGTTTCAGGGAAGAAAAAGCCGGGCGTCTTGTGCCTTCGCTCGTCCCAGCCAGCATGGACGGCTGGCATCTGTGCTGCGCGGGCGTCGATGCGTTGGCCCTCGGCCTGTTCACTTTAAAACTAGTTGCTGGTCAGTTTGACAATATCTGAACGGGCATTGGAGAGATATGAGAACGCTCGCCTTAACCCAAAAAAAAGTTTGTGCCTCACGACGGGAGACAGGTGTCGTTACGCGGGTACCGCGCTCGCTAGCTGCATCGCTTCCCAACAAATCACAGATAATCGACCCACGGCTGGGAAGACAGGGAACACGACCTGGCACCCGCACGAAAATTTCTGGACCCCTGGGAGGCACCGGAGGCGGGCAAGAAACCTCCAGGCCCCTTCCCAGACCTTTTTGTTTTTGAGGATTTTCTCCCACCATTGACGGGTCATCTGTTTCCAGTCCCCCTTCTTTTGCCTCTCGCCAGAGCCGCTGATCGAGGTTTGCTCCTGGAACGGGTAAGTTAAAGCCCAGCCCCTCCTCTGCCCAAGTCCCCAGCCCGGAACATTTGCTTGCAGACGACAGGAAGACAAGCAGCAGAGGACGTCCCGCAGTTGCTGACCCTCCCAGATTTTTTTCTCCCGTTCTTCTCCTGCACCTCTCAGACGGTGTCTTTCCTCCCGTGGCTTCCTTGACCCTTTGATTCTTCCCCCGAAACAAAGTCGGTCAACCACACCCACGTCATGGCCGCCAACAAGCCCGTCCAAAGGAGGAACCTCCGTTCGGCTGCGGCCGAGGCAGACTCGTCGGCGTCGAGCGCTGTCGTGTCTCCCGTTGACTCTCCCCGTCCCTCTGCTTCGTCGACGTCGCTGTCCTCGCTGGCTTCCGAGGACAACAAGGACCTGTCCCAGAAGCAGTACCCTAAGCTGTACGACACGTACGGCAACGAGTTCGTGCCCCCTGACTTCACCATCAAGGATATCCGTGATGCCATCCCCAAGCATTGCTACGAGCGCTCCGCCATCCGCAGCTTGGCCTACGTCGCCCGCGACATCGTCTACCTCTCGGTCACCTTCTACCTCTGGAACAAGTTCGTGACGCTCGAATACATCCCCTCGAAGCCGGTTCGCGCCGCTCTGTGGTTTGCGTACACCTTCCTTCAGGGTCTGTTCGGCACCGGTATCTGGGTCATGGCCCATGAGTGCGGCCACCATGCCTTCTCGCCTTACACCAAGCTCAACAACTTCGTCGGCTGGATTCTTCACTCATCTCTCCTCGTTCCGTACTTCAGCTGGCAGCTCAGCCACAGCAAGCACCACAAGGCTACTGGCAACATGGCCCGCGACATGGTCTTCCTGCCACGCACTCGCGAGCAGCATGCTACTCGCATTGGCCGGATGGTCCATGAGCTTTCTGAGCTGACCGAGGAGGCCCCCATTGTCACCCTCATTCACCTGATCGGCCAGCAGCTCATCGGCTGGTGGAACTACCTGCTGACCAACGTCACTGGCCACAACAACCATGAGCGCCAGCGTGAGGGCCGTGGCAAGGGCAAGAAGAATGGTTTGTTTGGTGGCGTCAACCACTTCAGCCCCAACAGCCCGATCTTCGAGAACCGCGACGTCCCCTACATCATCCTCAGCGACATCGGCATTGCTCTGATGATCTCGATCCTCGTCTTCTGCGGCAAGACCTTTGGCTGGTCAAACATGCTCGTCTGGTACTTCTTCCCCTACATGTGGGTCAACCACTGGCTGGTTGCCATCACGTACCTCCAGCACACCGACCCCTCTCTGCCGCACTACACCGAGGAGGAGTGGAACTTCGTCCGTGGCGCTGCTGCGACTATTGATCGCGAGTTTGGCTTCATCGGCCGCCACCTCTTCCATGGCATCATTGAGACTCACGTGCTGCACCACTATGTCAGCACTATCCCCTTCTACAACGCCGACGAGGCCACTGAGGCCATCAAGAAGGTCATGGGCCGCCACTACCGCTCTGACACCCGCGAAGGGCCTATCGGCTTCATCAAAGCCATGTGGCGCGCTGCTCGCTGGTGCCAGTGGGTTGAACCTTCTGAGGGCGCTGAGGGTCCCGCCAAGGGCATCCTATTCTTCCGCAACCACAACGGCCTCGGTGTTCCTCCCGCCAAGATTCCTCCTCCTACTTCGTCGTAAAAGATGATTTTTGATGGAATGTTTGTGTGTGATTGGAAAGTCTTGTGAGTTGGGTTAAAAGGGGGATGAGGGACTAGATGAAGGGAAAATGCATACGGACGGGTTCTCGGCTCTGCTCTCTTGCTCTCTCTCTCTATCAATCTTTGTATCTCGGGTTGCATGAACTGGACAAAAGGTCAACGAACCATGCCGTGATGCCGATTTTTCTGAAACGCAAGAATAGACAAGACAACGAACCAGCAAGCAGGCTAGCTCTTTGACTTTGTGGCTTCACAAGACTCCCTGGCTAACGGGCCTTTAACCGATAAGGCCTTTCGTCTACGGTTCCGAACAACAGCCGTACTTGGGCAGGTCGATTCCCGCGTTACCCGGGTGTCTATTGTTCCGATGGTCGCTCTCTTCGTGAAATGCTGGTGATTTTGGCTCCGGGTTCTTGGCTGGGTCAAAGGAAAGGGGACTCGGGGAATGGAAGTGGACATGGGTTGTGCTAGCTCATCATGGCGGATCGACTGATCAATCGGGCGTTTGGCGACCGGGCGTTGGTGTCCTCTTGTAGAGATTTACGAGAGGGAAGGCCTCATTTGGGTCAAAGAAAAGGAAGTAACGAGTATAAATAGGACCAGTAGTGGTACATAGACAGCCGTTTTGTGTCCATATACGGTTGATCAATCAGCATCTGTCGTGGCAGTGGATAAAAAGGTGAATAGCGATGATCAGTGGATCTTTTAGGGTGCTAATGTTGATCTCTTGACCATGAGCAGGACGGTGATGTCAGTCCGTGTCTTTTGTTGAGTCGTAGCGCTCGATGAGACAGAGGATGATGTGGATATACATATTTGTCTTGGCTTGTGTTAGATTTCCCCTCTCCCTTGACCCAGTCTTGTGTGTACGCTGGTAGTTTGTAGGTTAATATGGATGGCACAAGCCTTTGTGCGGCTTGTATACCTATGCTCTCTCATTGCATGCAATAATCAAAGTTTTCGCATCCCACCCTGAGATAACGCGCACCTATCGACATCCTACATTCAAGATCTTGGACATGTATGCGGGGTATAGACACGGCACGCCTACCATTTTTTCGGCCTTCGTGGGGCGTGTGATGCGGGGCGTTAGGCGAATGTCACCGTGGCACGATGTTGAAACCATCGAGGCCTGGTCGACTACAACCTCATCACATATTCACGGTATGCACAGAACAATATGTTTAGTATATAAAAATAAAATCCCAGATTCTTCACTTAATGTTCAACTAAACTACAGCAGCCTGCCAGGATTGATACAGAATCCCGGGAGTATGGATGTCATAGACCAGCAGATAACGGGAACAGGATCTGACCGATGATCCGTTCTTGCGGTAGAATACATGGAGGCAATTCATCAATCATTCGACTGATGATGATGATGTTGTTCAGGCAGGCATTAAGTCTTGACCAGGACAGAACAGATAAGCTGACAGGCTGCGTGTGTAGACAGTTGGTGACCGACAACTGTTTTACTGAGGGTGGGTCAGCGAAGCCATGCCGCCGGCGCACCTGAGGGTGCCCATTTCGTTGGCGATGCCCTCGTCTAGGTGAGTTCGTCATCGTCAGCTACATTCCGCTGCCAGACTGAAAGAGAGAGAAGATAAAGAATGCAACATACCCAAGTTGAGGCTCGACCGAACAGGGCCATCCATGCCAACCAGCGGCGCGCACTCGCACGACAGTAGGTGGTTGAACTGAGAGGGATGTTCGGGAGCAGGCTGGCGGAAGAGGATGCAATCCTGGCAGTAGTTGGTGTACTTGCCACTACAACACAAAAAAAGAAAAAAAAAAACAGTCGGTTAACTTGTGTCAGTACCACAACCGGGCAAGAAACACAACGTACTAAACATCCCAAGCCAGCTCGCCCGTCTCCTGGTCAATGCCAACACACATGCGCAGGTCCAACTCATTGTCCAGCATCATCTGCTGGGCCTGGGGGCTTCCCCGGTTGCCCGGGTTGTTTCCATTGTTGCCATTGCCGTTGGACGAAGCCCAGATAGGACGGGCGCAGGACGCAGACAGGATGCTGCCGCGGTCATCCAAAGAGACGTGGGCGCAAGAGAGAGAGAAGTCATGGTAAGGACCGTCCTGACCGGAGGATTTGAAATAGCCTGCCGGAGCGGCCAGGATGCTGGGGACGGAAAGGAGAGTCAGGACAAGAGGGCGCATTTTGGATGATGGTTTTCTTTTGGGTTAACGAGTGTCTTGGTCGGTTGTTGTAGTCAGAAGCGATGAATGAAGGTTTGTGAGTCGGTTGGAGAGAGCAAAGGAAATGGTTGTTGTGGATGGAAATGCGCCTGGGAAGAAAAACAATCGAGTTCTAAAAAGAAAACGGTAGGCCAGGCAACGCGATTGAGAAGGAGCGCAGTCACCTTGGTCGCCCCTTCCTTTTACTTTACAGAATCCCTTCCACTAACTTCCATTGTGAGTCAACAACTGACTTGTGACAACGACGGCCGTAACAAACGGGCGGCGAACGGAGATGAGATGGAAGCATAAAGCAACACAGGGGGTTTGATGTGAAGGATGAGTTCTCACAAGGCTCTCTCAAAATCAGGCTGCCATGGGAGACACGTCAACATCACTGTAAGACGGGTTCAACAAAAGTGAACGAAGGTTTCTCTTGACGTCAACATGGTTGAGGGCAAGATACAACACGACGAGCAGCAAGGAGGTAAGGAAAGCCTCATCGCAAAGACTCTCAAGACAAGTTTCGGAAAACATATCGAAGCTTCGTTTCAAAGCAATTAGCATGTTGTATTGCTTTCAACCCAACTCGACAAGTATGTGGGACGAGAGCTGCTGTTAATCAGTCTTCAATGATCTGGAGATCAAAGACGGCAGAACAAAGATGAATCATGGACGAGGCTCGAGCACGCACGGATGCGACTCAACAGCACAAGAGTATCCCGAGTTGCGACTGTGTGTCGAGATGAATAAGCCATTTTGTGCTGAACCCGCAAAAAAAAAAAAAATAAGTCACAATACAATTGTGCGGTTTTAGGTGCCTCAACGCGGACAACAAAACAAGCATTGAACGTGTCGCAGGGCGTGATCTTGAATGAAACAAAGATCCCTCGATTCCCGGATCTCGGGATCGGAAACGCGCCGTTTCATCAAGTGCGGTGGGGCACAAAGCGGGGCAGCGCACAGACCATTTGCAGCAAATGGAAAGAGCTTAAAAATTGCATGTCGGCGTGTCCCGCGCGGAGCGATGCATCGACGAGCCCAAGGCCAAAAACCGAGATTGGCACCCCTCGTCATTTCCGGTGCGCATGGGTCCTTGGGCTGGATCTGGGTTTTCTAGAAGCTCGCCATGATCCCTGGGAAAGGCAAGGGGGTTCTGATGTTGTTGTTTTTTTAGGTTGTCGGTGATAAAATAAGACGGAGAGAGAACTGGTCAGGCGAAAGTGACGACGTGATGGTTCGAGTTAGTGGTGGTGATATCGAGACAGACAGTTTGACGCTGCTGCTGCGACGATCGTCTTTGCTGCGAGCTCACCATGCCTGTTCGAACGTCACAAGAGACAAACTTCTTGCATGCAACCGGCCGCTTGGCCCTGCAAGCCGCCGGCATCCTGCTTTCCGTTATTGTTTCAAAACATTAGAGTCAGCCCACGACAAGATTTAACGTTGAAGTTGGGGGATGATATCGAAGTTCGCTGCTGCCGTTGGGTCATTGCGTGGAGTTGCACCGATCTCAATCCCCAATTGCCCAACGCAAAATAGCCGATGCCATGGCGGCCCGGAATGCACCCTGAAGAGCAATCCTGACAGCCCGGCATTCTGACGTGCTTGATATCATCCACGAGCAGTGTCTTTATATCTCAGGAGTTGCCATTGATTCGATATTGACCACGCCCTCGATCCCCTGCCGCCAGCTTGGACCACAGAGGTCACCGCATGAACCAGCCACAGGACTCGATAAACTGGGCTGCCCTGGTTGGGACAGTGGTCCGGCCAAGCACGGAACCACACAGCACGCCGGCCGACCAGCGATAGCGATGGATGATAGCTGTAGCCGTAGTGCGTCACTGATAAGTATCATCGTCCTGTCGTGCAGGCCGACAGACGATGGATGGTCGGTCACTTTAATTATATCAAAAGACGCTTCTTCCTCCGATTCTTGGGTGCCATCTCCTGCTGCGGTTCCCACGAGCTCGATAGGCTGGCCCAGCTGTGCCGGGGCTGCCTGGGCTGCCAAGGACCCACTCCTCCCGCCTGTCCCCCTGCAGATGGCCCTGAAGGGGCCCCCTCTCGCTTGGTGTGCTAGCTCGTTCCGTCATTTTTGCAAGCCATTTGGCCAGTTTTGGGTCTTGGGCCCTGGGCACGCCTGCCAACGCTCTTTGTTTTTTTTTTTCCCTCTCCTTTCATCCCATCTCTGAGCGCTCGAGTCTTCTCATTTTTCCTGTTTTCCTTCTCACAAAACCAAGCAACGGCCACCACCCGGCCAGTCACTCGTTCTCAACACCAAAAATATATCGGATATCGGTCACCTTCGCTGTGTCAGCAGCAGTCAGGATTCTGTACACTCGCTCGGATCCGACTCTTGCTCGCGTTCACCGCATCACCGACTCTTTTTTTTACCTCTAACCCTGCATCGCACAGTACGAGCCATCAAGCTGCGATTTGAATTTTAGATACAACTGCGCGACGACAGCGGTCACAAACGAATAAATTCCACAAACACACACACACACACACACATACACACACACACAACAAAAAAAAAGCCCATTTAAGTCACTAAGCTTAGCCATAATCCGATTCAGCGTGTTTGCTACAAAGCGCGCTTCCCTCGGGCTCATCGCGGCTACTGTAGGCATCCTCGGCCAATCGCCCAAGCGCGCTGCAATTTGTGAGACAAGCGCTCCGGCATTCGGGGGCATCTCAGGGGCCCACGGCTGCCATTCCATCCGATCGACACCACCACGAGCCCTGGAACGCTTGCTGCCGCATCGTCAGCCACGCGCCTACGCCTGCAACTGACTGCTCCACTGCGACTTGCAGCCCGGTAAACAGCGATCTCCCCCGCACGAGAATCCCATCGTCCTACCGCGGAGTCTGCGCTGTACCCCATCTCTCCAGCACATCCATCTATCTCCTTTTTTTTATCCGTAGACGAACTGCCATGCCAAGATGATGATCTACGAACGTCCGCTCCACGACACTTCTCTCCCCGGCCCCGGCTCTCCTCCAGGCATGACCGCTTCCAAGTCCTCCAAGTCGTCGTCTCTTGCCTCTCTCCCCGAAGAAGACAGCGCGCTGGCCGACGCGAACCACTTCGAGGAAATCGGACTTGACGACCCCCAGGTTGACCTCCATGCCGTCTCCGACCTCAAGAGCACTGCGAATCCCTACAGTCGCTCCATCTCCGACCTCCGCTCCGTCACCAAGAAGCCCGTTGTGGCCTCAACCCCCCGACTGCCACAGTTTGTTCGCGATACCCCCAGGGCACGCCCTACCCGCGACTTCAGCCCCAGTCAGCCATCACGTCCGACTTTCCCGCCAAGGAGTCCAAATGGCCGCGTCGCGAGCATGGGGCTGCTGTCCGATCCCGTTCGCACACGTAACCTCGGTCCCCCTTCTCGCTCCCAAACGTCACTGAGCCGCCACCGGAGTCCGAGTCCGGGTATTGCGCTTTCCCCAAGAGATCCGGCTTTGCCGATGAAGCCTAGGAGAAGTAGTTGGCAGTCGAATCGTGATCGCAAGAGCGCGATGGAACTCGAGCTCGAATGCGACGAAGATGATGGAGACGAGATCCCCGACGGTCTGATTCTTGACAACGTCCCACTGTCTCCCAGACCCCCATCGGAGAGGATTCGCAGTCAGCCCCCATCCAAGTCGCCCTCACCCGAGCGTGCTCCTAAGGAGAGGATCCGCAGCGTTGGGAACGGCACACCGCCTGTCGCGACAGCACAAGGTTGCCTGAGGTCGCCTACCTGGAAGACCGATTCAGCAGCCACATCACCCGGCTCTACTCCTGGCAGCCGCGTTACCAGTCCAGTGCTGGTTAGGCAAAAGAGCTGGACGACCGCGCTGAACCAGTTGAACGCCGAGGCTAAGGCGCTGACGGAGAAGCTCGAGGAGCATGCGGAAGAGATTGAGAAGAAGGAAATCGAGAAGAAGGAGCAGCAGCTCAAGTCCCAGCGCGCCAGCACGGGCTCATTACCAACCTTCCGGAGACGCTCGGAGGACTCAAAGCCCCGCGTTAAGTCGGCTCTGCCCGAATTGCCGCCATTACGTCGGTCTAATATTATGATCGACCCGCTGCCGATTTCCAAGGAGAAGGAGGCTGTGCTATCCAGGACACGTCCGTCATGGTTACCGCCGAAGGATCCTGCGGAGGAGCGTCGCCATCTGAGGGAATATCAAAAAATGATGCAACAGAGCCTCGAAGCTGAGCGTAAGCGCGAGGCTGCAAAGCGCGCGAAGTCAGAAACCCGCGACGTGGTTGTGGACAGTGTGATGCAAATCTGGGAGCGCGACATTATCCCTCGCTGGAACGAGGCCATCCATGAGCGCCGGACCCGGGATCTGTGGTGGAAGGGTATTGCTCCGCGCAGCAGAGGGCTCGTCTGGCCACGGGCGATCGGCAACGATCTTGGGCTTACGAAGACCTCGTTCGAGGCGGCACTGAACCGTGCTCGCGAGGTCGAGCAGCGCGTTAAGACCGGGCACGGTACCCCCGAGGATATGCGTGCTGTCAATTGGTTCTCGGAGATCAGCAGGGATGTGCGTGAGCGCACCTGGCCTGATCTGCGCATCTTCCAGCCTGGCGGGCCACTGCACCAAAGCTTACTCGACGTCCTGCGCGCGTATGCCATGTACCGGAGCGATATCGGTTACGTCCCGGGTTGCAACGTAAGTACTCCACAGAGTCGAATGGTTGATTTGGGTGCATGCTAACGTCCACAGACCATCGCCGCTCTCCTCCTCCTCAACCTCCCCACACCGATCGACGCCTTCATCTCACTGGCCAACGTCCTTAACAGGGGCCTACCCGTGAGCTTCTTCTCCCATGACGTCGGCGGCAAGACCTCCGCCTACAACCTCCTGCTCCAGAACCTCGCCCAAAAATCGCCCACCCTTCACGAGCACCTCACCACCAAGATTCCCAGCGGCAGCGACCTCGACCGCTACCTCAACCCTATCTTCACTGGCCTGTTCACGAGACATCTCGCCCTTGACGAGGTTACCCGCCTCTGGGATGTTTACGTCTTCGAGGGTGATGCCCTCCTCATCCGTGCCGGTGTAGCCTACCTCCTTCAAAAAGAGATGGCGTTGCTCGGAACAAAGACCGTTGCTGAGGTCAGGGAAGTCCTGGGCACAGCGCCAGACACAGGCGATGGGAGAGCTTACTGCCCCAAGGTCATGGGCGGCAATGGTGAGGAAGAAAAGTGGATGCAGGCCGTGCGGGACGCGGGCAAGGTTTAAGAGGAGCCTTTAAAAAGGGTTGTGGGATTACTATGGTTATGACGGATTGACGCATGCCATTTCTTTGAGCCCAATGGGATGGGCGATGACTCGGATCGGCGTTCGTTTCGACATTTTTCTCCTTACGCTTTTGTGAATTCTTTTTTTTTTCCCGGCTTCGACTTCGACTTTGAGGTTACCCTTCGTTTTTTATGCGGCTTCAGTCAGCCAGCCATATCTTCTCCTTGCTTCTTTTATTTCGCTTTCGGCATGATACCGGATACCTTCGTCGTCTACCCGGCTTTTGTTACCCTTCTGTTCTACTTCTTATTGTGTATACTTAATTCTTCGCCACCCGGCGTGGCCTGCTGGGTGAGGAAATAAATGGCTACCCTGCTTGGGGGAGACATGGCGATTATTTTTTTTCCTCACCAGCTTTGTATGATTTACTGGGGGCAGAAGAGGTGGTCAAAAGCACCAGCGCGAAAAGGAGCAGCACCAGCTACGTTGCATGTGTATATATGAGGGAAAGGAAAGGAAAGAAGAAGAAGGAAAGCTGGCTGCCTAGCGTTGGGATGAAACACTCTGCCTGGTTTGTTTGGAGGTTTTTGAAGTTTGGTGTCTTTTTTGTCGTAATGCGTTTAGTGCTCCTGTTGTTAAGCTTTATGGCGTGGTGTTGTGGTTGTGACATGAGGGTATATCTGATCTGAGCGTAGCGTTTGAATGATCGACGTTTTCTAATTGTTTGTGCACCTTGTTAGGCACAGTGACCTTCATATGTTTTGTAATCCGTAGTCTTTTTGTGTTAGACAAAGAAGTAAAAAAAAGTCAATTTAGAGTCATATCTTTTTTTTTTTTTTAACCCTTGGCCTTGCAAGTGTTGGCTTAGGGATTTGTGTCGGACGAGCCAGAGGAGTGCACAAAAGAGACAAGAGCACAAGTGTGTCATCTCACCGTCAAGCAGAGTAGGTTGTTTTCGATCTGTCCAGTTCTATTACCTAGTGACATAGCCATTTCTCAAACCAATCATAGATCTTATTCCTTTCCTAAGTCGTTTTCCCTTAATTGAGAGCAACAATCTAACGAAGCAGATATAATACACAGCTAAAAGACAAATAACGAAGAAAAAAAACGCTCTCATCCTTCTCATAACGCCATTTCCTTTCCATAAACCTATATTTCTCGCTTGCAAGTCACAGGACACTAGCCTTGTTCTCGTTACCGTTGTTGACGCTTGAACTCTTCATGGCTGTCCTTTCGTCGCTGCAATTCTGCAGTTCATGGTTCGCTGAAGCCAGTTCAGCAGTTTCATCAGTTCTTGTCGGCACATTGTCCACCACTGAGCCATCTCATAATCCCTAGACCTCCCACATTAACTCAACAACCTCATCCATCCCTCCCTCTTCTTTTGCCTTGTGCACATATATCTGCCGGAACTTCCTCTTCCCCTCGGCCTTCTTACTACTGCCCCACCCACCCTTTGAAGCAGTCTCAGTACCCTCTGGCTCAACCTCCTTCGGCCCGTCAACTAAAGCAAGCCGGTAACTCTTCTTCTCATGCTCCTCCATCCTCCTCCTAAACGGCCCATACGTGAAATCATATCTCCCATCGCCTGGCGCACTATCGAACGTCGCCTCCGTCCAGTCCAGATCAAATCCCTCGGCCAAAGACCCCCTCTGATAAACAGAAACACTCCATCCATTCGTCAGCACAACCGCGTCCGGCGTCCCCTGCCCAGCCGCTTCCCTTCCCCTCAGGCTCCCATCATCATCCACCACCGACATAGGAGGCCAAAACCGCCACCTCTGCAAAAAACACTCCCCACACACCTTCACTACCCCCGCCATTTCCCTCACTGGCGCATGATACCAACTCTTCCAATGGTGCAGGCTGAGCATCGGCCTGCCACGACCGCCCTCAAACACGCCCGCGGGATCACCCCTAATGTCATGCTGCCACAGGCCCGGGATGAGTGTCAGTTTGGCGGTGGTTTTGGCGTACACGCACGCCGCTAGCATCCCGTCTCCTGAGGAGATGTCCGTTTCTGCGAGGCAGGTCTCAAGTAGTGGGTTGAGTTGCTGGGCCAGGGGCACTGAGAGGAAGACGCCTGCCCCACCGAACGCGATGTACCCCCAGTCTTGGAGGGCGTGGAAGTTGTCGGATAGGGCGCCGAGGTAGAGGGGTTGGGAGTGGTTGTATTTGGACAGGGCTTTGGAGACGGGGTGGAGGTGAGGGAAGAAGGTGTCGTCGTCGAGGATACCCAGCCAGTGAACTTCAGGGAAGATTTCGTCGTCCTCGCCGAGGGTGTCTTCCACGGAAGGATGGGCCACGAAATGGAGCATGTCCCGGATCATAAGGAAGTGCAGCTGTTCGGTAGGCATCGGATCGTCGGGGTTTGGATGAAGGTTGTTTTTCCTTGGGAGAGGGGATGTCCATTGCGGGGAGATCACTTCTGCACGCATACCTTCGGCACGGTACTTCTTTCTGAGAGCGTCTAAGTCGAGGGGGCGATCGTTGCGCCGGGCGTCGGTAATAACAAAAACGATGCGTGCGCCGGTGTTGGCCATCCAGTGCTTAAAGACAGGAAGAGATGACTCTACCCTGTCGTAGGTTGATGCCACGCCAAAGAGGAAATGTCGGTAGTGGGAGTCGGTTGGGTCGGGATAAGCAGGAGGGACATGGAGAGTGAGTGGCTCGCACGGCGGAGGTTTTGTCCCGGCTACGCAAGAGTCGCTGCTTTGGAGGTCGATGGTTACTGTGCTCGTGAAGAAGGGGTCATCGGTGACGTTGGCGAGAACACTAGGGTCCGTTGTAGACTTGTAAACGGGGCGAACGCAACGTCGGGTATAAAGAACTTTTTGGGTCAGGCCGAGATCCTTTTGGCGGAGGAGATCAAGGTCATGGGAGCAGAAAGCCTGTATCGCAGGGTTTGGTGGGGAAACATCGTTGATCTTGACGGGCTTAGAGCCGGTCGGTGCATGGAGAGGTCCCTGAGGAGGGATACCATCGTGAACAGCATCCTTTGTTGGAGTGACCTCGCTGCTACTAGCACTTGGCCGATAGGACCAGTCCTCAACAAGGTGTGAGAAGGCTGGTGAGGCATTGTGAAGGCGGGAGGCTGTTAGAAAGAGCACAGCCAGCAGCAGGGCAACCAGTATAATGAGGGAGCTTCGTGAGGAGAGCTTGGAGGGCATGGCGTATTATGACATGTCGTGGCTGCTGGTTAGAATAATGTGTGAAGGTCAAGAAGGATATGTTTTGTGAAAAGGAAAGGGTTGGTCGAAAAGCTGTTGCTAGTAGCGAGCGACAAGAAGGAAGTCGTAGGTTAGAGGTAAGGGGGAAGGAATAAGGGACAACCCTAAGATCATCGCCCCAAGAATTCAGAAATCCAAAAACACTTCTATCCCACTGTGGCACCGTCTCCTTGTTTCACGTTTCTTCTGTCGATCGACCATCTTTGCAAAACCTCACTGCAGCCATCTGCCGCAGGACGACCGATACAGTCTTTACTTGGCTTTCACCATCATTGTTCTCATACATGCCATTTGGTCGGTCGCATCCAAACAACTAACCCGAAAGGGAGGGTAACACAAGCTTTCCTCCCGTTAGACGGGCTGTCAGTTCCTAAAGCCGTGATGGTCTGACACAGCATTGTTGCGACGTTGGTGATGTCACAGTGTCAAGGAGAGGAGAGAGTAGTAAAGATATGACACGCTGGAGTGCACACTTAACACCAACTCCACACATATCCTGGAGAGTTGTGCACGATGATAGTTAAAGGTCAATGTCAAATCCCATGCATAGCAGAACGACATCTTCGATCTGAACAGTTTGCGTGAAATACATCTCTAGAATGTTAGCTATTGGTATCCAACCGAACTCGTTGTACATGTTGTACGGTAACACAGGTCTTAAGGCCTTCTGATCAAGGGAAGCGTGTGACAGGAAACCCCTTCTCATCTGCCGTGCCGCTCCTTGCAATACCGTCCTGTCCACTTGGGCCAAGAAACAGGATACCTCCTCTTGGCTCGGGATTTCATCCGCATTGTTGGAATTTGAGCACCTTCATCTAGGTCAACTGCTCGACGACATCAGAAAAGAACACAGAGTGTTCGACAACGTTTCGCAGCTGATGGAGGCAAACCATATATACCGAACCCCGTAGAAATCAGCAGCTTACATAAGCCACAAAACACCGAAAACTATCATTCTCCGTAGATACAATAACACGGCTTCCTCCAGATTGTAGTCTAATCGAAGTGGTATGCGAGATGTTTTGGATTTTGGCTTGGATGCTCATATTACAGGCAATAGAGTTTTACTAGACAGTAGATCATTTGAATATCATTTGTTGATCATCAGATCAGCAAAGGCTACGGCGGCTCAGTTTCCCGCTACTCATTTCCCGGTGCGTTTCGTTCGTCAACCCAGCACTCCGTGAGCACAACCGGTTCAAAACTTGATTGCCTTCTTATCTCCAATTCCACCTGCTGTGCTCTAGGGGAATGCCTGGTACCTAATTGTGTAACCCGATCTCACCAGCTGAGAGTGGCTGTGGCATGCTGTGGTGCGTTCCCTAGTGTTTCAAACTCTTTGATTGCAACTCATCCGATCTCCATGTTTTAGTTTCTGCCTCGGTTTTGTAATTCCAAATTTTTGGCCGGTTTTCCAGAACAATTGTGTCAAGCAGAAGCGGTAATACTTAGTACAGGCCAGCGGATTATTTCCTCGGAGAAGGCTGTGAGGAACGGCAGTTAAACAGGTTTCAAGTTGGAGATATCATTTCTTGCCAGATTTGATGAGAAGATATAGCGCTTCTCATATAGTTTTCGCGCATCAGCGGGAACCAAGTGACGCCTTGATTCTTTTCTGACAGATCCGGTGCCGAAAATTTGGGTAAAGCTGGGGAACGGCCCGGCTGCTTAGGACCCCGTAAGCATTGAGAGCCAAGATCTTGGAAACGCGGGTTGAGATTAGATCTAATTGGCAGTTTATTTGGGAACGCCTACTTCCTCAGTGTTTCCAACTTAACACCTCAAACCAAAGTCACCTGTTGAACCTCTAGTCCCATCTGCAGCGCTTCTCCTCGCATCATCCCCTGGAGATAGCAATGCCCTACTAGTTGGTAACATCCAGGATACTCCGTGCTTTTGCGAAGAAGGAGTGGAACATTGACACCGTTGATGATCCATATCTCATCTCCCCGTTCAAAGCAAGCTGGAACATTTGTGATCCGGTTCCGTCGTGTTCTGGTGAGCTTTCTTGGAGAAGAGAATGGGAGCAGCAGCCTGGACAAGAGTAGTTTTATTGATTCGTCCATGTCAGTACCCTCAACCGTAGAGAGGGCGCGCCTTTGGACCGCAAGTTCGTAAGTGTCCAAAAGGACTTCAGCTAACTCAGTTGTGTCTTGGAACCTTCGCTGTATGTGTTCTGATCCATAGGACAGGGCTTCAAAGAATGAGCTGTCTAGTTGGTCAGATACGGATTTCAAGTCCGTATCTAAGCCGAGACAACCAGACACCATAATCGTGGACCGTATATGTTGAGCGAGTTGTTCTAGAGCCTGAGCAAACTCAACAGGCATAGGTTTCCAAATCTCAACTGCCCCATCGGGTAGCCACCGCTGATAAATGGATGTCACTGGGTAAGGTTCGTATGCTAGGACATCCACAAGCCTCCCCCGGAGAGTAACCATATGCTGAAGCCCTGGTGATAAGGTAAAGTGGAACAAGGTACCAGAGGCAGCATCGTAATACATGAACGGGTCTCTATTGTTGAACTTGGCCGCGATTTCTCTTTCCAAAGCAGGCCCGATGTCAAATGATCTGCTGAAGTCGCGAATCCATGATGGGACACCCGGCGTTAGTCCAACTGCGAGACCTACGTGACCCAAGAGGCCTTGTAATGACTCAGCTCCTTCTCCCCCAAAGTTTCGCCACAGAGTTTTGCCGAATGCGATTATCACTTTGCTTACCGGGCAGAGATAGTCTGGTTGGACATCTTCCTCAAATTGAAGATCAACATCAAGAGCGAGTCTTGCCAAAGCAAAGTATTTGTCCCTTCTCTTGGTTGACTGCGCCAACATGGATGCATCAAGTAGGTGGATCAAGGTAATCCGGTTCCACCACGGCCACTTTTTTTCCGGAAAAGGTGTTGAAGAATTTATATCCTCCATGCTTCCATGGAAATCTTCCCTCAGTCGAGAAAGAGTTAAACGTGTCCGGCACAAATTGCAAAAATGTCGCAGAATGGCCCTAGCCTTGTATCTTTTGGGATCGAGTGTGTCGAGTAATATTGTGACTTCGACACCGTCTTCATCAAAGTATCCAAGAGTGGAGCCTAAAAGATCATTGTATTCCACATTTCTCATCCCACAAATCCAGACAATACTTTTAGCAAGGACAAACTCCTGAATAATCCAAGCCCGGGTGAACCAAGGTCTTAACCAGAACTGTTCGACGCAGTTCCAGACGGGATCTTCAGGTTCCGGTAGATTTACTTTTTTCCATTTCTCTTTCACGCCTTCGTCCACTGTAATGGGGAGCCGATACAGTGAAGCTGCTTCATGAGGTGAAAGTATTCGCTCCTCAACACCGTGATACTTTGATTCCCTGACTACACCCCCCCAGATCATCTTGCGCCAATATTTGGCCATCAGGTCCAAAGCTGGAGCAACCGTTGAATCCTCTTCTCCAAGATCAACAATCACTTGCTTCGCCAGCAAGTAGATATCATGCATCATGGCTACCTGGTGGGCCTGTTCAATAGGATCAGCCTGGTTGATGCAAATTGCATCTGCCCAAACAATCATGCTATTGGTATCGATAATAGAATTATCCTCGTGTGTGTTCGTGCATGAGTCCTGCTGCAATTGGCGGCTCATAATCGACCGGTAACGGCGGAGCAACGAGTCGAGAGAAGCAGTAATAGGATTGCTTTGAAGCTGGTTCGACCCTGCGGCGTCAGGGACGCGGAGGTAAAGCGTGCATGGCTTTTCACTGCTTCCCCATACGTATGAAAAGCACGTGTACATTTCCTGGCGATCAGCTATTTTGTAAAAAGCTTCGTCCTCGCTGAGTTCACGAATGGTATAAGGCTCCAGTCGCCCAGTCAAGGGAGCGTCGAACGACTCGTTCGGATCGAGGTGGAGGAGACGGATAGTCCTCCCTGAAAGCGGCTCGTATACAAATGGTGGTATGTGTTCTTGTGGATGCATGGTGGTGTGGCATGACAAGTTGGTGGCAGCATTCAGTCCTCGAATGGGCGATCCCAAGTGCTTTTAATAAGTACAAAGGTTGTTGCTTAGCAGAGTGGAACTTACGGTGGACGCTGTGTCATCGCACAGCCACACAAGTGCAGCTAGGCAGAAATGTCTTTGGGCATGCATGCAGACAGCTTAAGACCAGAACTGCTTTTGGTCTCGGCATTATTGTGCACAATGCCCAGAGCTTTTTCGTCATTAAGGAGAGGTTAGGGAGGATTGGTTTGAAGTTTTTCTGGCATCTCTATCATGGAGGTGGAACTCAATGAATGCTTCTGACCCTCAACCGCCTTGTATCTATACCGTAGGAGGATGATATGTGGAGGATATTCATTAGAACCTAATGTACACCAATGACTCTTATCGGTTTTTGTCCTCGAGATCAACGTTTGGAAGATAAGAGGTGATTTAACACCAAGCAGGTGTGCGAACTGCTACTTACGCATCCAGAACCATTTTGGGAAGAAATGACACCATCTCATTAATGATGCCCATTCTAACAGAAGTGATTATTTCCCTATGCATTATCCCTCCATTGATAAAGGCTGTTACATAGGTATCTGTGCTAGTTATCACTAAAAGAAAGAAGCGGGAAGTTTCCATGGTTTTTATGTACGTACAGGCAAGCGTTGTAAGTTGCTCCTCGCTCGTAGCTAGATATGGTCACTGTGCAAACTAAAAGCCTGCTCATGGTACCCTGTGCTGGACACTCCGTTCAGGGGCAGTCTCAAAAAATAGGAATATGCCTACGCTTGGTCACACCTCCGGACCAGAAAAAACCACCGGCATAATCGCCGGTATTGTGGACAGCCTCGGACTTCGTAGAGACAACCGAACCGAGATTCTGAGCCGCAGAACTGGAACTTTGGGACGGAGTCCCCCACCTTCGGCAGCCCCTCATCTCACTCGGAGTCTCGGACTCGGTGTAACTCTGCCTCCTTGTTGGGTCAGCCCGCCCTACCGTAGCGTCCATACCCACCAAACCGGCGTAGTGAGTCTCGGCACAAAAAGCCACGCTTTCTAACAGCCACTCAATATCGCTAACGAATGATAATAATGATATCATAGGGTGCCGAGAAGTTTCTTTGGCACCCGTTTGCAGTTCTTTTTATGTCGACAGCGATGTATGTGACGGTTACAAATCTGGAGCTCCCGCCGGGGCTAAGCAGTTATCCGGAGGTAGCAACGGCTTCTCCAACGGTGTTGCGTGTTGAAGCAGTTTTGTCAGCCACACATCTGCATACAATCTAGAAATATTTCAAACTGTAAGGCTCCAATCTACGTTGTTTCCATGAGCGCTGCAGGGATAAATAGGGGGCTCGCGTCGACACTTCTTTCAGTTTTGACCAGCAGAGCATCAACACTTGCTCGAAACTTGCTAGTTCGTTCTGCAACCATATCCACTAAGCTATCAAGGCAAGATCAACGCAAAATCTTCCCATCCATCCACCAAATCACAGCCTTCACAACCAAACGCTCCAAAATGGCGTCCACCTCCATTCCAGTTGCCAGTCTTGGTGCCAACCCAGAAGTTGCCAAGCAGATCAAGGAGCTGCTGCTCCCTGAATACGACCGTGCGTCCCTTCCCTAACTCATTCATGAGCTCTCTTTTCTTGTGATTTTCCTTCCAGTCAGCAACCCGTGCTCACCAGCTGTCTCCAGTGGTCCACATGTGCCTCTCTCTGGAGAGTGCCAGCACTGAATTTACTGAGATTCTCTCGGGCAACCTGGAGGTTGCTCCGTCCTCTGGTATAGGAAGTAACGTGGACAAACCGACTACCGAGCGCCGCGTGCCTCGTGCTATTGTTCTTGGTGGAGGTGTCTCGGATGAGGATTATGTGGCGCTCAAGGAGGCGCTCGTCAAAGGCGGTTTGAAGGTCGAGGGGGATGGTGAGGATGTGGTTAAGTTTGTAAGGGTGCTGAGGGATGATATTCTTGCTTTGGGAGCAAGCCGGCCGGATCCAACTGTCATTAGCCAGGTAATTCGGAAGAAGCTGGGCCAGCTGGGTTTGTAAAGAGTTCCAAGGAGAAATGGGAATAAAACCTAGGTAGTTACTGGGTTTTGGGGGGGGGGGCGGTGGCACCTTGATGGCTCAAGTCCAGCTAAGTTTTGCTAACAAACTTGCTTTCAAACCATCGTGACAGATAACACTGATGTATATGAAGGCCAGTAGTTCGAAATTCATTAAATATCCAAGTTCTCAGTGCAGCCATGTCCATATAATTGTAATTACGGGTGGTTCCATCGATGCCTTTCCAAGAGATTCTTGATCCCCAGTGAGATTGACTAGTTCCCATAACCCTATTTGTCAATACACCTTTACCGTGGAGGATGATTTTTTTTGTTTTACTTGCTGAGCGCATATCATGGCTGCGAGACTCAACTAGAAGCATGCAAGTCAACCAATGCTGGATACGTTGATACGAGATATCCTTGCTTCGTCGTGCAAGATGCAGTACATATGCCTGAGTAGCTTTGCCGACATTCTTCTGCCACTGATGAGGATCTATATTCTAGCATAGATCATCGTTCCCAAGAGGAGTGGAATGCGTAAATTGAGAATCCAAGAGGATATCAGAGTCTTACGTCCAAGAGAACGGGAGAACCAGGATAGAAGAATCTATCCCATTCAAAGCGGATCTGTACTGAAAATAAGCATCCTTTCAACGAGTGTCAGATCTGTCCTTTCTATAATTCTCTCATGTTGTCTGGTCCAGTGGGCTCATAGTGCACCTTTAAGACTTCACAAAACGGTTCGAAGAATGGGTGGGTCTTCAAGAACTCCACGGGCGTTTGAATTAATGCTCAGGACCACGAAGGAGCATGCCACTCACTCGGTCCATTTGGCCAACACTGCTGATCGGTTATTGCTTTGGGCACATCGTCAACGGCTATCATCTAACCAATTTGACCCATTGTCGACCCCTGGCTGCACCAAACCATGTCACCCGTTGCAGTAAGTTAGGGCAGTCCACAGATGATATACAAGCAGGATGAGAAAGCTTGCAGTACTCAGTTTGTTGCTGTGCCCAGTTCAAGCTCTCCTCTGACCCTATACTCGCAGACCCTTCATGCCCAAGCGGAGGGGCTGATATGTTTGGAGAGTACCATATGGCGCCTGGGGTTGGTTGTCAGCCGCCTTCATTCCACGCCAAGCAGTCATAGCAAGGAAGTCCATACATTTAGGACGGAAAACCGAGAGGGAAATCGCTAGCGTTCACACCATAGTTCAGAGCTATAGATCCAACCGGCAAAGTTCATCAAAACCTCTTAGCGAAAATTTTTGAAACAAACTACAATCTCCGAGCATTTCCCAGTTATTCTGAGCATAAAGCTCAAGGACTCCTAGTGTGATCATGCTGCAATTATCACATCGCGTTGCTGTGCCAGGCACCAAGCAGGTTGACCATGTTGTTTCCTGTGACGCTCACTAGAGGATATGGAAGGAGTATCCTGAAAGAACAACTCGAACATGTTTTATCTTCCACCTTCCATGGAAATTGTACTTGTAAGGCACCCTGTCAAACCGGTGTTGATGCGTCGGGTAGTGTCCTTCTCGCTCTTGGTTGAAAATGGAATCATGAACAACTTCACCCTGGTTGCTTGATGAAGAAGTTGTAGTAGTGGAACAGGGGAAACAAAGCAAAAATCTAGAATTATATCAATGATTATTTGTTTGTGTGGGTGGGTAGGAGGGGGGAAACAGCTCGCTTGCTATTTTGCGAGTCTGATTAGCTAGAAGGTCCCCATAAACATAGCAGAGCATCATTCTCCGGTTCTGTGGTTTCGAAGGGACTAGGAGAGAAGGAAGTGAGGGTGGATAAAGGATAATTATTCAAGGCAACAGCCTAATTTATGCCCATGGCTATGAGCCCGCATGGGGTGTGGGTTTCGAGAGCTAATCATCAAATATCGCATGATATTTGTAGCTATCCAAATTTTAACGTATTTAGGACCCCCCGTGAAACATCTAGACCTAGACCTGACACAGACCTACTTCAATCACCTTTTCAACGGGCTCTGGTGACCTTATGAGCGCTACTGTACTCGAAATACCACTCATTATTTGCTCGGTCTATTTCCACTATTCAGTGCTCATTGTGTTCAGCGAGATGAAGCCATCCCCAAAGAGAGGATGATCCGCTGTGGGAAGACCATGCTGAAGTGCTTGTAGCTGCTGGTCGCATGGGTTGTTCTGTGGATTATGACTATGGACATGATATTATCCTTTGCAGTAATGGTGCTTCTTTTCATGGATCCGGGGTATGGAGCGCTTGTAGCATGTAATGAAGTCTTCGGTAGAGGATTCTGAAGACCCCAATGCTTGCACAACTAAGTGTCAGCTCGTGGGTCAGTATTGGAGCGTGATTAGTCTGATCTTCTATGCTGTGGTCGCTTTCTGGGAACTTCCTGACCTTTCTAAATTTTTGTTCGATTCGAATTCTTCAACTCGTCATAACTCAATTGAAGAAATGCAAAGTTACCAGTCAGCCTGAGAGTAGACAGGCGCACTTTATTTAGGGCTTTGAACTTTGACCGTTTGAACCCAAGAAGGCCATGGTGTGGCTGGCTAAGAAGCAGCATCTTCTCATGGGTATCTCGGCATGTGACTCCATTAGAGAGTAATCAAGATCCTTTGCTCAGCCGGTCTAGGGAGAAAACTGCTCCGACCATGCTTCAGGATAGGTTAATGATACAGATAATACTTAGCACAGGCCGTGTAGCTGCAGTGTTACCCCAAAGAATAGTACCGTTCCTGACAGATAAGGCCCTCACTAACAGCTGCACAGCCACAACTCAGCAGCCTCCCAACACTTCAGATATTGGGCTTGAATATTGAAGTTTACAAGATATCGATCCAATGTCAAATTTTCATTAGTTCAACTTCCTGACAGCTTCTCCGAGTGCTTGCGTTGTCTGCTATATTGTCATTCTTGCCAATCAAACGTTGAGATATATCACTGTATCATCATCAATCAAGAGGATTCTAAACCTTCTACCGACTACTTGGTCATCAACCATGGACACAGCATCTACGCAGCTTGACACTAACAGAGCCAACACCTCTTCTCCCTCCAAGGAAAATTCTGTGCAATGGGTCTTTCTCCTATCTCTGTCCTTCTCCTGTTCCTCCTCTCAGTCCTGCTCCTGTTCCTCCTCTCAGTCCTGGGGATCTATGATCCTCACCCCCCTACTGGACCAAACCATTACGTGGAGAGTTAGCACTGAGGTGAGTCAAACGACTTGTCAACGTCTTGCTTTAATCCGTGATATGACTCGTTTCATGGGGGTATTGCAATGGCGTTGGCCTTGGTATTGTGCTTGAGTCCTGCTTCAGCTTCTTCGCCATATGGCTACTGCCGGCCGCAGCAACCGGTTGTGTATGCTCGTTCTTGCAGAACTCTCCTCCTATTTGCGTCTGTTCTGGATCGGGCGAATGCTCATCATTGTTTTCGACTTGCCGAGATACTAGGCTTTATTCTCGCCACTGTCAGGCATAACCATGAGGTTGCGCACATGGCTGGGGCAAGTGATTAGCTAATACAGGTACTCCAGGCCTCAGCTCGATTGATGCCCACACCAAGACGATGTCTCGTCCGTTCTTCCTCCCAGATTTTCAGAAATAATCGCCGTTCTCCTCTTCTTCCCAGCTTTTTTCTCCATTTTTGTTTTCGTGTCCTCACTAAAGTATTGTGCCAAATGCAAAGGCGAGGTACCTTCATTGTCAAGGCACTCCAGATCTGCGCCCGCATCGATCAACATATTAACCACTTTATTATGCCCGTTTAAGCAAGCAAGATGTAGTGGTGTACGATAATCAGGATCCACTGGGTCCAGACATTTCACGTACGAAATTAGTATCCGTGTTGTGGCAACATCACCATTCATGGCGGCCAGGTGCAGTGGTGTGCGGCCATCGCTGGTGCGCACGAGGTCTGGCTCAGCGTTATTATCACGATTTTCAAGAAGGATCTTGACAATTTCGGCCCGACCGTTTTCTGCTGCCTCGTGAAGCGATGTAGTTCGGCAATTTTGATCCTCGAGGTTGACCCTTATGTCTGCCCCAACAAGTAGCCGTATAATGTCGCTATAACCCTCCTTAACTGCATTCAAGATCTCTGTAACAAGGTTAGGCGATTTATCTTCGCAAGCTTCTAGCCTTCCTGGTTCATATCGGCTCGTGATGCTATATTTATGTAGGATTTGGTGCAGTTCGGGGAATTCCACAAGAAGAAACTCAACAACATCAGACTTGCCATTGGAAATAGCAGACCGCAGGCTTTTCAGTGGCCAATCGCCAACTGTTCGAAGTATTGATAGGACTCCTGCATGCAGTGCTTGCCGATCTTCAACAGTAGCCCACCTGGAAGGATCCGGAATCCATGTTGATTCTCTAGAAGTGTCTCGCTCGACGATCGCATGAAGCTTTTTCAAGGCGTGGTGGATAACAGGGTCCCACCAAGCCTGCCCGGTCTCATTTACATCGTTGTCGAAATGTGGCCAAGAAAGAACAGCCTCGTACCATTTATTCAAGGCTAATTCAAGTTGATCAGGTAGCTTGCGAAGAAGCGTCCTAGCGAGCTGAATATGACCTGATCTGATAGCTTGAATGATGGGCATATTTGGAAGAAATAATTCTAAACTCGTTGCCAGGGCATGGTGAACCCAGAGATCATTAACCTTTGACAACGTTGATTTCCCTATCCGTACATCCCAGTCTTTTGGGACGAATATAAACTTGCCTTTGTCCCATTTTACTCCTTGACCGGTGCGGTAAACGGACGCACCCAAATCGACCAGATGATCTGCAATCTCCAACCAATTGCATTCGATTGCCAGGGAAAGAGCAGATCTATTATGCTTGTCCACCATCTCCATGGCGATTAATCCCTCTGGATGACTCAAGAATTCCCGTAGAATTTCAATATTTCCCCTTTCGATTGCCAGGTGGATCGGGGTCTGCAGACAAGTGTTTCGTGCAAGAATCAACTCTTTAGCATGGGGTTCCTCGAGAAGGAGTCGAACAGTCTGGAGAGATCCCAAAAGAGCCGCAGCATGAACAGCAGTTGTAAAACAATAAAACTTATCGAATGAAGTGGGAATCTTGTAGTCGTGCAATTCCGCGCCGGCGGTAAGCAATGTTCGTACCACGTCATTTTTCCCTCCTTTGATGGCGAGAGCGAGTGGCTTCAGCCCAGAAGTGTCCTCCAAGTTGACATCCGCTCCGTTTCGGATAAGCACCTGAGCTATTTCCGAGTTTCCTGTTTGCGCAGCGTAGTGAAGAGCAGTCCTGCCAGAGTCATCTGTGATATTGACATCATCTCCAGCTTTCAACAACCGTTCTAGCACGTCGACTTGCCCGAGTAGAGCTGCAATATGGAGCAACGATCTCCCGCCGGTTTTATAAGCATTCATATATGAGTGGTCGAGATTGATCAGGCAATATTCGAGCTCGCTGTAAGGGCTGGGGTCGGCATGCCAGAGTAGAGAAGCCGTAGCTTCTTTTTTGGCTTCCACAGCTGCTGAGTAAGTGGTGTGGTTGTTTCTGTTCAGACACTTTGTCGAAGCTCCTGCAGCAAGTAAAAGGGAGACTATCTCATCGAAACCCTTGGACGCAGCAATATGGAGTGGCGTGTTCATGTCACAGTCACCCTCAGACAGATCGACCTGAGAAATGTTTCTCGAATTGAGCAAGAGTCGCACCAATGAAGCGTCTCCCTTTTGAACAGCGATATGTAAAACCTGTCCCTCTGGCCGTGCACCCGCATCAAGGAGAGCTCCCACAGCGGGGCCATTGGAAGCTTCCACCGCCATGTGGAGAGCAGTTCTGCCGTGTTTATCCTTTGAATCCAACGGGACCCCAGTTTGGATCAGCTTGTCAATCACCAAAAGTGTGTTAGCTGGATGGCAGATGTATTCGGGAGAAGTGTGTGTGTCAAGAACCGCATGGAGAGCAGTCCTGTTGTCCTCATCTTGAGCATCACATTCCACTCCGTATTCTAAAAGCGCATCAACAAGTTCAAGACTATTGACTGGAGAGACAACTGCGGCCTGGAGAAACCCACTTAGCGTGTGCTTCTTGACAGGTTGAAAGCCTAAGTGGGAGTTGATGTCCTTGTTGCGCAATATTCGTATCAAGAACCGGACAATATCGAGGTGACCATGTACCGTAGCCGTGTATAGCGCGTTATGTGCCACATCGATGATGTAAGAATCATGATCCGCTTGGTGCCCAATAATGGCAGCAACAGTATGGAACAAATGCTCCATGATGGTTAGATGACCACATGTTGCAGCGTCGTAGACCGCTTTGATAATGATCGGCAGCCGTAAATGTTGACTGGTAAATTCTTGAACGACCTCTTTATGACCTCGCGATGCAGCGAGAGAAAGTGGTGATTTTGGAGGGTCTTCGAGAGACAGGATGTTGAGAATCCAATAGCTTGCCCTATGCTGAAGTATAAGTTCAACACAGCGACTGCAACCCAAGTCACATGCTAAATGCAATGGAGTATATAATTGATGTTTGCTGCGGGTAAAAAGGGAGGATCCACGGGTATCGGCTGTAAGCAGTTCCTTGACTGCTGGGTGGTTGGCGCTCTGAACTGCTTTATGAAGAGGAGTTAGACCCATCGCATCAGCAATGTCCACGTCTGCTCCCCAGTCTATCAGATCTCGCAGCACATGCTCATTGCACCGACTTGAAGCAACATGTAACGCAGTACTGCCGGTGGCGTCGGAGGCATTTATATCTATGTCGCTCAGAGTCAAGAGTTCTTGAGCAACACCCCAGAGGTTGAAGAAGAAAGCAACATGTAATGGCGGGGGACCAAACGCAGACATGCGATCCAACCCAAATAGAACCATAAAAAAACCATCCAGACTTGCTCGTTCCTCCACCCACTTGGAGAACGTACTTGGTGAGAGCAAGAAATCAAGAACAACAATCTTTTCAGCCTCATTATCCAAGATGGTGTCTTCTGCTTTCTGACAGTGATATGGCCACTCCAAGACAGCATAGTCATGGAGAAGCCTGTTTTCGAGGAAGCCTTGAACATCCGATTTCCACTGGCTAAACACAGGACTTGAGGTCCAACACAAGAGTGTGACGCATGTTAAAGTAATGCGCCCATGGCTGCTATCCTCATAGACTCTGAACTGTTCAGGGCAAGTTTCTCCTTCGATGGCTCCCATGCCAAGGAGGAATTCTGACATTGTTGTATGAACCAAGAGGGCTGAATTATCGTCGAGGATCTCAATAAGAGGCATCAAGTCTTTTTATTTTTGAAGAAACATATCTCCTCCAGTGTTGTCTGTGCCAAGTGATTTTGGTGGATTCCGATCGTCAAAAGTGAAGCGGCTCTTTTGTTTAGTCGTTCGCGTGGCTCGTAGTTGTGAGCTGCGCTGGGAGACATATCTGGGCCACACTGTCCTGTCAATTATCTCAACCGCACGGAGGGCATCGACTGTCAGTGGACGTCTCGCTTGGACCAGCCAGCGGAGCATACATTTAGCAAACTCCTTGTCCTTGATCTTCCTGAGCCGGTCGGAATAAAGAGAAGTAAGAGCACTGGGTATCTCATCCATTCTACCCAGTAATTCTTCCTCAGTGCCGGCTGTGGATTCAAGTATGTCCAACATGAGATGGGCATATAAAATCATACCCTGGCGTGGTAGAGGCAGTTAGCAGGACTGATATCGGCCCATCCACTGTCGATATATGGGAGTACAAGGGCAGATTGCGCAGATGAGAAAGGAAACATTTGTAAACATTGTGGATGTCACTCACACTTGAACGAATTTTCAGTTCCTTCACGACTCGTGGCATATGCGATGGAAACCCAGAGTTTTTCCTATTGATGCGATGATAAATGAACTTTCTCAATGTCCGCATCGAGGTTGTCCACCACATCGCTCAAGTCGAGTCGGAAATGATGCTTGTTATCAACTAAATTCTCTATGTGTTTTACTAAGCGAGCCGTGATGATGATTTTCACGTCAAACCCAGCGATTGTTATTAACCATTCTTGCAGAGTTGTGAGATCATGCTCTTTGCTCTCATATCCTTTGAGTGCATCGGAGTCTTGTTCTCTACATTCATCCAGCGCATCGACGATGAGGTAGCTGGGTTGAACAAGCCCAAGAACTTGTCGTAGTGCCTCGATATACCCGTCTTCGGTGGGTTCATTAGCAAGGCTTTTGCGCGCTAAATTGAAGCATTTTGTTTTCAACTTTGGCATTGATCTTCGAACTCGAAGAAGCAGCTGATGTAAGATTGTATGATAGAAATTTTGAAGAGATCCAACTCGGAAGTCTTTCGCGTCAAAGAAAAAATACATGACGTTGTTTTGCTTGTTCTGGCTGAAATGGTCACATAGCCACGAGATAATGTTAGCGTATTCGTAGTAGGCTTCTATGCGAGGATTGTATCGCCCTTTTTGTATGGAAATATGATCACTGACCTGAGAGATGTACGTCTTCCCTGAACCTGGTTTCCCAAATAGCCAAAGAATACTACCGAGTCTCGGCACTCCATTTCTGGAATGCTGGTTGATCCAATATCCATTTACAGGTCCCGGGAACAAGATTCTGTCGACGTTTGCGCATAATGGATTCGAAGTCGTATGGCTGAAGATTCCTCAGGAAGTCAATATCATCAGCGTCTAAAATTTCGTCAGCTGGCTGTTCCTAAAAATTGCAGATGTTTTGAACAGGATGAATTCAAAAAACGTGTAGGTTGCCGGACTTGGAAGTCTTACTAACCTAAAGAGTCGTTTATCTTTTGGGTTTTGGCTGGAGGGGGGATAATCATCAGCAAAAACACTGTTCAGGACGAGTAGAGGGATTAATGCCACGACGAACCAATCCATGATTCCACCATGTCAGCTATCTTGCTTGTGACAGCGAGATAGCTCGCATCATGTGAACTATCATACTTATTCAGACCGAAATGATCTGTATCCAACGGAGCAGAATCCTCTCCACGACGGGTCGCTGAGCTCTTATTAACAACCTGGAGAGATAGGGAAATTAGCAATATTTCAAGTTACGCAATGCCCAAACTTCCACGGTTCTTACCATCTCAACTTGCACCCCGAAAACAACATTAGGCCTTGTTTCGTAAAAATCGAATGAGACTCCGGGATAATATTTCCTGAACTCGTCCTCAAGTTTTTCCGTTTCTGCAGCCCCGGGATCTAAGTAACGAAAAAGAAGAGGGCTTGCGCCGTCCCAGTAGGCAAATAGACAGTACAGCTTTCCGAGTAGTGAATAATGCGAACCTGCATGTGGGGTTCCAAGGAAGACTACTCCAGCAACGCAGTTCGCGAGACTTTCATATCTTGCTTTTGTATCGGGCTGCGCGGTAGGTCCTTTGGCGAGGACCAGTGCCTATCAAAACCGCAGTGAGATTAATTTTTTGCTCTTTTAAGTTAGATAAATAGGGGTGTCAATATTTGCTTACCTGCTCAATTATGAGCCCACCGAAATTGTGCCCAATAAGGATGAGAGGACGGCCCCGTTCCTTTTATTTTAGCGCACTGGTTAGTTCTTGACTGTTAAATTTGTTTGGAACACTGAGGAACTGGAGTTGACTCACCTCACTACTTCTTCTAACTCTCACAAGGCTGTCAAGAAGTTGTCTTCCGTGGTCAACCAGAGTCTTGTTTAAGGCTCGCGATTGCCAAGTGGAATTGTGACGGTAAGTCATAATGCGCGCCTTGGGAAAATCGTTTGGAAGAAAGTCCCGTAACCAGAGTTTTCCGGATGGTTCATGTGTCCAAGTTCTTTCCACAGAAGATCCTAACCCATGTACCGCTACGATGCTATGAATGGACTTGTTAGCATGCCCTCGAAATCTTTCAAGATAAAGCTTTGAAGCCCCTTACTCTAGCTCTGGGTTTTCAGGCTGATGCAAGAATTTGATAGGATTGATGTTGCTGAGTGCCGACGTGGAGCTGTCAAGATCAGGCTCCAAGAGCTTTTTTCTGACATAATATGACACGAGTGATGGAATAGGTGACATAAAGACTGCCAGAGTGATGAGAGCTAGGACGACAATCTTGCTCCATATTGAATGTGACTGTAATTGGGAGGCCATGAACGCCCCAAGAAATACCACGAAAAAATTTCCAAACGAAGCTTTGTCCAAACGAATGGAGAAACAGATGAACAGAATAATGACAACATGAAACAATAATTCTGGCATTTTTAAGGACTTTGTTCTTCTCCCACGATGAGAAGGGTCGTCTGGAATAATGTTTCACAAGATCGTTGTACGCTTAGGTCACCCAAAAAAAGTCTTTTGCTATCAGTTTTCAGCGATCGATCCGGCCAGAATGGTAGTAAGGTTCCAAGAGTTGGTAACACAGCTGACAAGGGAGTGTGATCTTGAATTACTTGCCGATCGGGGAACCGAAGGCTGCAACTTGGTGAGAATGGATAATGAAAGAGTGAAATGAGGGCGCAGCTAATAATATCTTGGCCAGGTATGCGGGGCCTGATTCGAGTTCTTATGCTGAACAACCGCGCGAATGCGACTGGCTTAGCATCTAGGTCCAACTGCTCCTGCATAGCCGCCGACCCGGCGCTTAAGGCGGGTTGGCGGTTGCTGTAGACAGTAAAGCCAGGTTAGTACTCCACATGGTTACATTACATGCCCAGATGGATTAGAGATAGGCAAAGTTCGGGAAGCCATGAGGCAAGATTTGCGGCTTTGTAGCTGGCTCATGCCGAGTCTTCTGGCAACTCGTAGGCTGCCTCACTGTATTCGTAGTCTAAATACCCATATATATAATAGATGAAGGACATACCACCCATTAGGTTCATCAACGACCGGGGAACGCAACCGTTACCATAAAGACAGTGAAAATCAAGATGGACCAAACTAAACGGTTGAGTGTATCTTCCTTCCAATGAATATCGTGACTTCGCTAAGCTCCTCCTGCATGGTGTCTGTAGAGTGCCTACCCCAGGTCAACAGAAATGACTCTGAACTCTATGAGATATATATGCATGACCTTGGGATGTTGAAGGATAGTCTGTTTGGCAAGCATGCTCAATAAAATGATGCTGGATTCCGATTCCGGCTCCGATGTATATGGTGCCCTATATTTGCTCTCTCTTCAGTAGGCACCTGCACAACGAAAATGTCACGGTTTAAAAAGGACACTACACACTATATATTTAGTGTAGATACCCACTTTCCTACAGGGAGGCAGACACACCCTATGCCTATTTACACAGAAGTTTGTAATCTCTTCAGCGGCTAGGTAGGCAGGGTTCTTACGTTCATCAAGTATATGATCGCGCGAAACTCGACTGTGCGGGTCCATGCCAAGACAGTAGCCATAACAACAACACACCATGATAAACAGGTCAACACGACAAAGAACTAATTTTCACGGAGTTTCATGCTATTTCATGGCACAGAAGTAGTTTTGCCTTTTTCAGGGCTGAAGCTGTACTTTTTTGGTGTATTAGGAAGTTGACAAATCCGACTTACAAGTCGAATATCTCGTCAAGGTCACAAGCGAGCAGCGACCCACCAGGTCCCCTTTGGTGGCCTGTTGATTTCGAAGCAAGTCACTGCGCCACGTAGCAGGCACTAAAACCTCTGGACACCTCTAATTATCACTACATTGTATTCTTCAACTGGGTTAAGTCGCTTCTACATCCCTAATAGACCACGAAATCGCACATCCTCAACAGGACGCCTGACGTACATCGTTCCCTCTCGCTGAGCGTCGATGAATCAACCACCTTTCCGTCTCGAGCAACAGCTTTGCCATAGTTTAGAAGTAGTGATTGAGAATGGGGTGAAGGTGGCTAGAAGAACTGCTACACCAGCTCGACAATCGACATTCCCGAGACGGGATAAAGACTACTTGCCGGGAGAGCCAAGAATCCCCTTGGATGGTAGAACCATCGGTGGCTATCTTAAGGAAGAGCTAGTGGCGAGAGACCTTGAACAGCTGGCTCCATACTTATGGTTGGTTGCCAAGCAGGATAGCTCCCACATCTCGTCACTTACCCACCAGCTTGCAAGAGGCCGCGAGATTGTGATTACGGAGAAGCCAGGATTACACTTGGTTTGGTATTATGACCGAGTTTTTATCAAGCCGTTACCAAAGTACCTCCTCTCTCATGCATTCTGGTCGTTTTACCTATTATCTCACGAATCTCCGATCCCAGAGCCACTACGAAGCGACCTCAAAAAGGCAGCCTTAGGCTTCCTCCGATCATACGCCTTTCTCATCCAACATCGATCCGATTTTGATCTTGCTATGCGCGAAGAGCACCGTTTGCTACCAAAAAATGTCAAATACGTTGAGCTTGCCAAACTTCTTAGGTCTGTGGAATGTATTGATGATTCCATGGTATCTTTACGATACAACTATGGAGAACTGCGTCTCTCGCGGCTTAACTTTTGGGTCAAAATCTTTCTTTTTCGCTTTACATACCACAAAAGCCAAGGACAATACGGAGCGTACTTTTCTCGCTTTCTTGGACCTCTTGCCGCTCTCTTTGCGATCCTTTCCGTCCTGCTGAGCGCTATGCAAGTCTCCTTAGCCGCACTGGAGGCAATGGATAATTCAAACCTTCAGACTTGGAGAAGTTTTGCGAAGGTGTCAAATGAGTTTGCAATATTTGTTCTCTTTTCCGCGGGGCTTTCTCTCGCTTTCCTCTTGATTCTGTTCTTAACTATGCTGTTTCGAGAGGCAATCTATGCGTTCAAAGACTTGTATTACAGAAAAAAAGGTTCTAAGCAAGGCGTACGGGGGACAGGACATAGAAGAATCTACATGACAGATTAGGTGCTCAGAATCTACAATAAATGTACGTTGAGTGAAAAGCTTATGATCATACTTGTGCTGTTAATCCACCTAACCTCAGTGGTAGCATCTCCGTTATTATTGTACGTATTTCTGATGTGGGTGATATGGGCGGCAGACATTTCAGCAAGGCGAACTGGTAATTGGTGACATCTAGTGTGGGGGAGAGTGCTTGCTCTGGCAAAGCGTAGAGGTTTAGCTTGAGGTGCACATGATGGTGTACCTATGTACCTATCCCGTCTCAGCGAGCCGGTCTGAGAACTTCGAGACAGCATCAGGTGGTACAGCCGAGAGACAAAGGACATTCCGGCTTGACAAAGCTTTTGACCTGGTGGTTCCCTATTGCAAGCCAGGTGGATGGTTGCTCTGCATCATGTGGAGAAATTCGAAACAGCGGACCATACGAGGACACAGCAAAGATAACTCAACGCATGTGCAGATAGTCGATTCGTGTCAACATGCGTCCAAAAGGTGGGATTTTGAGTGGATTACGCTGATTTTTGGCTTGATTTCGGCGCATCTGGGAGCAATTCCATGTCTCAGGGCTGAGGCCCGTCCAATCAGCTCACTGGTCGCGCCACCGCGCTAGGCACACCCGGCAGAGTTGCCGAGTAATTGCTAGTGTGAGACCTGAGGGGATTGAGCTGTCTGTCCGATGCGGTGTGCATCCCGCTCTGTGATACGCTGATCTTCTCGTACTTCGCATTGAGAAGTAACTCAGGATTGCCTTTGATTCCCTATTTATACAGGTTGACCGGCGTCAAAGCTCGAGGGTCGCCATCGGATGAACTGAGTTTTTCGTGTCTGGATAACTAAGCGGGGTTTCTCGCTTAACAAGAGTGACCCACTTCGTTCCCGTGGCCTAGCCAAGCCAGACCCTGGAAGGCTCAGGCAAACCAGAGCTGTTGCGCCAAGAATTGCTTGGCGCAGGAATGGGCAACCCTGTCGTGTCAGCCTTCGGCCACCCAACTGCTTCCGTTCTTATCCTCTCCCAGGGCCCAGCTCCCACTTTTCCTTCGCTTTCTTCCACATGGCCTCTTCCACCCTCGAACCACTGCCATCATCGCGCCCGAGCCATCGTGCAACGCATCCCCAGCATCGCTCCCGGGGCCTGGCTCTCGTTCCTTTTCGTGTGTTTTCAGCGTATTCGATCAACTTCCCGTCTCGACGCTGGGGTCCAGGTTGAGCTGCTCGCGTTCTCTCCTTTGCTGACCCTCGCTCGCACCCTAAACAAAAATATCCACCCGCTGCCGCCTGCTCCGCGGCCAGCTCCGACAACCCTGCTCTTGATGCCCGCTCCTAACCCAGCTCCCCCGGTTCCCGCGTTGTCGTCCGCAAGATGCTGCGACGGCCTCCCGGCCATGTCGCTCCCCCGCGTCCGCGCCAGCGTAACAAATATTTGCTGGCGCTCGCTTTGATTCTCCTCCCATGGCTGCCCCTCGCCGATGCTCAGCAGCAGCACCCGCCAGCCGGCCGGCCGCCCTCCCCGCTTCGAGATCCCGGCACCCCCGCCGCATACCATGTGCGCTCCCCGTCTCCCCCCGAGGACGACCAGCATGCGGCCCCCAACCTCGCCGCCACCACTGTGACCGCTGATGGCACTGCGGCTGTTCATGCCCGCAGGACGTCAGTGTCGGGATACGTTGACGACGAGATCGCCCGCAGCCATCTGCGGGCTCTAGCTTCTCGCTCCACCTACAACATTCCTGACGATGTGCGCGCCCACGCTTTGGCTCCGGACTTGTCCGTTCGAGCACCACCTCCATCTCATTACCGAGGCTCTTCCGTTCCTGGAGGGGCTGGCCTCTCGCAGCATCTTGCGCGGAGCCTGGAGGACTGGGAAGTGGAAGACTTTGTTCTTCTGGCGACCGTCGACGGAGACCTCATTGCCAGTGACCGCAAGACCGGTCAGGAGCGCTGGCACTTTAAGGCCGACCAGCCTCTGGTCGAGACCAGACATTTCAGAACCAACCGCTCTGTCCTCGACGAGGACTTCGACCCTATTGATCACTATATCTGGGTCGTTGAGCCTACGAGAGACGGCGAATTGTACTTATGGCGCCCGCATGAGAACGGCGCCGGCCTGGCTAAAATGGCCTGGACCATGAAAAAGGTAGTCGAAGAGTTGTCTCCGTATGACGACAAGATAAATGGCGTCGTGTATACAGGGGACAAACGAACCACCATGATTACCTTGAATGCTCTTACCGGCACAGTGATCAAAGAGTTCGGCTCTACTGGAAGCTATGTCAACAAAGTTGAGTCTGAGAGCTGCTTCAAGCCTAATGCCCTCGCCGACCGCGAGGAAGAGTGCAGCGATGATCCTACCATCACCCTCGGGCGCACTGAGTACAGTGTCATCATCCATCGGGCTGATGGCAGCCCGATCGCGTCTCTCAAGTACTCCGAGTGGGGTCCTAACACACAGGATAACGATCTTCTGCAACAGAATATCATCTCTAAAGATAGCCGCTATATCACCGGTCAGCACGACGGCAAGGTATACGGTTTTGATTATGGGCGCTTCAGCGAGGAGCGCCCTCTCTTCACGAAGACTCTTTCGTCTCCTGTCGCCCGTGTCTTCGACGTGCTACGACGCATCGGCGATCCTCCGGGCGGTAATCCGGAGCTGATTGTTCTTCCCCAGCCACCGCTGCCAGTCACCGACGAGGAAAACCTTCGTCTCCGCAGCGAAAAGGTGTTTATCAACCAGACTGAGCAAGGAGGATGGTACGCTCTGTCAGCCCTTCGATACCCGCTGATCATGTCTGCTCCCGCTGCTGCGATTCACCGGCTTGACTGGTGGAAGATTAAAGGCGCATGGGATCTCCTGAGCGACCAGCAAAAGTCTAGCGTCCTTGTCGGGACGCACAATTTACCCAGCGCAATTGGCACGGTTGAGCGTCCCGAGTCCCAACGCTTGCTGTTGGACGCACCCCGGGAGACTGATAAGCCCGTTGCCGTTGAACCCAAGCTCCCCCTCGAACCAGAGCTTCCACCTTTGCTTCCGCCGCCGCAGCCAGAGCCAAGCAGGATCTTTGAAACTGCTAAGAGGATCCCCGAAATTGCCGCGATCAAGGTCATCGACCTGATTAGCAATCCAGCCGCCATTGTTCTCTTCTTTGTTAGTCTTTGGCTTGTTTACAAGGACCGTATTCTCTCCTGGAAGCATCAGCAATGGGATAAGAGAGTTAGTGCTCTGGTGTCGAAGATCCAGGTTACCCCTACTGTCTCTGAGCCAGCACTCGTACAACCTCAGTCTGCCCATTCGGACGCTGCTCAAGCCTCTTCTCAACAGGAGATTGCCATTGTCCCTGAGGCTGGCGAAACCAAGGCTGAGTCGCCTTTTGCTTCAGCCCCAGCGGCTACTCAACCAACTACCATCGAACTACCTCAGGAGCCAGAGAAGACTGCCCAACCCCCAAGCCAGGATTCAGGTACTCCCGATTCTGCAGTGTCCCGCACAAGTCCTTCGACTGAATCAGCTCAACCAGCCGCCGAGGGGGCTGATGGTGCAGCGTCTGCAGAACCTGTTAAGAAGAAGAAGGCTCATAGGGGTCGGCGAGCTGGTGTCAAACACCGCAAGGGACCCAAGAAGAATGCAGCCAACAATGACGCTGCCCAGGCCGACCCTACCCAGCAGGCAGTTGAAGAAGTTGTCAACAAAGCCAAATCGCTGGTTCGCGAGCCGAAGCTTGAACCAGATATCATCACTGCCGGGGCAGGCGACGAAGTGTCGGGCCACATCCTCAAGATGGGTCTCCTGGAGGTCAACGAAGCCGAACCTCTTGGTACTGGCAGCAACGGTACCATTGTCTTTGCCGGCAAGTGGGACGGCCGTGACGTTGCCGTCAAGCGTATGCTGGTACAATTCAATGAAATTGCTAGTCAGGAGACAAGACTGTTGCGCGAGAGCGATGACCACCCGAATGGTAAGCACTGTTTGCTTCCTGTTGTAATTCAACAATTTGCTGACGACCACAGTTATCCGCTACTACGCCCAGCAAGAGCGCGCCGACTTCCTTTACATAGCCCTTGAGCTCTGCGAAGCATCTCTCGCCGACATTGTCCAGCGCCCACACTGCTACCGAGAATTAGCCCAGGCTGGTGAGCGTGATATGCCTGGTGTTCTGTGGCAGATTGCCAATGGTCTTGCCCATCTGCACAGCCTGCGCATTGTTCATCGTGATCTGAAGCCTCAGAACATTCTGGTCAATATGGGCAAAGATGGCAAGCCGCGCATTCTCGTATCGGATTTCGGTCTCTGTAAGAAGCTGGAAGGTGGCCAGTCATCATTCGGTGCCACTACCGCTCATGCTGCAGGTACCAGTGGGTGGCGAGCGCCAGAGCTGCTCATCGATGATGACGTCCCCGGATCCAGTGCCCTGGCGCTTACTGATCCCGGCTCCAGTCTACACAGCGCTTCAGGGTCCGGACATCCTGAAAACCCAGTGATTTCTCACCATCGCCGCGTAACTCGTGCCATCGACATCTTTTCGCTGGGCTTGGTATACTTTTATGTCCTTACCCGCGGCAATCATCCCTTCGACTGTGGCGACCGGTTCATGCGTGAGGTCAACATCCGCAAGGGCAACTACAACCTGTCTGCGCTCGACGCTCTCGGTGATTTCGCGTACGAGGCTCGCGACCTTATCAGCAGCATGCTCAACGCCAACCCTAAGCTGCGCCCTACCGCTCGCGATGTCATGGCTCATCCCTTCTTCTGGACATACAAGAAGCGTCTCTCCTTTTTGTGTGATGTGTCGGATCACTTTGAGAAAGAACCTCGCGATCCGCCGTCGCCAGCTCTTCAAGAGTTGGAGAGTCATGCGCCCGACGTCGTTCGCGGAGACTTCCTGAAGCACCTGCCCCGTGAGTTTGTCGAGTCTCTCGGCAAGCAGCGCAAATACACTGGGTCTAGGCTTCTTGACTTGCTTCGGGCATTGAGGAATAAGCGAAACCATTATGAAGATATGTCTGACTCTCTCAAGAAGATGGTTGGGAGGTTGCCAGACGGGTATCTTCGTTTCTGGGCAACCCGGTTTCCAAACTTGCTCATTGTGTGCTGGAATGTGGTGTACGACCTGCATTGGGATGACACAGATCGGTTCAGGGATTACTATCAGCCTGCTCCTCCGATTTAGAGTGGTTTTCAGGTAGTTGAATGGGAGATTGTTATTTTGCTGCTTAGCCTCGTTTGGGGTCCGCTTGGTCGCTCTTCGCAATGCTACATCCAGTTTTCAAGTTTTCAATCTGCGACTTTTCCATCTGGTGCCTACTCTCGGATTCTGAGTCTTGTTCTTACCTTGCTGATCTTTCAGGCTCTTTTGCTTTCATGATCATCATATGTTCTCTCTTCAACCGTTCAAATTAAAGCAGCCGCAATAGACACATCGCTCTGGCAATCCACCTTCCCCTGAAATGACTTGCCCTCGTTAACGACGCCTATTATTGCTTTCTAGCTGTGTCGATTCAGGACATGTTTGGATATGGACGCAGACTGTTACAATGGGTTGGATCACCCAAGCCGTTAGGTCCAGGAGTTTGAAAGAGCATAACTCTGAGTAAATGTTAGGCGCGTGATGCTGGCCAAGACGGACTAGAAGAGGTAATAATGAAAACCTAGGGAGGAAGTCCATATGTAGAAACCACGATGGGGAATAACTGATTACAGCTGAGTTGGCATCAACTCCAAATCTTGGCCCAGATTCCGCAAGTCATGCGGGAGGAAGGGCCGGTTCGGGACGAGCCAGCCGAGGGCCCTTCAATGGTCAAAGGTGTCGATGCTTGGCGTTAGATCAACCAATCAGGGAGTTGAGGCATAACACAAAGTAGGCTCAAAGCCGAGCATCTAATTCAACAAATTAAACAAACTCATGTTTAGAGTCTGATCACTCGAGGTTATCATAAGAGAACACATAGGAAGGGTTGCATCAATGGCTTACAGGGCCTTCGCTTGCATGGTGAGCCGAGAAGTGTCCCCTTAGAGCTGCGGACATCCCTAGTTTCCGAAAGTGCCTACCTGAAGGAGCGTCGATATTATCGATGACTCAGCACTTGAGCTTTCATGGTCATGATTTTTAGATATTGTGTCACCGGAGGCTTTGTATTGTCTACGAATATTTGTTCAAGTGGTATAAATTGTTACTCTTCTGCAATTGTTCAGATATCAGAGTAACAATCGTTAGTAGTACCTATCAAGTACAAAGTCACGTGCAACGGTGAAGGCCGCGGCTCGACCTCCCCACCAGCCACGCGCGTCTTGAGCGCCGCCTCAATAGCAACCCGAGCGACCAAGCGACCAGAACAACTGCACCAGCCCGCAGTACTGCCAACATAAAAAAATCGTACGGCACTGGCAGACCCAACGCCGTCGGAGCCATCTCGATCGCTTGCGTTTATTTTGCCAACTTTTTGAATTTTTCCCACTTAGTTCCCACGATCCGTGCGGTCACCATCATTTTTCCTCCGTTTGCTTGGGGCAGTACACCAACGGGGCTCCAGGCGCTGCAAGCACTGCAAACCTCGCTGGAAGCAGCACTGCAAGGCGCAACGCCAGCGCAGGCCCTTCCGAGCCCACGTCTGCACCGTGACGTGACGCCTGATCTTACCATCTGCATTCCCCCCAACCACCAACCTCACTTCACCCCATACCCCGCGGTTTCCGCGCGCAACACTTCACTGGACACGCGTTTCGTTTCTTGCTTCATCGCCCCTCGGTGCCAGAGACAAGCCGTTCGCCTTCAGACCTTATTATTTTTTGTTTTTTTTTCCCGCGTTTTCTGTCCGCCTGTAGTCGGTCGCTAAGCATCGAGCTTCGCGCGGCCACAGCAAACGACCACACGTTTTCTGTCACCAATTGATGCGACTTGCCGTCTCGGCAACATGTCGACTCAACGTAAGTTGTTTAGAAATCATCCAAGGTTGTTAGTTTGATCTGATGTGCTGATTGTCGGGGCGTGCCGCAGTAACCGAAGACGAGCGGGAACGCTACACGCGCATCATCGATGATCTCATTCACAAGGCCGACCTGGAGACTGTTACGCGTAAGAAGATCCGCCAGGGCTTGGAGGAGGCCATTGGCAAGGATTTGAGCGATCAGAAGGCATGCTGACTGCATCTTCATCCCCCCGAAATACCATTCCATCCCATGTGCTAATCGACCTTGAAGAATGCCATTAAAGAGCTGATCGAGGCCCGCTTTGACGCCATCTCGGGTGTCCAACAGCAGCCGACGCCGGAGGAGGCCAACGGCGCAGGCTCGCCCGAGTCAGCTTCGGCGAACGGTGACGGCGAGCCGACCGCCAAGAAGCGGAAGCGTGAAACTTCGTCCATTGAGGACGCCGACGCCCGCCTTGCCGCAGAGCTGCAGGCACAGGAGAACAGCCTGGCGCGCCAGCGCGTCACCCGTGGTGCTAATAAGGCTAAGGGCAAGGCTGCCAATAGCAAGGCCGCTGATAAGGGCAAGAAGGGCAAGGCAAAGAAGAGTGCCAAGCGCGTACGGGATGAGGACGATAGTGAGGCTGGTTCCGGCGACGATGGCGAGAAGCCCAAGCGGAAGGCTGGTGGCGGCTTCCAGAAGCCGTTTAACCTGAGCTATCCTTTGCAGGAGCTTACTGGCGAGACCCAGGTAAGCATTTGTCAGGTGAGAAATCGAAGTTACTTTTTGTGCTAACAGTTTGATCAGCTCTCTCGCCCTCAGGTGGTCAAGAAGCTTTGGGACTACATCAAGGAAAAGGACCTTCAGGATCCCAACGACAAGCGTCAGATCATCTGCGATTCCAAACTCCAGGCTATCTTCAAGCAGGAGAAGATTAACATGTTCTCCATGAACAAGCTGTTGGGGAACCAACTGTACCCGATCGATGAGTAAAAAAAGGAGGAAGAAGCATTCACTTGCATTGACGGATCAACATTGGCGGGAACAAAGGATATCTTTTTGTGTGACACGACTAACTCGGTAGTGGGCGTGAAGGCGTCTGGGGCACTCTTATACTTGACTTTGGGTCAGGAATTGCTTGATCATACTGGGGATTGAGCTGCCCCTTTCTCTGTTTCCCTTTTTTCGTTTTTTTTTTTCTATATCATTTTGGCTGGTCGGTCGGCTGATATGGCAGGCGTCTCTGGTTACCTCGAGTCCAATATTACTCACTGAGCCGATCATCTCTTTCGAGCGAATGATGTTTTATTCCAAGTCCGTCTTCGTGCGTTTTCGTCGTTGCTGTTCGTTTCGTTCTTTGTGACAATCAGTTCTCACTTTCTGGACACCTCTCTCCGCGCCTGAACAGTTTGTCAGTATTTTTGGTTGTGCTTGCTATGTCACGAGCTGCCTCTGCATTGCATGTATTCCGTTTTATGCCTTTACGCGGACGGCGGTTTCTCGACGCTATGGATTCTGGCCCCAGGCTTTCAGAATAGCCACGACAACCGGTACACCATTGAACATTCAGATGGATGTCTGTTTACAGCGAGTTTTCTTGTCTTTTTTTTTCATCCTCTATGTTCATTCGTACAATTTACTGTTTAGTCTTTGGATCAAGATGGATGTACGAAATGGGGTCTGAATGGGATGGTATCATGTAGTTAGGACGAAGCGATAGCAAGCGATGAGCAAACGGGTACGTTATCGTAAAGGGGCTATGATAGGATCATTGTGAATGCTCAGTACTCAGCATAACTCTGAAAACTCTCACTTTCCATCTAGCTCGTAACCTTACCATTGACCCAGCCTCTTGGTGTCCGCCTAATAGGCTGAGTTATTGCATATTTCTCACCCGTCAATCGAAACATATGAGGGTACCTATGTCTGTGCTGCTGCCAAGGATCAAAGCCATCTATCTTATCTGGCTGCAGAGCATTCTTTAATTTTCTCTCCATTGGCACCCCTGAATAAGGCGCACGACATCATCGGAAATGACACATGCGGCGTGCACTGGTTGTGACCGTGGCCCCATGCTGCTACGGGTTAGCCAATCATCACGCGAACTGCACGCAGACCTGCCAGTCTTGGCAGCTGGCAGCTGGAGTCAAAAGTGTCCGGAGCTCTCAGCAGCAACCCCACCTTAGAAACTCCAACATCAAGCTCGAGCAGAACCCTGAAATATTTCATCAGCACCCAACACCTGCCCGACATCTTTCTCACCAATACGAAACAAATATCACACAGCCCATAGTGACACAAAAAGACTTGATTAATTGACAGAGTTTTGAATTGCTTTCAACGGTTTGCGAATCGCCAATTGCTCGGCTTTCTCCGCTTTCACCGCAATCTCGATCCTCAACCTTCATAACCCCTCGACAACTCAGACAAACTCAAGACCATGGCTTCCACAGACGCGCCCCCGCCAACCGACAGCGAGGATAGAAATCAATCATCTTCAGGACCCCGTAGCGACGGCAGATCAAGGGGGAGAGGAGGTAGAGGAGGAGGTGGAGGAGGAGGACGGGGCCGCGGTCGCGGAGACAGCGGTCGCAGAGGGCGTGGAAGAGGACAACAAACAGCCCCTCCAGAGCAGACAAATAACGCAAAGCCCGCGCAAAGTTTTAAGGCTAAGCCTGCTACTGACGAGGCTGCCGGCGGTGGCGATGGCGAGGTCTGCTTCATCTGCACCAACCCAATCAGCCACTATTCCATACCCCCTTGTAACCACATCACATGCCACATCTGCGCCCTACGCTTGCGCGCCCTCTACAAGAACAAGGACTGCCCTCACTGCCGGGTTGGTATCTCCTGACTGAAACGGCATCCCGTGGTGGGATCTGAATTTGGTGCAGTGCGCGCTGACTGAGTAACAGACCTCTTCTCCCTTCGTCATCTTCACCGACGACATCACCAAACGGTTCGACCAGTATGCCGACTCCGAGATTACGAGCACTGACCAGAACATTGGTATCAAATACGTCGGCGAGGACATTGTCGGCGACACCGTGCTGCTGTTACGCTACAACTGCCCAGACCCCAGCTGCGACTTCGCTGGCCTGGGCTGGCCCGATTTGCACCGCCACGTACAGAGTGTTCATCGCAAGAAGATGTGTGACATTTGTATCCGACATAAGAAGGTCTTTACGCATGAGCATGAACTGTTCACTAGTGATGAGCTGAAGGCCCATATGCGGTACTCTGACCGTCGCCCGGGCGCTGCCGACCAAACCGGTTTTCGAGGGCATCCTCTCTGCGAGTTTTGCGGTGTTCGTTATTACGATATTGATAAGCTCTGGGAGCACTGCCGCGATAAGCACGAGCGGTGTTTCCTGTGTGATCGCCGCGACTCACGCCAGCCTCACTACTTCCCCGACTACGACCGGCTGGAGGAGCACTTTAGCAAGGAGCACTACTTATGCCCATATCAGGAATGCCTCGAGAAAAAGTTCGTAGTGTTTGAGACCCAGATGGATCTCCAGGCGCACAAACTGAGTGAGCATGGCGAGTCTTCAAGGGGGAGGGAAGCTCGGATCGTAGATTTGTCGAACTTCACACTACGTCAACGTTACGAGCAAGAACGGAGTGCGGCCAGCCGCACCACGCGTAGGAGAGAACCTGAGCCAGCTCCAGAGTCTCTTCACTCGGCCCAGCCGACTGCGACCGAGCTTGCCCCTTCCAGACCGCTTCAAGGTCTCCAGCAGCAACACCAGGAGGCCCGCAATCGGTCCATCCTCGACTCCATGGAATCCCTTACCATCTCTGACCTCTCCTCCCTTACCCCCGAACAGCGTGCAACCCTCACGCGTCACAGCGCCGTTATCGAGCGAGCGTCCAATCTGCTTGGCAACGATTCCTCCAAGATTGCTACCTTCCGCCAGCACATCTCGTCCTATAATCGCGGGTCTATGACGGCCCAGCAACTTCTCGATGCCTTCTTTGCTCTCTTTTCCGAAACCGCGTCCCCCGCGCTCGGCACACTTGTTAGGGAAGTTGCCGATCTGTTTGAGGACAAACGAAAGGGTGATGCGCTGAACAGGGCGTGGAATGACTGGCGCGCAATTAATGAGGATTACCCGTCGTTGCCTGGCTTGGGTGGTATGCGGGCTGGGTCTGGAGGTTCTGGTGCTGGCAACTGGGCAGCGGCTGCTGCTGCTCCATTGAGTGCTGCCGACAGCGCGGCTGCTATTGCTGCCGATCTGGGTCGCTCAGCACGTGTGCTGAAGCTAAAGAGTAGCACCCTCAAGGGAACAGCAGCTAGGCCCGGCACCGGGGCTGCCGCGTCCAGTTGGGCCGCTACAGCCTCGTCATCACGTGCGCCACTAGTTGATTCCCCCGATGCGTTTCCCGCTCTGCCGAGTGTTTCATCATCCGCTCAGTCCAAGCAAAAACAGCCTTCAAGCTGGGGTGCTGCTGCCTCGGGCAGTACCCCGACGATCACAACGACGACAGCGTCGAAGACAGCCGCGAACGCGGCCAAGAAATCTGCCCCACCGCTCTCATCTAGCGAGGCCTTTCCGGCGCTGCCAGCTGCGCCAAAGGTGCAGACAACAGCGTTTGGTTATGGCAGAGGAGCAGTTAGGAGGGACTGGGGTGTTTCGAGGGATACAGGGTTTACATGGGGCGGTACAAATGGCGGCCAGGAAACTGGGTCGTCGTCTCAGCAGGACCAACCTGGCCAGGTGGAAGGCGAACATGCAGCTGAAGGGAAAGGCAAAAAGAAGAAGAAGCAAGTTTTAGTACATTGGGGGTGAGGTTTTGTCTGGTTGTTAGAGACGTGATACTGCTGGCACGACCATTTTGGAATTGAAACGTGAGATGAAGGTCAGAATTCGCTTCCAATTATGGTACGAGGATGCTCAGTGGTTAAAGCGTACCTCGCGCAAATACATCGTCGATACCAAGGAGATAATTTTCCTAGGATGTTTTGACAGTATTATTGTCTACCTGACTATTTCTGCGACGTCTATTGTGCTGGCACTCTCGAGCCCACCTTCATTAACTATCAGAAAGTTAACACAATTGATGGGAAGAATCTCAAGTCATCCACCCCGAAACGGGTACCTGGCAGCATCTTGCATCCAACAGCGCTACATCGACGGGCACTGTAATAGTCTAGCCTTTTGCCTAGGTGGTCGCTGCAGTTTGAGAAAAAAAAAAACATTACACCTGGCTCTCATACCGTGCTGACCCCCCACCCACCTGACCTTCGGCAATCCGAGTTCGTCGGGTAAGTATTTCGAATTTACCGCAACGCATTGACTTACAAATAATCCAAGTTACTAGTGTCTTGGCTGCCTACTTAGTTATATCGATTGATTCTGGATATCCTCATCACAAAGCATATTAGAGAAAAGATGCCTTTATTACTATCTTCGGTTACTTCGGCGTTATACGAGCCGTAAGCCGTCTCAAAGTACGGTAGTTACCAGTCGGTATTAAACAGATTTGCTTCCAGTCATGAGACTCACAGTAGACGTATAGGCATCAATTGAATGCAGGTAGTACTTGTATCTATCTAGGTGCCTGAATTTTTATGCGTGTCGTTCCGGACCGTATTGACGTCCTCGACCGTATCACAAAACATAGTCCCACGGTTTGCTCAGCACCCACATTAGCTCCTGCGGAATGATATGCTCAATATTTAGGCAATAGATTGTTCAGGTAATAAGAACTCTAGTAACGCCGAAGTTACGGGTATCTTTCGAAATGAGAAAAACCAGTCTCCCGTCACTTTATAGGGCCCGACTCAATGGTACGACAGGTAAAGTTTCTCTGACAAGTCAGTATTAGCCTTCAGTTAAGTTCACACTCCAGTTTCGCGTCACAGTTATCCCCTTCTGGTGCCTTGCACCCACAAGAACAGGCTTCATCCTTTGCACAGAGAGCCTGACAGAACCCCTTCTGATAACAATGCAAGAAGCATGCCCTTGTCGGGCCATATCCAAGGTGGCCATCTGTCTTACAAGTGACAACCTCCTCCTCCTCCTCCTCCTCTTCTTCTTTCTTTCTTCTTCTTCGTCTTCTTCTTCTTCGGAGTCACTGTCACTGTCCTCAGACTCTTCGTTGTTGCCATCTTCTTCCTCTTCGCTAGAGTCTTCACTATCGCTCTCACTGACGGAGTCGCCTTCCACTTCAAGTTGGGCGTTCTGGGGAAAGTGTCAACTTTTAGTTTTGAGAAAATAGAAGACAGCCGTGCTGTCGGCCTGTGGGATCAACACTTACCAGCAGAAAGTCCTCAACGCCTTTCACACACAAAATCTTCCCAGAGCCCTTATCCCCGCTGCACGTAACATTGCGAATGTTATCGTACCAGGCAACAGGCCCGGCTGAGCGCCGAGAGCTGGCCAGATTATGGTTCTCAAAATGATGGGGACTACCTCGTGGCATTCCCATCACACCCAGGAAGATAGCAGAGAGTGTGTAAACAGTTGATAACTTCATTTTGGCTTTACGGTTTGTATCTGTGGTTGAGGCGCGAGTTTGGGCCCAGGTATGTTGGAACGTCTTATATCCAGAGTCTTGTTGAGAACAAGCTTGACTATAAATGAATACAGCAGAATACGAGATGTCAATCACCATGCAGGCTTTGTGTCAAGAACTGGCACACCGGTGGTGTTTAACTCCCTAGCCAAGAGCCTTATGTTGTCGCCAGGTCCATTTTTCCACCATTCAGGAGTAAATCGGCGAACTGCAATCGGACTCGGCCAGCCCTAATGTACGACCGGAGATGCTCGATGAGTCCGGTGGATCAATCAGAAGCTTTTCACCACTCTTTGGAGATGAGACTGGCAGTCACGTGTCGAATCAAAATTTGAGAACCGGAACGAGAAAGGACAGGGCTTCGTTATTTAAGGGTATGGAAGTGAAGTTATGAAGATCATCCTACCCCGCTGGATTCGGCAAGCAAACAAACACATCACCAGAGAAATCTTGCGGAAGGAATGCTTTCATTTCGGGCCCCGATTCTCGTTTTTCTTATTCCCGCTTGAACACAAACTGCATAGTTTATGCGCTCTCATGTACATCTCAAATCCAAGAAAAAGCTAAAGCAGATATACACAATTAGGGCAATTAGTAGTATACACATGAAATGAGGTTCTGTCCTCTCTCGCAAGCTTCCAACTATACTACCCAAAATCATAGCCCAATGCAGCTAGCGAAAAAGATGCAGGGTCCTGTAAATCCCCATCCAAACTCAACTCGAGAATGTTGTTTTGAGAAACCAAGAAGTCAAGCCACCTGTCCCTCTCTAAAATACCTGCCCAACCCTATTTTAACCTCCCTATCCCAAAGTCAACCTCTCCACATCCCCCCTAACCTTCTCCAACCACTGATCGGCCCTCCTCCGCTCCCTCAACCTCTCAGCTTCCCTTACGTCTCCCCATACCCGCATCCTCTCCTCCAAATGCATCGACCATAGCGCATACTGCTCGTCCCTGCTCAGTTCAAGCCCGCGCCGTCCCCACTCAAACATCATCTCCCAATTACCGATATAATCGTAATAGTCGTGTATCCAGCCGATGACCAGGCACTCGAGCATGCGGCCGAAGGGGCTGGGTAAAGGTGCAGCGGCGAGACGGGTGAGCAGCGCCTCACATTGGGTGGCGTAGTCGGGAGCGAAGGAGAGATCGAGCCATTGGTGGGCAAGGGAATCGGCGAGGGGGTCGTGGAGGATGAGTTTTTGGGCCCAGTAGACGGACTGGGCTTCGAGCCGGATCATGTGGTGGCCGTCGGGGCGGGAGGCAGATGTGAGACGGGGCTGTGTCTGGGACTGGGCATCGGGGTATGTGATGGCTAATGGTGAGGAGGTGCTACGTTCGCAGGCAAAATACTGGTAACGTGCCCATTGTCGTGTGCGATCCAGCACTGGAAGCGCCGAGATAGTATCAGCATTAAGCTGAGCCAGAGCTGTAATGTAGCGCAACATGTCTTCGGGCCGGTCAGCGAGAGCGGCGAAGGAGGAAGCCAGTTCAGCGACCGGGTGGTTTTTGCCGAACTTAAGGATGGCTAGCCCCTTCAGATAGCGCAAGTATGCCCCTAAGATATCACGACGGCCGGATTCAAGTAATAAGTGTGGTATTAATAAGCAGAGATCGGAGAAAGACTTCATGGTTGGCTTCGCTAGTTTGCGCTCAATGTGCAGAAAGGCCAGGCGTAAGACCTGACCTCCCTCGATATTCTCTCGGAGATCGAACAGATCCATGGCAACCTTGAAGTAACGGTAGCAGGGGTCGACGAAGCCGGCTACCTCTTCGGCATTTCGATTTGCAGGATCCTGATCAACATATGCTTGGAGGAAACGACGGATGGCGCTCAGACCTGACTGAATGCCACGCGCGCTGTCACCCGCATGGATCAACCCGTTGCTGGGACGAACGATTTGCATACTATCGAGATCGTCGGTGCTTCGGTCAGACACAGACGAGTCTGACTGGATCCGCGGCCGCTTTTTCACAGCATATTTGAAGAAGCCCCATCTCGCGAACTGGTTCTTATACATCTTCGGCCTGAAGTGATGTTCAACACCAGACAACCTTTAAGAAAAATTATAGGAGAGGGAGAACACTCACGTCGCTCGGACATTGTGCTTGGTCTCCATAATGACAATAATATCTCGGAGAATTCGATTCTGTGTGATGTACAAGTCATGGAGAATGTCCTTCCATGGTTCCCAGTCTTCCACTCTTCGTGGGATAATCATATTCCCTGATGCTGGGGGTCCCCGATGGAGAGATCTTGACACGGGCTTCCCCACTCTTCCATGCCTGCGGGAACTGGTAACCGAGTGGTACTGAGAGGACTTTGTTGGTGATGGTAAAGAGCCATTCGGCTTTCGCTCTGATAGCCCCGCCAGGGAAGGTTTAGGGTTCTCCCGGTCGTCTGAGAGAACAGAAACTACCGGAGTGGATGTGACGATGGGGCTCAATGACTCTTCCTTGATAAAGATATGGGCATCATCGTCATCGAGGACCAGTCCTGTCACGCTCTCGGCCGCATCCAGCAAGGCCAGATGGCCCTGCCGGTGCCTGTTTTCCACCGGCGACGGACTGCAGTCCATCCAGACTCTCGCGCGACGTCAAACGCCGTGTGGAGTTCACTTGGCAGCTGCGCGCAGACGGGAGTTGACGTCCGGGATTCGGTAGTTGGCGTGGACTGTGGAGCCTAGCTACTGTCAGGGACGGCCAGGTCGGCTGCTTGGCAATATGTTGCTAAGTGACAGACGGAGCCGGGATGGCGAGCGGCGGGTGGTGACGTCGGTTGAGCCGGGTGAGCTTTGTGAGGCGATCGCCGGTCGGCAACGGCGACGGGACAAGCATTCGCATTGTTTTTGGGGCGCCCCACGGGCCACCACGACCGCTGCGACCGCGGACTTTTCAGCGGCGCTGTGGCTTTGAGGGCCTGCGTGGGCTGAGTGCTGCGTGCTGGTTGTTGTGAGCTGTCAGCAGCGATAATGTTGGTGCGAATGCTGAGTGCTGAATGTCGATCCGGCGCAGGCAAATTCGGCGTGCAGCGGGAAGCGTTGCAGCTTGCAGCGAGATGCGAATCAGCGGAGGCGACGGAGACAGAGCCTTGGAGCTGGACGATGGGGCTAACTGGAGGTTGTGGCGAAATATGGGACGCTGCGTGAGTCTGCTGCGTACACAACCAATGGGGAGTCCCCGCCAAGAATGACACGACCCACAACCAATGCCCCGGTCCATAGTTCCTGGCCGACACTTTGTTCTCTTCCACGTCACAGCACTAGCACGAGCTACAGAAGCCAGTCACTGCCTCTTTTGCTGTCCCACAACGTCAATTTCTCTCCGTTAAGAGGCCACTGCGTTTCGGGGCCCTGGCCTAGAACACGAAAAATAATATGTTCGTTCCTCCCTTAACTGTGTAGTCGGTGCTGCGGACTTCCCCCGTCTGCCTGGGTGTTCTGCATGCTCCCTCCAGCCCCTGACCATGTGACGTTGCGCTGCGTAATAACGGGGCCAGCGTTTCAGACCCCAACCCTCGCTCATCAGAACGCGATGCGCACCACTCATCATCGTTGGTTCGGAAGAACACTGGGACCCAATCGGAGACCATCTCACACACTGCACATCAACTTCTAGTAGGCGTAATCGCAAGCTCTCCGAATATAATCTTCTATCACATAAGCTTTCCGGATTCCAATTCGAAGTGTTATGCCAATACAAATGCAGTCGAAAAAGAGCAGTGTTTTCTTTTTTTTTTTTGGCTCTGAGGCTCTGACTAATCCTTCACTTCCCACCATTCATGCTTGTTCACCTTGACCACTTCCGGTAACTGCAGGTCCCACGCCTGCATGATCCCCAGCGTTTTCTGCGCATCTTCATTGCGGTCACCGATTCCCTTGAGTTCTCTCTGCCACAACTTCCAGCGGTCAATGCTGAAGCCCTTAAACCCCCACCACTTGTGCTTGCTTCCCGGCGCGCCACAGTTCTCTGGTAGCTCTTGCTCATCAAGCGACAACTGGCGTATCTGCTTCCCGCAGAATCGCATCCATATTGCTGCCAGCCGATGGGCTGTTGCAAATGGGTCCCCCACATCCGGTTCCTCAAGAGCCTCACGTATCGCCCATAGTGCGTACATAGTGAAGTCGAACTGCGGGTGATCAGGGTCAGCGCGCGCAGTCAGCTGCGCGAGAAAGGAAGTCCAGTTCTCCCATGTTTTGCGGTCTGACTCGCTGGCGAAGGTATTTCGTGGATCTGCTTGCTTGTCAGCTGCATGCCTCTATAGAATTTAACAATTTGCTGGCACAAAACTCACCAAAATTCCATTTCTCCCTGGCTACCCATCCGAAGGTTGGGAGGTCCGTCCATACCACCCCGCCGTTCTCATCTTTCAACGGCTGTCCGTTTGCTCCCGTAACTTTTACCTTTTGCAGCTCGACCATAAACTCGACAAGTTTACCTTGCCGGTCGACGGGCGTCTGACCAGCTACCTCGAACACAGCAACCCATGTGTCCCAGAGCAGGTCGGCGATGGACTCAGCAGGAAGAGCTCTGGCCTGGTCCACAAGCATGGTCACCGCTGCCTGCACTGTCGCATCGGTGGCATCTAGTTTGCCGAGAGGGGCTAAAATCTCTAATGGGGACGGACTTGTCGCCATTACGGATTTTGGAGCTCGTGATTCTAGGAGTTGTTGAGGCGTGAGTTGATGAGGCTCAGAGGAAATGATCGTCTCTTCGATGGGATGCAGGCCAGCTGTCTTATATGGACGGCTGCCTGCAAAGCGGCCTGCTTGACACACTCGTGGACGGAACGCTCTCACTCTTCGAAGCAGTGACGGGCGACTTACACTTATTCAAGACCAGGTCAACGGTCTTTTTGTGTGGCAGTGACAACCCTTGATTTGGTGCCCTGGACCCCTCGATGGACGAATGTGGGGGATTGACGTCAGTGGGGTTGCAGTTCCAGCGCAAACAATCACTCCACATCATCTCCGCAAACTGATACCAGCTTCGGTACAACGCGATAGCAGTCATTTATTATCCCTGTTTACCATTACACATACAAATCGTACGCTTCATTTCCAATTGATACGGTTGAATCTAAGCATTACAGCCTCTTTAACCGTTCATCATGATGAGCCGCTGCTAGACTTCTCAATTAACGGAGATATTTCGCCGAAGATATCTTTAATGTGATCATTCGGGGATCCCGGATTCGAGCAGCGCCCATGAAGTGGATCTGCAGATCTTCCCACCTGTGGGTCGTGAGTTTTCAGCTCTGGTGAAAGGCTTGGCAGGGACCAGATTACTAGCGGCCGAGAGGGAGAGATGAACAACGTGGATGGCCGTGGTTGTTGGTGCTGGCGCGAGGCCGCCAGCATTTCAGTTTCGTTTCATTTGCCGTTCGACTTTTTCTTTTCCCCATTCCACAATCCAGTTCGCGATCCCAAAAATCTCCCAGCGAAACTCTCCGCATTTCGTCCCGACGACATAACCCAACTTATCATCATGCACCTGACTTTCCTCTCACTGTACACGCTCCTCAGCGGCGCTGCGGCGGCCGCCGACGTCTTCAATGGCAGAGTCACGCTCCTCCAAGCACGCCAGGGGACCGCCACTTTGGGTAACGTCACTTGCGGCACCCACGTCTATTCCAAGGATCAGGTCGATGATGCCGTTGCGGAGGGCTGCCGCTTGTATGCCGCGGGTGAGCAGATCGGCAGCAGCAAGTACCCGCACACCTTCAACAACCGCGAGGGTCTGGTGTTCTCTACATCCGGCCCGTACCAGGAGTTCCCGATTTTGAGCAACGGCCAGATTTACTCAGGCAGTATGTTATCCCTGCCCTCGAGGGAATTATGCGTGCTTGTATCTTTGAACGACCGCTGATAATCCCTCAGGAGCTCCCGGTCCTGACCGTGTCGTCTTTAACCCCAACCTCAATGGCGAGTGCATCTACGTCGGCTCCATGACCCACACCGGCGCCCGCACCACCAACGGCTTTGTCTCGTGCGAGGAGGTCTATGTCGATGTTGATGTGCCCGCTACCCCCAGCAGCAGTTCCAAGCCAGCCTCGTCAGCCACCGCGACTGTGTCATCGCCCTCGTCTGCAACCTCATCGGCTGCTACCGCGACTCCGACGGCTGCAAGGGACGGCGATGATGAGGAGTCGAGCGCTCTGCGCAAAGGTCCTGTTGTTGGGGGTATTCTAGCCGGTATCGTGGCAGCCTTGTTTGCTTTTTAAATGGACCGACCAGACAGGCGAATAATGTGTTCATATCAAGTGCGAGTTTGACGTGGTTATGACACAATCTAGACATACCCAGTTGATGTTGCCAGACATAGGATTAATGATAATGAAACCTTGGGCTGCTTGATTGGCCTGCTGGCTGATGAGGTTACATTTTTCAGGGATTAAGATTCCCCATTCACACACATGTTGTGACATTTCTCCAGATCCCTGGGTGCTCTCATTGTGTAACAGCCCCTAGGCACGACAGAAATAATTAGCCCAAGCTCTCTTCAGTTACAGCAGAGGAAATTTTGTTTCCCTCATCGCATGCGTCGACGCGAAATATTCCGGGCAGCAGCTTTGTTCGTCGGATGAAGCAAGATGTTGAACTGGATTGGAGAGCTCCTTATATGTCTGTCCCTTGACCATGGGTAATGGTGTACCCAGCCTGTGTGCGTCAATCATGCCTGTTTTTCCGCGAGAGAGTTGCCCTCTGTTCGGCATAGATAGACATCTGTATAAACCTGATGGGTATAAACCTGATGGCAGCTCCTGAGAGTTCATAGGTGCCTTGTCAATTGGCAGTGTCGTCTGGTCTTCTCTGAACTCCATCATCCTACTCTAACGGTCGTCTGCCGTGCGCGACTACTGGGAGTTCCCAACGCTGACGCTCAACGTGGTCAAGCACGACTGCCACGAGCAGTGGCTAAAGCCACTACTCGACTTGCTCCCAAGGAGGTCCGCGACACTGCCAGTGAGAAAAACTGCAAATACCATGGAGACAGTCCGGGACATCATGTATCGTAACAATTGTACCGTCGGCTATACGATTTGGCTACGAACCAATCGAATTTCCAGAGTATGGATAGTAGCTAGCCCAAGCACAAGGATCAAGCTTCTCGATCTCGCACCAAGGGATTGGCTTGTGGGCAGCAATATGTCTGCGCTCTTTACCCGGTTTCGTCGTGCTATAAGGACAGGGACGCCATGTCAAGAGATCATTGGTTCCATCTCTTAGAGTGATTATGATTGGGTTGTATGCTCCTGATGAGGAGAACCCAGAAGACTTGGTAGATGAACCATTTTATGACGACGATGATGCCCATACCCCCATGCCAAACATTCCACGATCTGGCCATCAGCGATCAACATCCCACCTCACAGGCGCCACCGACTCTCAGCATGCCGATCTTCCCCGGTCAGCCCCCTAACCAATCACAACACCCCCCTCCCGACACGTCTTCCATCCCCCTAACCCTAGGCCAACCGTCACTGTCACCCCCGAACCTATCGCCCTCGTCGACCCCGCCGCTTGAGACTACGATGTTACGAACGCCCGAGACGACGACTACGATGCGGTTGACCTGATCGTCGTAGATACTTATATCGGTAGCGACAACACGGGAGTTACCGCTTCAGAATAGCGCAGATATCACGAGTTCCTCAACATGGACACCACGGAGTACAAGAAGCGTCAGGCGATTGCATCGTGGAGGGGAGCTAAAAAGGAGAGGATGCCGGTCAAGAGGTTGCCGGGTAAGTCTCTGGGGGCTGTTTGACCACCAGCTGATGGGGTTGTCGAACTTGTCAAGGTTTACTCTCAATGATGTGCCCGGGCAGGTTGTTGTGTGATGAACAAGGATTGGGGAAGACGCAGGAGATGTACGGGCCTATTGCGCTGAAGAGTGGTTTGCGGAGGGCGAAGGCTGAGGTTCTGGCTGCTTGGAGGGAGAAACTTCTAACAGTTCTTCCTCTTCTTGAAGAGGAGCCAAACCAAAGCATAGCCACCCTGATACCAGGGCGGGGATGTGCCCGTTTGATGAGAGGTATGGCTTCTGGTGCTATTGATACTACGAGCTGACCAAGCAGCTGGTCGATCGGATACTAGATAGGTCCTAACGCCATCGTCGCTCCCGCTCGAAACTGTGGTCTCATGTTCAAGGATGCCAAGGCAAAGTTTGACACGAAGATCCTCAAGATCAAAGGCTGATACGAGGGTGTCGATAGGGACGACAAGCTCTTGAGCTCTGAGGTGAGAACTCTTAGTGCGACTGTCACTGCTGAGAAGAGGTCTAACGGTGAGACTATCTGCCACTTTCTGCCCGGTGCCATTTCCTAAACGAGTATGTGATCGTTAATATCACCATTGTCGCTATCCCGTCTGGGCAGTCAATTCATAGTTGATGTCGAGCGGACAAGATTATCAGTCCTGCCTCCTTCTATAATGATGGACGAGTTTTACGAACATATTGGCAAGAGGAACGAAACCGCCAATTGACTACAGTATGTCAAGGAGCGTACTCAAATTTCTCACTAGTTTTCTAACCTGACTTCGTCTCCGGTACGCCGTTCGGTGACACTATCGTGGATATTTCTCCGGCCATTTCTCATTTCGAGCAGATCATCTCGAGCAGAAAATCTGGTCCCGGAACGTTTTTTATCCCTTAAACGACGCCAACCTGACTGCGTTCGATAATCTTGTCAAAATATTCGACCGGCTGAGGGCTTCTGAAGTCAATGGGGATATCGTCAATCCTGAAAAGGTCTTTGCCTACCGACGCCGACTCGATACCGTGCTGAACAACATAATGGTTCATAAAATTGGCACCAATGCATTCCAAGGCCGCCCCTTAATTGGCGGAACGAAGTAAGCTAGTAATACCGGGGAGAGTAGCAAAGGTCTAGGTACTGAGCAGAGACTTATCAAACAGCCCCATGTCGTTGGTGTTGGGAGTGGTTCCGGGGGGTGTTGTGCCGCTCACAAAGTTATTCGGGCTGGAATACGTGTCATCACTAGTGGAGGGGAAAGGCTTAGAGTCATTCGCAGCGAACTCCCCAAAAGGCTTACTTATAGGAAAAGTAACTGAAAGACCGGATGGCTTGCTTGGGGCTCCAAACAGAGGCTCATGATGAGGCGCAGCTTTTGTAGCGGTCTGGGTGGTAGTGGTCACAGAGGTTTGCAACGTGCCTGGCGCACAGCGGATGTTAGAGCGAACGTAGGCTTTGCTGAAGAATCCGGCATGACGTCTAGCTCTTCATCTTGGCGGTGGGAAAAAAGAGAAATGGATGCTTCTCAGATGCCAGTTGTGGCACAATAGTACCAGCTTTCATGCCCAGAGCCTAAATTAGCCGGTTAATGCTACCTTCCTGTGTTCAAGATCCATTACCGTGGTCAAAAGACTGGAAGACGAGGCTGAAAATTTACGATATCGGAGACTCAGTGGATATGGAGGCGGCAAGCCTGAGGAGAGAGAGTTGAGCTAAGGCAAAAAGGGAGGACTTGACAATTTGGTCAGAAGACTAACCGTCTTTCTGTACTTTCGCAGTGACATACCAAAAATGTCCCCTCCGCTTGTGCTGCTAGCAGCGACAAAGATCTTTTCGGAGGATATTGATTTGTCACTGCTGCTGTGCCCGTTCGGTGTGAACATCCTCAGAATTTGAGGCCAACTCTAATGGGTAGGAATAGCCGGAAGGTCCAAAACGAGGGAGTTCTCAACAGCCAAGTTGATGATACTCTTAATGAGCGTTCCAAGAACATCTTGTCAGAAGAGTAGTTCAGTCCTGGTGATAAAACTGAAAGGACGACTCATCTCATAGAGCTCATGTCATCATATCCAGGATCTTCCGAGTGCCAAACTGGTTGGCATGCGGATTTGTGGAACTGAGCAGCGCTTTTATGATTTTCTGCCGACTCCCAGCAAGCTGCTTGTGAAAGAGCTCTGGATGCTCCTCCTTTAGACACTGGGCGACCAGCTTGCCTGTACAACGGAGAGTCCGCCGGGACATCCCGTGTCCGGTGTTCATTTTCAAGCGAGAGTCCATAGCCCTCGGTATACAAGCAAGATAGTTCCTGAAATTTTTGCCGAATGGTATGGTTCTTTCATCAAACAATGGATTCGTGCAAGACGCCAAGGTATTTTGAGAAGTGCGCTCATCTGCCCTGGTGATATGAGTGAAGGCACGCTCGACAAAGGCCTTACTGAATATCAAAACATGGTTCAAGTGGATCTTAGAAATATCCTGCAAGCGTTTGGCTTGCAACTTGAACAGTTGCAGAGCAAGCTCAGAGTTGAAATCCCCGGGAATTTTTCGCCTTTATTTCCAGAAGCGATGATCTCAAGGCGGACAGCAAGGTCGGCTTCAGCAATTGGTTCTGAACCCGAGACATCATACAAGGAGTGAAAGGCTTGAGATACCCTGGGCTTTCTTCCGTCTCACCATTGTCATCACTATCGGCGTCTACAATAGCATTTTCCCGCTGGATATCGTAGCGAGCCCCTTCCTTCCTCAGCACAACATTAAGAGCGCTGTTGAGATCCTGAAGGGTCGCACGCAATTTTGTGCCATTCCCGAATAACCCGCAGAGAACGGATCACTGTACCGTCCGACAGCTGCATCGCGAGCCAACTGCTGAAAATCATCAGTGATGGACAGGAGGTACGACCGCATGTCCTCCGGTGAACTTCTCGACCTCCCTAAATGTTCCAGCTTCTCTTGCCTAGACCGCAAGTTTCCTCAGTTTCACAGATTAAACCTGGCAGACTCGCTCGATGTGATCCGGCAAGACTTTGCTGAGCCGTTTGCACAGGCTCTCTACGCCGCGATTGGCAGAATTAACATGGATCCAGCTCCTGTCTGGAAAAAGCGCTCCTCGTTGGCATCCCGTGTGTAGGCATCCGAAGAGCGCTCATCCTCAAACCGATTGCGTAAAACGTACCAGTTCAGCGACAACTTTTGCATGCTCTCGCGGCCTTTAACTAAGTCCAGGTAATTGCGCTCGTTTGCTGAGCCTGGTCCGGCCAAGTCAAGCTTGGTAATGGTACCGATTGTGCGCTCGCGGTTTGGGTCATGTTCTTCAGCCTTTCGCAGGACAACCTGGCTAACCAGTTGGTTATTGGCCGCGACCATAGCGAAGATAATGCTCTCCAGCTGGCTCATGTAGCTGTTGATAAGAAAATCGACGATTTCCTTTCCACGGAAATCTTGGTCGACCGCGGCTGTGTGGAAAATGCCCGGCAGATCAACCAATGTCAAGGAAGAGACCTCCGGACCTACTATCTGGACGCGTAAGATACCTTTCGAGAAGCGCTTCTCATTGCGAATGCTCATGAGTTTCTTTCGCGGATAATACCGGCAAAACACCCTTATCGAAGCTTGACCTGCGGAAGGCCTATTTGGGAGACGCCCTGTCCGGCAGGTCGTTGGCGAACTGGATGTTCACATCCACTGCCGTCTTATCCGCCCTCCGCAGCATGAGCCCAGTCGCAAATCGAGTGCACAAGTCCCCATCGTCAGGGAAATGTACACCTGTAACAGGGGACTTGGTCTGGTGTAGGCAGGGATCAACAATGGGTCGAATGGGTTAGATAATAGCCACTAACGATATGGGTGCACAACGAAGTCGATTGATACGTGTAATAATCTTTCTTGGTCCTCAATGTCCTTGTGTCAAGGAGAGGAAGAACAACCCGCTGATAGGGTGGCTTGATCCCAGGGCCTTCTGGTCCTCCTTCCAAATATTTAAATCTAGAGCTTTTCAGATCGATCTCCTGGGTCAAACGTTCACCGCCACCGAAGGTCAACTCATCCCGACGCCATATTCTCCTCGTTCTCCCTTGCACAAATGGCCCAACCCCGCGAGGACAGGGAGCCTGACGTCTACTCCTCCAAGTCGGTATCAGATTTAGAGATCCAGATCCTACTTGCTCTCCGGGAGTAGGGCCCCGCCCCTCCCGAGTACCCACATCCCTCGCTACCTCTTTTTGCACAGGTTTTTTCCCCTCCGTGTCTTTTCCAAGTGTGACATGTATATAGCATGATAGTGTAGCTATTGCTCGCCGTCGTGGTGAGCACGACCCAACGTCCTCAGGGGATTACTGGCACCAAGGCTCTCTGTTCGCTCGGCAGGCAATAAGGGTACTTTTAACGTTCCGTTTCTTTACATAGGACGGCTAGTATCTGCCCAACTTGCCCAGGATGTGGAAAAGCTGAGCTTGGAAATTACTGTTGAATTCTCAGACACTCCATGACAGTAACAAGCACCAAAGATGCCGAACCCGCTCCGGATACTGTCCATGTCAACTTCGAGTCGACCGGGCTGCTTCAGTAAATCATTGTTGTCGGCAACCAGTCGTGAGGGAAGAGCCCAGTTCTTGAGGCAAACTCTGGTGTTACACGGACCCCTGAAAATCCTGGAAGCCGAGGGACTCAAAGGGCAAGAGGATTCCATAAAGGAAGCTGCCCGGACACGATGAAGGACTTCTCTTGGTTGAAATTAGTGAGGGGGCAGGAGGAGAAGTGGCCTATAGCATCTGGCCTCATAGTACAATTACATATGACTTCCAAAGCATGTCTTCGAATAGCTGTCTTGCTATATATCGCAGTTTTACTAATCTGTCTGCCACCTAGCGCTGACAGTCATGATCCAACCCTTTGCAACATCACATCGTTATTACGGTTACACATTACCCAACTTCTACCCCTTCACCTGAGAGCTCGCCACTAACTTTAGGTTGGAACACAGTGTTACACAGCCAAAAAAAATTGAACTCAACAATAGAACTCTCTGTTGCAAAATTTTCTTAGTTGCATTGCAAATCTTTTTGAATAATATCCACCAAATATCCCAACAACTCTCGCGTGTTAACACCAATGTCCAAATCTTTGTAGGGCAAACGCATCAACTGAACTGACCAACGCCACTTTCGACATTAATGAAAACGTAAACACTGGAAGGATGACAAGATAGTAGTTTTAGCGTTCTGGCTGTAAAAGTTGCTAATCTCGAATCAGGCTTAAATCTGTCGTGGTCAATACCTAATCGGTTCTCACCCTGATTCCAATATCATATTTCTGAAGTGGCTCTCACTAATGCTTCAGACCTTTTTTCCATTTCACGATTTATGAGAGCTTTGCTTGAAAAACGTTATCTTGATTAGTTAGAACCTTCTGACGTACTTGAAATGGTGGTGCATATATCTGCGTCAGATACTGTATGTGCTTCTTGAGGAATGAAATCACCATTCACATTGTGGTGGTTTGGGCCGAACTTATGGTGTTGGGCTATGTTTGTGCTGATGATTTGAAAGTCAGTGATTAGTCATTCGGCAATTTCTCTTACCTCCTTGCAGCTTCTTTTTTTTCGCATCATTGCTGACTATCAAAATCAGATAGTTAAAGTTTGAACAGCTTTGCAAAACAACAAACATGGGCAATTTTTCGTTCATTTCCTCAATTTCTGAGTCATCACATCAGGTATTGTTTCGAAAGCCTGTATACTCCTGCAATATCGTCCATTTACGACGGTGCCAAACCACAGTGCATGAACTTTGTTTGACCTAGAAGGTCCACTGGTTATTCCGCAAAGGGACAATCACATTAATACATGGTGCCGTCTGTTATTCTGTGGATGTAGTTTCAGTGCGCAAATTATTTTCATCCTAGACACCTACTTGTTTGTAATAAAAACCGCAAAACGTCTAAGGAAAATGCTTTATATAGAAAGTTCACTCTGGTGCTTTGCATTTAGCGATCCATACTCCCCCGAAATTCATAATGTCATCTACCGGATGACCCCAAGCCAGTTAACTTCACTCAACTCTCTCCATCCATAAAGAACCAAGATATTTATGATTGTGATCTTCCAACTCAAATGAGTTTTATATACTGTTTGAAGATGAGGATAATTTATTCGAACTTCTGAAATTATTGGCCTTGAACGAGCTATCTTCATTCTAATGAAGATGAACTCTCTCCGCAAACTACCGTTTGTGTGTTGGACGAGGTCAAATGTAACCTTTAAGCATCATACCAAACTGCTATCATTCCCACAGCAGCTGCTGTTTCACGGACGGAGCGACACTACAGCAAAGGGCTAATTTTGGCTTTGTTAGATGGTACAACATGTCTCAGAAGGGTCGGTGTTGCTTTTGAAGACTTGTGGGACCATTTGATTTTGGTTGGTCTTTCCTTAGAATGTGCAACATGAACTCATGTGTAAGGTGTTTCTCTCCTCATATTGATCAACGACACTTTTGATATTATGACTCGACAATCGAACAGAATTCGATACCAATAAGCCGGGGAAGATCTCACCATTTCTTATTTCTTTTCCCTGTGATAGCCATTTCCAGCCTTTACATCCTAAAGATCAACGATTCCCCAAGTGATGAGCAAAGCCTCGAACTTCGCTTTTGACCAGGAAGGGTCAATCCCACTGAGGATGGAAAAGTACTCATGGAACAGTCAAGTATGAACCACACATCCTACTGAGAAAACCCGGCCGCTTCTAATTCTGAATTTTCTAATCTTTCTCCTCAGCCGTCAGCTTCTACGCCATCTCACCCAGTCGAATATTACCAATGCACCAACAATGTCCCTAACAGTGAAGAAGAACCGGCTCCTTACACTGCGCGTGAATCTCGTGCGGTTGTCCTCCGCCAGGACCTAACCATCCTCCCACTATCAGCGTTCATCTACTTCCTCTGCTTCATCGACCGTTCAAACATCGGTAATGCCCGCATTCTGAATGCTGAAAAAGGTCACGACATGCAAACCGAGATCGGCGCCACGCCATATCAGTTTAACATCGCGCTGATGGTTTTCCTGATCGGCTACACCTTCTTCGAGGTCCCAAGTAACATCTTGCTGAAGAAACTTCGCCCATCCCGCTGGCTTGCTTTTTTGATGGTTGCATGGGGAATTGCAACTTTGGCTTTGGGGGCGGTTAAAGACTTTGCAGCCGCTTCGGGGGTGAGATTCTTGCTTGGCGCGTCAGAGGCTGGCCTCTTCCCTGGGCTGGTCTACTACCTGACGTTCTGGTACCGAGCAGATGAGAGGAGCGCCAGGGCTGCTTTTATTCTTGCGAGTGCATCCCTTGGCGGTGCATTTGGTGGTGCAATTGCTTATGGGATTGGACATATGGACCAGGTACGTGGACTCTCGGCGTGGAGGTGGCTCTTCATCCTCGAAGGCCTGCCGTCCTGCCTGTCAGCCGCATTAGTATGGTTCTTTTTGCCAGACTATCCAGAAGAATTCTATAAAGAAGGGACAAGACAGAGGGAAGTGGCATTGGCCAGACTCAAGATTGAAGGTAGCAAGCGGCATCATAAGACGATGACTTGGCAAGATGCGAAGGCTACGCTCTTGGAGTGGAGGCTCTACCTCCATTATGCGATCTACTTTGGCGTCGCTGTCCCCTTTAGCTCACTCGCATTATTTTCACCGACGATCATCGCTGGTTTGGGTTATAAAGGACTCGACAGCCAACTGTTCACCGTTCCTCCTTATGCCGTTTCGTATGGTAAGTCCCAATCCCCTCGGTCGAGTCATGAAAGGCCCACTAATGCGAAGCAGTAATTCAGGTGTTGGTGTCTTATTCTGCAGATCGTTTCAATGCCAGAGGGTACCACTGTGCAGGAGCCTCACTTGTTGCAGGAGCTAGCTTCATGGTATCCGCTCTGCTGCCGCATGATGCCTATAACGCGCGCTACATATGTCTTTTCTTCTCTATGGGATGTTTCTCGGCCGTTGGGCCACTTCTTGGCTGGATCACTACAAATGTCCATTCAACAGCGGCTGTTGGGCTAGCGATTGCGCTCAACGTGAGTATCGGAGCAGGCATCGGCCAGATACCTGGGGTATGGATCTACAAGGACAGTGAGAAAGACAAAGGATTTCCGACAGGCCATTGGGTTAATGCAGCCATGTTATTCTTTGTCGCGATTGGAGCGCTCGCATTGAGGTTTTACTATGGTCTCAAGAACAAAGAGCTTCTGAAGAAAAGTCAGGGGCAGAAAGTCCGACTGTTTACACTGTAACCGACTAAAATCGAAATACAAGCTAAAGTGCGGTTGGAGATAAATGATACAGAAGATAACAAACCAAGATATTGCTGTCATGTTCTGTAATCAATTCATATAGTTTGTTTGCCCTCTTCGTCGACGCCTGCGTACAAGGTGTTACGTTCGTGCCTTTTGCCTTCCGCCCTTTATTTACTTATTAAGTTGTGGTTGGTGGGGTAACAGGGCGTACCCCTGAACCGAGGCATGTCGCCACCTACGGCGCTAATGTTCGGGTTACATTTGCCGAGCGGGAAGTAGTCGCCACTTCCCCCCAAGCTCTACGTAAAGGTTGGAAAGAGCATATTGAATACTCTCTCACTGCTTCAAATTCTTATTTTGCAAACTTCTGCCTGAGCGGTTTGTTCAGTATCTTCCAGTCTCCAGGTCCTTCATCCCCTGAGCACCACAGGTGGGCTTCTGTGTGCTGCTTCAAACGTTCTATCCTTGGCGACCCCTCGTGACTTTATGTTGAGCTGTCGGTGAATAGTATTTTGTCACACAAAGTGGCTTGTATTAGCTGACATCGCCGCTCCAAAAGTTACGGAGAGTCAAGTTCGCGACATATTGATCCGGTAGCAACAGAACCACGGGACATCGACCAAAGACTTGGAATTGGCGGGCTCGACTCTGAGATATCTTAAAGGATTCAGCAACGAAATGAAGCCTGGGCTAGCAAAATTAACAAACACAAAAGCACAAAACGGGAGACAGAAGAGTCAAGGTATCAGACAAACTGGATCGTCTGTCACACAATGGTGTCCGATTGTGGCAGGTGCGTAAATTTTCGGCGACACCCAGCCTTATGTATCAGCTCTTATCTTGTGATAAATATAGACTGCAGTGAGTCACTGACTATTTCTTGGTTCCACGTAGTTATCATTGGGATTGTCTCAATAGTGTTATCGTTTAGAACTTTTGGATTCCCCCTATCAGAACGCCTATCTCGTCTGTCATCATCATCACAACCACTGAGCTGTGACTATCAGTCTTTCTCTGCAATTCTACCCAAAGGTGCAACAGTTGAGAGAGTTGAAGAAGTCCAAGATGGAAATAGTTATGGAGAAGGTGCGGCTAATCTCCCATTTCCGCGGAATCCAAGCAATCTCCCAAATTTATGTGCTGTCACCATCCATGTCAAGACCTCTCTAAAGAGCGGTTACCGGTTTGGAATATTTCTGCCAAAAGCCTGGAACTCGAGACTTTTGGTCGTTGGTAATGGAGGCTGGGGAGGGGGGATCAACTGGCTTGAGATGTATGCCTTTTCCTATTCTTGGATATTATAGCACCCAAACTGATCCCAAAATCTTAGGGCAACAGGAGCTCGCCGTGGAATGGCAGCCCTGTCCACCGATACTGGACATAGTTCGGTAGCTACTGACAGTCTCTGGGCATTGAACAACACCGAGAAGCAGGCTGACTGGGGTTGGCGAGCAATGCATGGTGCTGTCACCCTAGGGAAGAGAATCGTCACTGCGTATTACGCCACCTTGATTCGACACTCGTACTACTCCGGCTGCTCGACCGGTGGACGCCAAGGCCTAAAGGAGCTTCAAATCTCTCCGGACACATTTGATGGAGCTCTGATTGGCGCGCCCGCATGGTGGGTAAATCACCTTAACCTTTACATTCTCCGAGTTGGCCTGTACAATCTGCCACCGTCTGACCCCAAGCATCTTTCCCACGGCGATATCGCGCTTGTTGCAGGTGAAGTGCTTCGGCAATGTGACGGCGTCGACGGAGTCATTGACAACATTATCAGTGCTCCTGAGCTCTGCAAGTTGGATTATGATCGCCTTCTCTGCCGAACTGAGTCAAAAAAGCCCGACTGCCTGACAGCAGATCAGCTTCGAACAGTGAAAGACATTCATGCGGATTGGATCAATCCCGAAACAAAGTCGCTCCTTCACCCTGGCTTCTCTCTCTCCTCTGAGCCACAATGGCCTTGGGTCCTCCCTCCAAACAATATCCCTTCCCCTTATGGAACAGGTTACCAATCGCACTTCCTGCTTAACACCACAACCTGGTCACTCTCTCCCACTTCCCCAACGCCCGAAGCACTTATCACCCTGGCTGAGTCCCTCGACCCAGGCAATGCAACTGTCTCCCTGACAGCCCTCACTTCATCGTTGCGAACATTTGCCCGTCGTGGAGGTAAACTCCTGCTCTGGCACGGTCTAGCGGATGGTCTGATCCCTGCAAAGAGTACCCATCTCCTGTACAATCTTACTAGTTCCATGCTGGGGTCAGACCTGGTCCATTCTTTCATGCGTTTGTTCCTTATCCCTGGCCTGCAACATTGCTGGAACACCCCCGAGGAGTCAAACGCTCCTTGGGCAATTGGAGGAGCGTACCAAGCCGTCATGATGGGTACTAGTGAGTGGTCTGTCCCGGGGTTTGAGGGAGATAAGAGATTTGATGCGTTGGAGGGGTTGATCAAGTGGGTTGAGGAAGGGGAGTTGGTAGACAGTGTTGTTGCAACGACGTGGGATAGGCCTATGGATCCTAAATCGGGAGTCAAAAGGCAGCGGCCGATTTGTGCATGGCCTAGGAAAGCAGTTTGGGATGGGGTTGGCAAGGTTGATGAGTGGCAAAGTTGGAAGTGTATCTGTGAAGCTTGAAGTTTAGGGATATATATCGGTGATGCTCGATCCACTGCTAGTCCATACTTGGTTGTTTTGGGAAGTCAGTGAGGATTGGTGGTGATATATTTAGCGATTTCCTCAAACCCTATTGAGAATGCTGTAAAAACCTGTCCACAAACTTAGGTACTTTACCTTGTTAACAAAGTCAATGGCATTCTGACTCTGTGGCCCCTTAGTCGGGCCGCTTCGTTACTCACCAGATGTCCGGTGCTCAATAATTGTGTTGAAGACTTCGGTCACCCCTGTCTCGAAAGCCCATACCGGCAATTCTGTGTCTTCAACTTGACGACCTGCTGGAGGTCGTTCACTACAGGAAGGATTTCTCAAAATGCTATCTCATCCGGATCTCCCAAATATCATGGTTGCTAAACTCCTGTGGATCGATAACAATGTGCCTGATAACATGACATTCCATTTAGAGAGGAGTATGACAGGAACGAACAAAGAACCAGAGGTTTGAGGTCTTCCAATATGCACTTAGTACCTATCTGGCAGGCGGCCAGGCACATCTGAAATTGCTCTGGGTTCTCAAAGTGTGCCGTAAAGTGCAGCGCAGTTAAGGAAGCAGAGCACAGTCGGCTCATATTGAACGCCGCTTGGAGGAAAATTCATCTCTGGGTTCCACGAACGAACTACGGAAGGTATGGTGAAGGCGGTGGTTGAGTGTTCATGGCTTATGAAATGTGACAGAAGTTTAAGAGGTGAGTGATACCTAACTTTTCGACGATTTATTATATCGGTAATCTGGGCAGCCGTATACAACCAACACTGGCATTCAAATCACGGCTAATCAATGTACGCACCTTGCGAACGCGGCGCTGAGAGCGATTTTCCCGGTGTGGAGAACGATACCGGCCCCATGGCTCTGGTGGCTGGCTGGTTTGTACCCGGAGTACCTGTTTGACAGGGAGCGGGCACGGTGGAGAAGCCGGGTCGAGATATTACCGGCTAATCACCCTCTGCATGTAAGGCTTGCCCGACCCCCTTACCGCGGCTGGTCCCGTTTGCATCAGGCAGCTTCTGGCCTTGGGGCTAGGCCCCAGTGGGAGCCCAAACGCCTAGGCGTCAGGGCGTGGCTCGGCCTCCCTCTCGACGTCCCCAAGAGACGCCGAGCGCCTCCCCCAGATATGCGTGGATGGTGGCGGGCTAACAAGCCTGCGTCGGCCCTTTGGGATGGACACACAGCCAAGCCCTTCCTCGAAAGGTTCTCCCGGTAGTGTCTCTCCCGCTGGCTAGCGGAGGCTTCGGGCCATGGCGACTTCTCGGAATACCACGTGCGATTCAACCACCCCCGGGGGGCGTTAAAGGAGTGCCCCTGTGGCAAAGTAGTGTCTAGAGGCCACTTCTTCTCCTGCCCCCTCGCTACCTTTAACAACCCGCTCGCCGGCAGGCTGGACCCGAGGGCGTTCTGGACCTCTTTCCAACTATTCAAGTCCAGGGCCTCCCAGATCGAACTTTGGGGCCAAGCCTGGGATGCCGCCACGGGGCGCCTTATCTCAACGTTGAGACCCTTCACCTTCCCCTACATACACGACCCCAGTCCCACAGGGGCATCGACCCTGACACCGACTCCGACGAGTCGATGTCGGAGCTGGAGATCCACATCCCCGGGTTCGTACAAGTGTGAACTTCCCATTCAATCCAGAACACACAACCCCCTCTCGAGGTGTTCAAGAGCCAGTGTGATAAACAACCAGGACCCATAGGACTTTGCGGTTAATTCCCGAATGGACTTTGGTCGACCATCTTCGGAAACGAGTAGGATTGCGGCATTGCTTTTTGAATAATTCGCGATGTCTTTCTTTGTTGCCGCTGCGCTGATGCGATGACGAAAGTAAGCCATGACGCAACATAAAAGCGGCTTCTCAGGTTTCGGGGAAATCTCTGGAGCTAAGAAAGACCTTGGCAGAAAAGCTCAGAGAGAGTTTCTGGAGGAACATAAGAAGCGTCTCCCACGGAAGGGACTCTTCGATTCCATCAAGTATCCAATATCGGCTTTTTGAGATGGCAAGCTTCAATCTTATGATCCCGTTGAAGAACATCTTTCTCCTGATAGCGTTCCCATCTTCGTAGTCGTTGATGGACGCGCCATCCTCTTACATGATCAGAAGCAGTTCGAACACGGGAGGGTATATCAAAGCCATTTGGTATGCCAGAGATCTCAAAATCACTCGATCGTTTTGTGAGAGAGCTCTTGGTGCTGAAAGAAGTAATAGCAAGTGTTGCGCCCTTCAGCTTGAAGATGCCGGATTACAGATGCTGAGGCAACTGATTTGTCCATCCCCGGTTGCCAGTTGGAGATTCAGAAGCAAATGTCAAACTTGTCGTCTGAATCACGCCATCGCCGAAACATTTCCATATCGGTTAGCCACGTGCTTGATCAGAAGGACCATCGAGACTCTAGGTTGTGCAGTATGTCATCTTAGTAATGCATGATGGGTAAAACCGGCTCCAGAAATGCATCTTGCTAAATCACGGAAAAGAACTCCTTGGGGGTTTTTGGAAATGTTGAGTCCCAAGTCAAACGGTGTCAGCGATGTTTGCCAGAAACAATGGCATCATGTAGTCTATGGTGAGATCTGGTGACTACTTGGAATGGGATAAAAATTACATTGGTTAATCAGAACATCTCCAATAACCTTAATTAGAACGTTTCGTATAATGATACAGTTGGGATCTTCGACGCCCGTAAACTTGCAGATGTTTCGGTGGGCAGCATCGATAGGGTGCACCATCTCGTCTTTATAGCCTTCTATGTCATGAGGGCACAAGTTAAAGAAGGCTGTAAATCAATTGGTAGAAACGGGAAGCAGTAGGAATTGGACTCACCAAGGATTGCGAAATCTGGTTCAACAATCATGGAAGATAATAGGGGGCCAACCCGGGTTCTTGCAGTTTATTAGAGACCAAATGTACAAGTCATCGGAATAACGACGAAATTCATCATTATATCACCTCAGTGAACTCTGAGTTTGGGGTGATAGCATATGACGTAGCATCTTGGAGTGAGGATTGAAGCTATATTCAGGATTCGATTCAACGTCTTGGCTAGGTCGCTGTCATGATGAAGAGTTGCAAGAACATGCATTTGATGTGTTCAGCTAGTTTACGAGCTCGGGTCTCCTGTCGTGCCACCAATAGGTACGCCTGCTTCACTGTTAGTAACATTTGGAGCAACGGCGAAAAATGAGAGAAAACGGCAAAATATATCACCTTCATGACCCAATCTCCCAAGGAGTGTCCAATGAGAATGATTGATGTCTAGGAGAAAGTTTGCAACTCTTTAATTAGACCCAGGATAAGAAGAATCAGATTGAACATACCCGTTCGTTGTGGAGGTAGGAAGATGCTAGTAGCCAGGTAAATAGCCTCTGCCAAAGCCATGGAGGTTAGCTCGATTCTCTGTGCTAGCACTCCAGTCACTATTATATCCAAATGAGTGGATACGAGCGTTACGAAGCGGGGCTTCCTCCTACTTGAGCCAGTTATTTGGCCAGCACAATCGGGGATTTTGATCTTTGCACCATCCTTAAATTCAACACTAATCAGAGTGTTTGCATTCTAACTAACGGATCATAAGTGTAGGCAAAAACTCACTCTTTATGGACCCTCCTTTCATACCATGAAGAAGACCAGATCAATTAAGGGCTTTGATGGCGGATGTCAAAGTGTTAAGTCCAATGGCCCCGTTGTATTTGCATAATCGATTTTCTGACTCATATTATGACTTGCGAAAGCCAAAGTCTGTTATAATGCGCTTCCTTAGGGATTATTATGCTACCTAGAGCTGGATATCATCCAATGATGAGTTATCGAAGTGTAGTAAAAGAGAACTATATTCGACACCAGAAATGGAAGTCCCTGATGGTCAGAATGGTTCGTCCCGTAGTACTTGATGCTTAATGACGTCTCTTGCGTAGTAAACCTATGGTGATAAAACAGAAAACATGGAGATCAAAAGAAAAGAAGAAGCTGCTAGACCAGAAGCATTCACTTTTGGGGGCTCAATGGTCGACCCAAAAACACCCTGGAACCCCACTTTCAGAGGGGTCGATCCCGAAGTCCAACACATTCCAATAAGAACACTTCCTTCCGTCGATCTTCAATCGGATCATTGGAGTGTATATTAGGACGTTATTAGTGTTGTCTGGCTGATGGCTGTTGAGGATGACTCTCCAAGAAAAGGCTGAGCTTTGTTTGTACGCGACTGAGCTGAAGGGGCGATGAGCTAGCTGCCCTCAACTCCACAAAATTAGCAACACGTTTTTGTGTCAAACTTTGCGAACAGCACCGTCAACAAGGACGGTCGGAGCGTCAACGCCACGGAGCACAGAAAGCTCCTTCCTGCCGCACTTAAAAAGCGTGGCCACTCAAGTACCTCAGCGTATGCTAAGAAGTGTTACATCTTAATAGCAGAATATACCCGCAGCGTACTGGAATTCTTTGCCAAACCTGGTTCCTGCATACTAAGAAGAGGCCTGAAAAGGAGCTTGATGGCAGGGCTCTTGGGTGCGTAGGTACTGTGCATACAGAATCTGCTTGGCTTTCAAGACGACCTAAACACTCGGGACTCTTGGCCGTTGAGTGGGGACCTCTTTACAGACAATAAAGTGTTTGTGCTGGAGGTAGGCCAAACTTTCGTTTCAGGAGGCCTGACGAGCAGTTATCCTAGTGCCGTTTTATACAGATCTGTATTTATTATTAGCTAGGCACCCGGGGAGTTTACTAGGTATGCTTTAACGGACAGTAACCTACAGCGGCACGCTTTCTCTTGAGTTTGTTCCTATATATTACTGGAACTCAACAAAGTACCTAGAGAGACATACAGATTGGTGAATGCTGTTAACGAAGGTTGATCTACCTAGATACTCAGCAGGTTTCCGAAAATGGCCGCCCCGCTAATTATCAGCCTGTCAGCTGATGCGGTCTTCCACTCTCTAACACGTGCTAATCAATTTTGATGCCTACCTAGAAGTTGTTCAATGAAAGGTAAGCAATGATCGCGATGTACAGACTTTTATAGCCAAACTACGACATGTAAAACCGCAACATGTTCCTTTTGACACCTTGGGAGCTGTGATACTTTAGGGCAAATCTGACCATAACATCGGCGTTGGAATGTATAATGCTCGCAATGATCTGTAATCCCGCTCTGATTAGCGCCGGACAGTCTCCCCACTATTCGCATGTACTTATATTGCCTAGATCCGAAGCGCCGAGTCTTGATAAGCCTACTGATAAGATCATGTGCGTCCCTGGCTGTCTTATCAACCACCCGCAGCTCAGCTCCCACAGGATACAAAGGAAAATGCCTGGCATTTTTGCCACGTGACAGAGGGAAATGACAAATATATATCTGCCTGTATTGTCAATTGGAGTACCAAAATTCATGGAAATAAGCACTTGCGCTTTCAACAGAGTGATAATATGAACTGTGGATCCGGGAAAGGCTGTGAACATCCCGTACTGAAGTTGGTGTGGGATGGTGTGGCGGCAACAAGGAGTACGGCAGAGTGGAGACAGCGGTGAGCCCCTCAGTGGAGCCCACCACAATCCTGGGATCTTACTGCCCCGCACTCTTTTATGGGTGCTGGTTCGCGTCGCGTCAAAAATTTTCCCTTTCACACCCGCCACAAGATATCCAGTAACCTAGTAACCATCGACGTCGAGCCACCTCAATCTTAAACACCCCAGTGATTCGTTAGGTCAGACAAGATGCGTTACGTTCTCGTTACCGGCGGTGTCATTTCTGGTATTTCTGACCCTCTACAACCCGCGGCTCAAACAAGTTCGATGGCTGACCGTTCACAGGGGTTGGGAAGGGCATCATTGCCTCTTCCACGGGTTTGGTCTGTTGACCTCGATATTTACCTCGTTAGATGATGGTTCATCTAACCAGCGTGTTCAGCTCCTTAAAACCCTCGGTCTTCGCGTCAGCTGCATCAAGATTGATCCCTATGTATCAGTCGATGCAGGCTTGATGGCCCCCGCCGAGCACGGCGAGTGCTTCGTCCTGTGCTCCGGTTCGTGCAACTCATTGCGCTCGATGCGCTTCTCCATTGTCGCTCCTGTCTGACCTCGTTGCAGGCTCCGAGGTAGATCTTGATCTTGGCAACTATGAGCGCTACCTCTCTGTCCGCTTAACTGGTGAACACAACATCACCACAGGCAAGGTGTATCTCAATGTCATCGAAAAAGAACGTCGCGGTGACTACCTTGGAAAGACAGTTCAAATTGTGCCGCATGTTACAGATTCAATCAAGGATTGGATCCGTCGGGTCTCAAAAATCCCCGTCGATGGCACTGGCGAGGAGCCTCATGTCTGCATCGTCGAGCTTGGGTATGTTCTTATCTTTGGGTCCACTTGCACACGCACAACTAACGAAAGGTACAGAGGCACAATCGGCGATATTGAGAGTGTAAGTCACAAGACTTGATACTATCGCCCTTGATAGTCATGCTAACCCCGTCCTAGATGCCGTTCATCGAAGCTCTCACCCAACGTAGGTTTCTTCATATTCACCGTGTCGGAGTGAGTGAGGACTGACGATGCAAGTGCGCCACGAGGCTGGTCCCGGCAATTTCATGAACATCCATGTCTCCTACGTCCCGACTGTGCACGGAGAGCAGAAGACGAAGCCGACCCAGCATGCCGTTAAGTCGATTCGCAGCCACGGCCTGATCCCCGATGTTATCGCTTGTCGTTGCGAGCAGCCACTGTCTCCTGCCACTCTTGCCAAGCTTGCCCTGCATTGTCAGGTTGAGCCTGAGCAAGTGATTGTGGTTCGGGATATGCCAACTATTTATCAGGTTCCTTTGCTTCTGAGCGAACAAAAACTTATTCCTCTTTTGCGGTCCAAGCTGGCCTTGGACAAGATCGAGATCACGCCTGCCATGGAGGCACAAGGTACTGGGCTGTGGAATACCTGGAAGGATGTTGTGACTCCCACGTACCAGGAAGAGCTCAAGATTGCTTTGGTGGGCAAGTATGTCACTTGCCAGGACGCTTATCTTTCGGTCGTCAAAGCACTTGAGCACTCGGCAATGAGGATTCGCCGTAAGCTCCAGATCCTGTGGATTGATTCGGAGGATCTTGAGCCTACCAGCAAGGGTGGCCCTGCTCAAGCCAAATACCATAAGGCCTGGCACGAGGTTTCGACTGCGTCTGGCATCATTGTGCCTGGTGGTTTTGGTCACCGTGGCACAGAGGGAATGATGCGCGTTACCAAGTGGGCTCGTGAAAATGATGTCCCTTTCCTTGGTGTACGTTATCGCGTCCTCTGGCAGTTTTTTTCTTCTTGCTAACCAGAATTAGGTCTGCCTTGGTTTCCAGGTTGCTGCCATCCAGTACGCGCGCGATCTCTGTGGCCTTCCTGACGCCACGTCCGAAGAGTTCGACGCTCAAGCGAAGACTCATATCGTCGTTAACATGCCTGAGCTTGACAAGAAGAATATGGGTGGCACCATGCGTCTTGGTCTGAGAAAGACCGTTTTCCAGCCGAACACTGAGTGGTCCAAGGCTCGTGCCTTGTACGGGAATGTCGATGTGATTGAGGAACGTCATCGTCACCGTTACGAGATTAATCCCAAGTACGTTGACATGCTTGAGAAGGCTGGTCTTCATTTTGTCGGCAGGGATGAGACTGGTGAGCGCATGGAGGTCTTTGAGCTCAAGGATCATCCTTTCTTCATTGGTACTCAGTTTCACGCTGAATACCAATCTCAGGTTGTCAATCCTAGCGTAAGTTCTCCAGAGAGTACTGATGTGGCCCCTGGTTGACGTTGTGTACAGCGGCCCTACCTTGGTTTCGTGGCGGCCAGCGCTGGATGTTTAGATGCGGTGCTTCCTCAGGAGCCGGTCCAGCCCTTCAAGGCGCCAGTCATTGTTAACGGCACGGCGAACTGAATGGGCGGTGGAGGTCGATGTTTACTATATGTTGGTTACAGCTCCTTTTGAGTCGGCCGACATGGATGTTAAGCCACACTCTCAGGGGCCATGAGTTCGAAAGCGCCCATTTTATGGCGTAACCAGCATCACGGGTGTCGAGTCCCTACCCGGGTCCGGTTCGCATTAGATATGCAGCAATAGGCCCGGGTGACTAGGGGAGGAACATAGCGGCTGGTGATTTGGGTCAACCATTCGGCTTGTAGACAGGGTCAGAGGTTCTCGTCATTGCGCATTCAGTGGAGCAGACTGTCGACGTGATAGCCTCCTGCCCCATGATAATACCCAATTTAGTTTTGATCTCAAGTATTGGTTAGGGAGTAGATGGTGCTTCTAACAGGTCTGGCCTCTGCAGGACAGGGGGTTATGCTCTCGGTTGGAACATGATGATTGGTACAAGTTTTGGATAGACGGGGGGTTGTAGAGATATAGATACCCATAGATCAATAAAGTCCTTATATATGCAGACATACTCTCTCTCTCGATCTTTCATATATGTCACTTTTATCGCGCACGATCATGAAGAAAACCCGAACCACGAGGACACCTACTAACATACCGTATCCGGTGTAAGACCGTTCCTTGGTCGATCATCATCCCGCGTTTGAGGGAACTTGACTCTTCAACTGTGAAGGATATTGCCGCATTGTGTTTGTGTTCCCCTTTGGACTTATCAGGGTCGTATCGATCGCATCCAACTTTGATGACTGCGTTAAGGAAGCGGCCTTGAGTCGTTGACAGTGTCGAAGTTTCTCATGGACTCGTTAAATGAAACTGAATACGAAGTAGCGGGAAGCTAGTTACGTGGATCACTGCGCCGGTGCCGGCTTGACGTGTCGTTCTAATTGCTTTGCTCGGCGATCTAACATTAAATTGCTATTGGCTTGGTTAAGTGCCTCTGAGGTAGGTGCTGTACTGAAACTGGAGATCTTCGCCGTTAGAGTAGATGGCCTTTTTGTTGGACGCTCGGTGGAATGATCTTGAGTGGGAAGAGTTAAGGATAAAGATTGAGAAGCGACCTCTGGACGTAACTGTGCAACTTGGTACCGTGCGATGGATATTCATCGGCCAGGAGTTGAGGAAAGCATCTTTTGATGCAGGCAGAACGTCAACGATAAGTTTGGTTAGAAGCGAGAGACTATGTAGGAGCTTCATGCGATAATTCAGCAGACCCAGGCGATAACAACACCGTTTATTGATAACCCCGGCAAATGACTCCCACAAAAGGGCCAAGCGTCCTTATCGCAGACAGCAGTTGTCCACTGCCGTATCTCCCGTGAGGTTACTGATATTAGGTGGCAGCCTCGGTATCCGAACAAGGGAGGACTGGATGGTCAGCAGGCTCCCTGTGGGTTCCTTTGGGCGCAAAATTACGTTTTCATTTCAGTAATTTTCGTACTAGCCCCACGTCCTATGGTATTCCCTACCGTAACGATTAGTCTGATCTTCGTTGGGGTTTGTTGCGAGCAGCTCCTTGTGTGCGCGAGCATTGCATCAAAGTGTAGCATGAAAACACTTTATCTCCCGACAAAGGTCACTCTCTCGGAAGACTTACATGCAACATGCTGTTTCCTCAACTCCTCAACTCCTGTTCCTGTAGTCCACTGAGAGCGTTTGAGGAATCTGCAAGCACCTGTTAATTTCGTGAGACCCTTAGTGAACTATAATCTTCTTAAGTTACTGTACTATCCAAAAATCTGCCAGACAACAATGAACTCTAAATCTATTTCCAGAGGAGTTGTTGTAAATAAGGTCGCAGTCACCGGTTCAAGTATCGTAAGACATATGTCCCTCTAATCCCCTCAGAGATTTATTATTCCTCATATCTCATATTCTCAGGCAGCAACCATCTCCACTTTCTTTCCCCTCACACTCTTCCATTCAACAAACGCCGCTCCAAGAATGCTTGTTGCAGCTAATGCAGCAAACAGAACGGATGTCTGTGTTAATGCGTCATTAAACGCCTGCTTGACGCCAGGCAGGAACTCAGAAGGAACGACCTCCTTGACGTTGGTGGCGCCGACAGCAAGCACAAAATATGCATCCCCAAGCTCGGGCACGTACTTGGCCACGTAATGGACCAGCTTATTGGCAAAGATGTTTTGGGCTACAGATACGAAAAGAGCGCCGCCAAGGGTCTGCAAGAAGACAATGACCGCCGTTCCTGTCGGGATATCCAAGATAACCAGCACCGTCTGCACAGCCATCAGGGGTTGTTGGAAGCCGGCGCCGACACCGATACCGATGATGATTTGGTATCCAATCCATTCCGCGTCGCTGCTGTCAGGCTCGAGAAGAGTCGTTAATCCATAACCAATCGAGGCAACCACGCTAGCAGAGGAACATGAACGGAGTGTAGTACCCCCACATCGTAACAGTTGCCCCTACTACCACCGACATCAAGACAACGCCAACCAGCAGTAGGAGATTCATGATGCCAGACTTGACAGCACTGGCATCCTTGACAGTCTGAAACCATATTGGCAGGTAGTAAAGGGAACCTAGAAATGCACCGCCAATTGTTCCGGAAAAGAAACCTGAAGACTATACGCTGCGCTTGAGAAAAATCCGGGGAGGGACCGTCGCCTGGTCCATGCTCCACCACTGATCAATAATGAAGACGATGATAAAGATGCCGAACACGCAGAACAAGAGCATGATTCTCCAGTTATTCCAGTTGTACTCCGTCCCTCCCCACTGCAGTGCTAGCAGTGGATGATAATGGCTGGCATCAACACTACCATACCAAGCGGATCGAACTTCTTTACTTTCTTCTTCCAGGTTTGTCCTGCAGTGTCCGTTCCACGTCTCTTCGGATCCGGGAAGAACAGCCCGATGACAAGTATAGTGATGCCGCCGACAGGAAGGTTGATGTAGAAGCACCAACGCCACGTCACTCAATCAGTGAAAGCACCACCCATCAAGGGCCCAGAGATACTGGCTACGCCGTACATGCTGCTGATAGCTCCAGAGTAAACAGGTCTTTTGGCAAGTGGAACTGAGTAAGCGAGGATGGTGAGCGCCCCAGAGAAAATGCCAGCTGAACCGATGCCAGCGACGGCGCGACCTGCGATCAGGGTTACGCTGTTTTGGGCAACACCACAAATCAGAGAACCGACTTCAAAGAGAAAGATGGAGGAGAGGAAAACAAATTTGATGAAGACGTAAAGAGCCGGCCGAAAAGGAGTTGCGGAGCAGCGGTAGTAAGGAGGTAAGCTTTCAGGGCGTGTCAGCACCTTCAAGAGGGGTCCAAGATACTTCGACATCCGGCTTACCACTCGCGCACCACGCAACATCTGAAAGACTCTGAAATTGGTCTGTGATCTTAGGAAAGGCTGTCGCAATGATAGAGTTATCTGTGCAACAATAGGTCAGTAAATATCTCCCTGAATCCCAGGGGTTCCGCTCTTCAAGGGTGACCTACCCAACGCCAAGACAAACACACTCAGACACAACGCAAGGATAATCATGTACAATTTCGTCCCTTTTGGGTACTTCTGACCGTCGTCTCGTGTATCAACTTTATCGAGCTTTTTGCCGGAGGTGGGCTTCGCAATTGGTTGTCTAGTGAGTTCATCCTGCTTCTCATCTTGCACAGGCTTCTCAACAGCCTGTGTCACTCCCGTATCCATATTTGTTTGCTTGCCAGCTGAAGTCCTCTTTCCGTCGTCAGACTGACTGGCCGTATTGGGCGCAAGTGTCGGTTCTTCTGAGAGAGGTGGCATTGATGATCCAGGTTTTGGTTCATGTTGGAGATCGTTGAATAGTGTTTTTTGCACAACCCTCGAGCAAGTTTATTGAGGGTGTATCCCTGGCAAGTGTAACGTTGCTTGCTCTCTTGTATGTGAGTAAAGAAAAAGTAATGATACTGGGCAGTATTATGAATATTCAGATCATCATAGGCTTCAGCGGCAGAAGCACTCGTAGAGCGTCATCTTGGAGATATGATACCAATAAATATAGGCATCAATCCGACACGTACAATAGAAGGAACGGATATTCTCTCAATCTTAATGTCCGAGCCCCGAGCCGGCGACGTCCAAGCATTGGGCATATTCGCAGCGTTGTCGACCCGACGGTATGCTTGCCCACACGCCACCCTATGTAAATACATACATCATATCCACCACGTGGCTCAGAAGAGCCCAGCCAAGCCAATAAGGAAGCTTCCCTTATGAGGCCAAATCACCAATGTTAGTTATCAGACATTGCGGCATGGCTGAAAGGCGTCAAAAGACGCGTGGCATCAATATTCTTGGCGATCCGAGAGCTTGCATGTCTTCAAGAAATCCAGTAGTGTGCGAGCGGCTGATAAAAGATGTTTGAACCTGGGGGGTCAAACTCATGCTGTGCCCCTTTGCGAAAAAAGAGAAAAAAAGAGTTCACCGCGTCTCCATATAGTCGCACAATAATTGGCTGTGCCATGAAACTGCTCTGGTGAATAAAATGTGGCGCTACAAAAAGGAGGGTCCTCAGCCCGGCAAACAAGATCGATGACAGGCTTGTGGAAGCAACATTCCAGCCGCCTTATCGGGCAGGCCGATTGCTTCTTGAGATGGCTGGCCTAAAACTGTAACCCCTCTAATATACTTAATTATTCAGCGATTCGTCAAATTTACTGACCATATTTGTCATTGGCTCGATGAAGCCCTGGAAGGTCGCCGTTTGTCAGGGTGGACTGTTTCAGTCACAGCTTTGGTCACGTCCAACCCTAGGGCACTCTTCTTCGGAAACTGACCAGTCCTTGTCTTGCCCAAAACCAAGCTGCTTCTTTTGAGATCTTTCTACCACCGAGGTTGCATTCGATATCAATGCTTAACACCGCATCGGGCGAATCAACAAGCAGAATTGAAGCTGTCCGATCTATAAAAAAGTCTCCGAGCTGTTAGGTTCTCGATCTGTCATACTATTCATTGTCTGCACACCTACTGGGGCATGTAGTCTCCTGTCAAGTGCATACCCCGGTAGCTAGCTGTATTTCATTTCCAGACCGCTCGCTTTGCCTGAGATCAAGTCCAGTTTGCTCTCGTGAGGACATGGGTCGATCATAGAGATGAGCAGTGGGACGGAGGTTCTAATGGACTCGTTTATTGCAGAAGTTTTTAAAGAGAAGACTTCAAAGCACCATGGTTGGAATAATTACTAATAGACAAAAACCTTCATTTTTCAGCTTTTTAAATATATGCTGTGCCTCCTTACAAGAGTGTCTCGAGGGAAGCTAGAATGCCTATGAGTCGCAACGAACATGACACTAACCACTGGAAAAGCTAAGATACCAAGATACTTTAAGACAGCAGCTATGGTCAAGGTCAACCAATTGAACTTCTAGCCCCCAATATTCTCTTCTAAGTCATCAGTTTGCTAATACCATATCTCTCTCGACAAACCCTGAGCCACTAACAGCAAGGCGGGCTTCAGTTTTGCATAACGCTGACGAAGCTGATGGAACTGTAGTGTCCGGTTACTGGATACTCTCCTCAACACTCGTCGTTTCTGCAAAACCGCCAACCTGCACCTGGGGACTGGTCCGACGAGGCTCATCCTCCTCGTCAATCACCCTCGCTGACGCAGGTGTAAAGTTCCTGGGGCGCTTCGAAACGGATGTTGGAACATTCGCGTGCACGGTGCTAGTGCTGGACGTACCGCTGGTCAAATTGATTACCGACTCGTTTGCGGCATTGCTCGTCGGGGCAGGAGGTTCAACTTGAACATCCGTCACCGCAGCAGCAGCAGCAGCAGTAGTAGTAGCAGTAGTATCAGTGGACTGCTCGGTGCCACTAGGGTTGGTTGAACCTTGGCTGAGAATAGCGGAGCCAAACGTTGCTACCAAGGGGTTGTTCACAGATCGTTGGTTAGCAGCAAAAAGCGGGGTTACAGACGCGCTAACACCGTTGTTAACAGAAGCCTCGATTGGCAGATTGTTCATGCCAAAAAGTGCCTGCGAAAGTCTACGGGCCTCCATTGACGACGAGGTTGACGGCATCTGGGCGGATGTGCCTTGGCCAAGAGACACCTGTCGGCCTTCCTTGCGTGACAATCCATCTGAATGTGGCATAGGAAAGTTGCGTTGCGAAATTGCGGAGGTGGGTGCTTGGTTGAGGAGAGATTGCGAAAGGGCTGATTCGAGGTCGGCGGTGAGTTCAGATGGAATGGGATGGGCAAACTGCGCGCCAGGATTTGGTCCCTCTCCTCCTTCTGTCGGAGTATTCTGTGGCGCTTTTAGCCTCAAAGGATCATCCTCAAGACTGCTTCCTGAGATTTGCATTGGGTCACCCCCTTGAGATGGACAGTCGGCCATGATGGTGTCGCTCTTGTGGAAGTTCCGTGGATTGATAGGCCAGGTCGTTCTTCCATCCCAAAAGTCTCCCGCTTGGACATTTGTGATGGAGCTCATCCAGTCGCGGTAGGTGGGTTCCGCAAACGGATCATGAGGCGAGAAGATATTCGGCACCGATGGGTTACTAGCGCTGAAATGAGGCACCTTAAAACCGGGCGGATTGAGTAGTCCAGCAGGGTTGGATTGGTGATGAAAGATACTGCCCGGAATAACAGTGCTCGGAAAACCGTGGTTCCTAATGCCTTTGAGGAGCAAACTCCTCTTCCCAGGAGAGTGAGCATGAGACTCTGCTCCATCACCAGGGAAGTAAGTTGGCACGGAGACGGCGGGATTGGGGGTTGGACGGCGCCACATGCCAGGATTTGGCCACGCAATCCCGCTGTTTTCAAGAATTTCTTGAGCACCTATTAGCCTTCCTGAGGTCGTCAAAAGGACTTACGGAATCTTACCCAGGGGGGCATGTTGGAAGGAGAAAGTGACAATGTTCTTGACTCGTTCGATGGGAACTGTGAGCGAGTCCCGTGGGAAACCTTCGCTAATGATCACCTTGATGCGGCCCAAGTCATCACCAGGGTGCCAATGGTTTTGGCGGAGAATCTCTTGTCGGAAAGCAGGAAACGTAAGTCGCTCGAGCTCCCCCGTCTTTGTAAACTCTGGTATGGGTAAGTTAGGGTGTCCTGTTTGTAACTGCTCCAGATTCACAACTAACCGAAGGTGCTGGTAATGAGATGGGGACCGTTAACATCTCGATCCAAGATAGCAGACCTATGGATATGATTAGTCAACCGATGTCAGAGCATCATGGAGGTAAATGACGTACGCGACCAAACGACCATCAAGGGTCACGCGAGCTTCAAACTTAACCAAGTCTGGATTTTTGCTGTATGTACGCGCGAACTGGCTGATCTCGGGGCGGCGCCAGCAATGGATGGACACCTGAAACGGGGTTCCAGGTGGCAGGCTCGGCACGAAGCAGGTCATGACCGGGCTTCCAACGGCACCATGGAGATGTGCCAGTTCAATATCTGGGACGACATGACAGGCAACTTTGAACTCCTTAAACGGAATCTTGGAGTCGCGTCCCGTAGGGAAGAGAATAACATCCCAGTCGTCGTAGCGCATGGCTGAAGCAGAACTGAAGGCACAAGCGTGAGAGACGGCGATAAGAATGGACCAATGAAACGGGGATTTGAACGTGACAACAAGCGTAGACCAAAGAAACACGACGAGATGGGGCAAGATGGGCGCCCAAAAAATCCAAAAGGTAGAGAGGTTTGAAGAGCCCGGTTCAAGGTAATGTTATGAACCACATTTTCTCTCCTCGGAGAATAGCACCAGGCTGCCAAAGCGGGGATGCCGATAGTGGGAGTCCGGACTGGAGACTCTGACGACCAGGACTGGTGTGGAGGAGTATTTCTCAGACCAGCCCTTTCCCTAGGAACTGAAGGAAGCTGCTTGAAAAGGAGACAAGTTCCGGTTTCTCGAAATATGCGGAGGGGTGTGTGTGGTTTTGATTGGCTTCAGCGGGCCTTCTGCCTGCCAACAGTCTTGCATAGGAGAGTCAGGTGGGCGAAGAGGTGTTCTATCGGGGTAGCTGCTTGGGGAGTCTCAGGATCGAAAGATAAGCGGAGCCATGGGGGCGACTTCCTTAATGACACCGGTCTTCTCCATGAACCTTCAGGATCTAGAGCGCCGCGTGGCAGCGGTGGAGTCTGGACGACCTGATCCTGGGGAAACTACTGATCATTCATTCTTTCACGGCTTGCATCACGTAACGAACTTAGACAACTCACGACGTGGACTTGTCCTGGAGGGCAACTGGGCTGGAAATAAGCTTCGATGCTGGCAGACAGTACAGGGACACCATCCACATGATCTCATCATCGAGACACAAGAAACTGTATTTGGGCATGTCAGTTGGATGAGGCAATACACAATGTTTCTCTCTATCAAATCTACGGGTCCGGGTCACCCTCCATTCGCGCCTGTGCAGCGACATTAGCAATCCATGCTTTAGATGGAGCAACAACAAGGCTCTACTTGCCCTCACGGCGCCGGCGCCACCTAGCTCTCTCTCCAGACCGCCCTCAAACTCGCGAGGATAGCTGACACGGTCGGGGTACGTCAGCTTGACGACGTAGCACAGGCCCAAGAAGGACGCAATGAAAAGGCCGATCTGGAAGAGGCCCTTGCCAGGAGTGATCCATGTGTACTCGTAGGGCGAAAACATGCCGAGGATATCGTGGTCTTCATGGACGGGCTCGCCAAAGTTCCTCCGCTCCTGCTTGTCCCACCAGTCGGCATGGGGGTCGCGGAACTGGCGCTTGATGCGGGGAGGGTTGATGTAGCCGCCGTTCTGCGCGAAATTGTCAGCTCAGGGTGCTCTGCCGCTCGCTCCCAGAACACCTCAACGCACCATGTCGGGGTCCTCCTTGTCTGTGAGAGTCGGATAGTCGGAGTCGGGGTACTTCTCGTCGATCTTGCTCCTGCCGACCATGGCCTCGGGCAGGAATGTTCTTTGCTGGATCAGAGGGAGACGCCGCGCCGCGGGGAGCACCGGCGAGCGCAAGGGCGCCACCGCCCGCACGAGTCTGCGCGACAGCATCTGCACAGATGTTAGCAACAAGTTCCAGCGACGTAAATTGAGAGAGCGCGTGCCTTGGCGGTGGTGTGTAATGCCACAATGGGGGAGCAGCCGTGAAGCCGTGGGAAAGCAGTCTGACGATGCTGCGGGCTATGATCAATGATCCACAGCTTCGCGAGCTTAGAGGTTTGGGGTCCCCGCAATCGTGGGACATCCGCCCCGCTGATTGGCTGCAGCTGCTCGGTTAATTGCATGCCAGCGTTGCTGCCAAGCGGTGCTCAGCCAGTTCCGGGTGGCTCCACTGGACAGCTATCTTAACGCCTCAGGCATCAACCGCGAGCGCGGTTCAGGTCGCCGCGGCATTCGCCTTCAGGCTGACGATGGGGTCTGAATTTTTTGTCAGTTGGCAAAGTTTTGCAGACAAGTCTTAATTTCAGCACAAAACGCGCTGCAGCCGGCCACCGAGACGGCTGGACATGTCCAAATTTTGGAAGGACAATCCTTGAGTTTCTGGCATTCTTCTGACCTTTTTTTCATGCTGCCAGATGCCAGATTCGTCGAGATCTCGGCCGTCTCTGCCTCGCCGTCTCCCCCGTGACTATGACAGAGATCGCGTCGCCCAGCCCAACACACGCACACCCGCCTCCAGCTCCCGCTCCTGGCGACCATGACGACAAACACCCCAACACAACATCATCCACTACGCCCCCCCGTTCTCGAGAATCCGTCGGCCCCGATCAGCTACCATCTGCGCACACGACTAATGGAGTTAACGGCGACGCCAAAAATGAAAGCGGCGGCACGACGGAGGAGCAGCCACAGAACAGCGTCGAAGCCCCACACGCGGACTCTGGCGATGGCACTGGTCGCAACGGTGCCCGCACCGCGAGCGAGGTAGCCGACGCACAGGAGGGGCCGCCTCCAAAACGGCGTCGGGTCCGCGACGCGACGCCGAGTAGGCCCTCGCGCCGTCACAAACCCGATTCGCCGCCATGGAAGAAGGTCGAAGCCGATGGACCGTCGACCTTCATCACCGAAGACGGCCGCCGCAAGTCTGGCCGCCTGAACGCCGTACCCCTCGAGCTGCGAGAGAGCGACAAGCGCATAACGCGTGGAGTATTCCACAGTCAGCAACCGAATTCGTCCAAGGCGACGCACGCCACGGCCAATGGCCACGCCCCGAACCATCCCTCAACCCCCGCATCGGCGTCTCACAAGCGGGCGGCGACGTCCTCGAGCAAACAGGGCTCGTCCAAGGCTCCGGCCCCGACCTCGGCCTCGCGCAGGCCTGCCACTGCACAGGACTCGAAGTCTAGCAATCGCAATCGGCGACGATCACCCTCTCCCAAGCCATCCCCCAAGCGGCATGCCACCACTGCAAAACAGCCCGCCATGGGTACGCGTCGTTCGGCGCGTCATCTGCGAGATACCGAAGACGATGCTGATGAGATCACGGCACGCAGCACTACCCGGATCAAGCTTAGGGTGCGACCGCCGTTGACCGAGCTGCCACTCGTGCATCGCGACCAGGCCTTTGTGCGTCCCAAGATTGGCCCCACCTTCGCTGAATGGTTCGAGAAAGCTGCCGATATCCCTGTCGAACAAGGTGGCTTGTATGTGCCTTCAGAAGATGGTCCAAAGTACACGGATGAAATGGCAAGGGAGGATGCTAAGATCATTCTGCGCGTCGAAAAGGAGGTGGAGCCTGGCGGGATCCTGGCTCCGGACAGATGCTCTATATTCGAGCCTGAGCCCCCAGAGGAGCCCCCGCGACAGTGGGCACACATGGATCATCTGGTTAAGCAGATGGCCAACTTCCGCCGGCTCATGCTACAGGAGCAACAGCGTCATCGTGCGATTGCGAAGCGTTTGGCGATTGCTTGCGAAGCAGAATGGAAACGACGGAATCCACAACCGAAGACAGCCGAGGAGATCGAGCAAGAAGAGATCGAGAAGAGTAAGGCCAAATTGCGGCAGGTGATGAAGACATTGGTAGGGACGTGGGAAAACGTGAGGGCGGAAGTCAATCGTCGTCGGTTGGCAGAATGGGAGGCGGAGGAGCAGCGTCGGGTCAAGGCAGCCCTTAACGAGGCTGTCAATCTGTCTGAGCAGAAACTTCAAGCCAGACAGGCGCACTTCGATGCTTTCGAGCCGTCCGAGGAAGAAATGGAGGATGAACACGAGGAGGATCTGCTGACTGATTCCGCAGAAGAAGAGGGTTCGGATGGAGATAGTGAGGCTTCCGAGGATGTTTCCGAATCCGAATCCGACATGATGTCTTCCTCGGAAGATGAGGAGGAAGAGGAAGACTCTGTAATATCAGACGAAAACCTTACACAAGAAGAATTGAGAGCAAAATACGCCAATCTTCCCGACCTCAATAATTCTACCGATTCTAATGCCGAATCTGAAGCACCCCCTGATACCCCTGCTGCCGACAATCCAGACAATGAGGACGAGACCAGCGACGAGTCGATCGACATGGATGATGACCTCGGATCAACCATGGATGAGGAAGAGGACGAAGACGACGAGTCTGACGAGGAAGATGAGGAAGAGGAGAGTGAGGAAGAAGAGTCTGACGACGAGCCCTCCGGGTTGCTCGGACTTTTCTTCAACAAGGCGGAGCTGAAAAGGCTCAAGGAGGAGGCTGCTAAAGAGGAGGCGACCGAGGAAGTGGTGCCCGATGAACAAAGGTCCCAAGAACAAGAAAGCCATGGCCCAGTGGATGTTGAAATGGTTGACGTTGATGCAGTGACCGTTGCAGAGCCCATATCAAAGGCCGCAGCGTCGACAGACAGCATGGTTGGTGCCGATGAGCAAAATGCTGCCTTGACCCAAGTTTCGAAAGCGTCAATGGCAGATAACACAGCCAAGCCTTCCCGAGAAATTCGGGAAGAGCAATCCGACAACGCGGCATTGGTTTTTGGGGAGCGGTCCGAACCCAAGCAAGAGCCTTTGGACGACGTCGATATGATCGATCTTCCCGAGGCTGAGGGCCCTGATGCTGCCGCCTCGACACTTGAAACCAATTTGCCTCCAACTACGCAACACCCAACTCCGGAAACCGAGCCAGTCACTACTATTCACAGTCCGTCGAGAAGCCAATCACCCCGCCCATCGGATGACACCAAGCCCACGGACATCGAGACGCCGGCGTCAACGGCTCTTGTCAACCAGCCGAAGCCGAATAGTCGGTCGGCTTCCCCCCAGCCAGCACCTCCAAGAACTGAGATCCCTTTTCTTTTGCGCGGCACGCTGCGTGAGTATCAGCATCATGGTCTGGACTGGCTCGCGAGTCTGTACGCGAATAGAACAAACGGCATTCTTGCCGACGAAATGGGTCTTGGCAAAACAATCCAGACTATTGCCCTCTTGGCACACCTGGCATGCCATCATGAAGTATGGGGACCACATCTTATCATAGTGCCGACCAGTGTCATGTTGAACTGGGAGATGGAGTTCAAGAAGTGGTGTCCAGGATTCAAGATTCTCACCTACTATGGCAACCAAGAGGAGCGGAAGAGGAAGCGTCAAGGTTGGACCAATGATGATGTTTGGAACGTCTGCATCACCTCTTACCAAATGGTACTCCAGGACCAGCAAGTCTTCCGGCGACGTCGGTGGCATTACATGATCCTTGATGAGGCTCACAACATCAAGAATTTCAAGTCGCAAAGGTGGCAAACCCTATTAGGGTTCAACACTCATTCACGCCTGCTGTTGACTGGCACTCCTCTACAAAACAACCTTACAGAATTATGGTCGCTCCTCTACTTTTTGGCTCCACCGGAAAATGGGGAGGGCGGTTTCGTTGATCTTCAAGAATTCCACAACTGGTTTTCCAGACCCGAATCTCAGATTCTTGAGAGCGGGCGAGATCAATTGGATGACGAGGCCCGCGCCATCATCGCGAAGTTGCACAAGGTCCTCCGGCCCTATCTTCTCCGTAGGTTGAAGTCGGATGTCGAGAAACAAATGCCAGCCAAGTACGAGCACATCGAGTTTTGCCGTTTGTCCAAACGACAGCGAGAACTGTACGATGGGTTCCTGTCTCGTGCCGATACACGAGCAACTTTGGCATCTGGCAACTACATGTCCATCATTAACTGCCTGATGCAGTTAAGGAAGGTGTGCAATCACCCAGACCTCTTCGTCGATCGGCCGATCATGACCTCTTTCCGCATGTCGCGGTCCGTCGCTGCGGACTATGAGTACAAGGAGCAAATCGTGCAGAAGCGGCTGCTTGTCGAACATCCGATGAAGCGTGTCAGTCTCAGCTTCCTGAACATGATCCCGACTATATACGAGACCATGTCGAAGCAAGATGCCGACCGCATCTCCCAGCTCAGTAGCCATCGCATCCTTCTTGATCTCAGGGACGCACAAGCGGTACGAGCGAACAATGCATCCCGCCAATTGGATCCCACAACTGTCCAGTCCAATCTTGTGTACCTCGAGAGTGTTGCACGCTGGAGCCGCTTTGAGGAACTACAACACTGTGTTTATGTTAATGCTCTTCGGCGCCAACAGCGACCGATCTATGGCAAGCGCCTGATCGAAATGCTGACTCTGAACACGCACCTTAGACCATTCAAGCCCAGACCCAAAGTTCCGGCAAAGGTCATGAGTTGGTTTGAAGAGGACTCGTGGCTGCTGCGCAACGCGATCCCCACGCTCCAGCAACGAGCAGATTCCATGGAAATGACTATCACTAAGTTCGCCTGTGTCACTCCGGCTGTGGTGACGGGCGACATGACTCGAATCCTGCTGGGCAGAGAGGGTGTTGAGGCGTTCACGGAGCTCGACTTAAAGCTTTCAGCTCCAATCAAGTACGCGCCGTACATGCCGCCTGAGCGCCCCCCGGACCCGTGGCACGAAGCACGCATGCGCTTAACAATTCAGTTCCCTGACAAGCGCCTGCTTCAATACGATTGCGGCAAGCTGCAAGTGCTTGACAAGCTCCTCCGCAAGCTACAAGCCGAAGGCCACCGCGCCCTCATCTTTACTCAAATGACCAAGGTCCTCGACATTTTGGAGCAGTTTCTCAACATCCATGGACACAAGTACCTCAGGCTTGATGGCGCCACCAAGGTCGAGCAGCGCCAGATCCTCACCGACCGTTTCAACAATGACCCCCGCATTCTCTGCTTCATCCTGTCCACCCGTTCCGGTGGTCTAGGCATCAACCTTACTGGTGCCGACACGGTCATTTTTTACGACCAGGATTGGAATCCTGCGATGGATAAGCAGTGCCAGGACCGCTGCCACCGGATTGGCCAGACACGTGATGTGCACATCTACCGACTTGTCAGCGAGCACACCATTGAGGCCAATATCCTCCGCAAAGCGTCCCAAAAGCAGATGCTTGACGATGTCGTCATCCAGGAGGGCGAATTCACAACAGACTACTTTCGGAAACTGGCCGTCCGCGATGTCATCGGGTCCAATGGCGAGGTCATGCAGAATGAGGATGACGTTGCTGCGAATGCGGCCATGGACCGTGTCTTGGGAGGTGTGGAGAACACCAACCTGCGCAATGTTAGTCGCGTACTGGAACAGGCGGAAGACAAGGAAGACGTTGCGGCCGCGAGAGTAGCCGAAAAGGAGATTCAGCAGGATGATGTTGACTTCTTGGAGGCATCGACTGCTGGCGTGGGCACATCCCGTGAGGGGACCAATGAGCCTGGGCAGTTGCACAAGGCTGCGCAAGAAGAAGGAGAGAGCGAGGTCGAGTACAACGCTTGGGGTAGCCGCATGGGCACCATTGACGACTACATGCTCAAGTTCATGACGGCACAGCTGGAGGGCACGCCGCTGGATCTGCCTAAGGATAAAAAGAAGGGCAAGAAGAAGGGTAAAGATACCAGAAAGAGGTAGTAGTGTATTTAATGTCTTATTGCATGTAGCTGGTAGTGGGCAAAGTTTGATCAGGGTCAGGAGTCATGAATTGGAATGGTCGGCAGTTGGAGGTTTCTGGGATCGTTTGTCGGCTCAGTTGTATTATACATCATTCTCCTCGTGTTTTATTCTCCGAGGGTTGCATCGGAGGTGATAGTTTGCCCACGGATTGTCAGAACTAGACGTGATGACGGATAATAGCTGTTTGCAGCAGCTTTCATGTCAGATACCATTCTGTTTGAAAAGAAAATTCCATCATAGCTCTGCATGGTCTTCAATCTTAATCCTTCTTACCACCGTACTTGCAACCGCGTAGATAACCGCGCTCGCGAGAAATGGCAGCCCGAGCCCTGTCCCGCCTGCCCCTAGGCCAGTTACCCAAAGAGTTGGCATGATCATTGCCCCAAGCAAGCTTCCTGCCGTCCGGATGAGCATCACTATCGAAAACAGCTGAGCACCATGCCTTTCACTCTCTTGTCTCCCAGCACCAGTTACCGATGGGTCTTCACGACCATCGAATTCCTCTTCACCGTCAGCATCAGCACCTTGAGCGGGAACAACAATTGGCGCGATGCTGAGTGAGCGCAACAGAGAGTATGTAAAGACGGGGAGGGCACTTCCAAGTGCGTACAACAGCAATGATGCCAACAGAAACACGATTCCAGGGGAGAAGGCGATCGCAAGGGCACCAAGAACAGACACCACCAAGCAGAGGTGCGCATTCTTCAGAGTGAGTTTGTCCTGACCGCTCTGCTCTTCGTCATGACTATTCCTTGACATTATTTGATGCGTGTGGAGATAATTCTGACGCTGTCGTTTCAGCAACCTTGGCACCACAAGCGTCAAGTAGACGAAGTTGAACATCGCTTTGATGGAAAGGAGATATCCGACTGAAGCGAAGCGCCAGTGGTACCGGTTGGAGATGTACAGTGGAAGGAGCTTGGTGTCAGAGCTAGCCAGGGAGGCCAGGAAAAAAACGGCTAGGAGGAGCAGAAAGTTTCGAGTCGGGGAGTTTAGTATAGTGAGAGTTGTTTGTAGACGGGCAGTTATCGTGGATTTGAGGTCTGTTTGTCTCAAGCTGAAAGTGCTAAAAAGCAGAGGAGTGCTACTACCGTCAGCATCACTGTCGTTTGGAGATCTCTTCCGGTGGTACAGTGCTGATTGTGGGAGAAATCGAGCAACAGGTAAGGCCAGAACAATAAGGATGATACCAATCCAAAGAGGGAGCCACAACAATAGAGCCATAGTTGCTGACGCGAGTGCCGGTCCCAGCTGGAGGGAGAAAATGGCAGTCACGGCGTTAACATAACCAAAGAATGTTGCCCTGCTGAGAATCAGTAAATGACCATGGAATGCCGGCAAGCAATCTAGTTACCTTAGGACATGGTCGTCTATCAAGTCCGACACAAGAGAGTACATAATTGCATTAAACACGCAGTCTCCCCCAAGAAACGATAGAGCGGTAGCGGCAAGTATGGAGCGAGTTGGTAGTATTTTATCAAAATACCCAACAGCAAATGTCCATGCCAGCACGAACAACCGTGGGACCAGGTTCAAGGACAAAACGAATTGATGGCCTCGATGTTCAGCCAGCGAAATAAGCGGTATCGTCATGACGAAATCTACTCTTATTATTCAGCACATTGGTCTCTACCAGACTGGATGAGACATGTGGTTCCTCACCCCCAGCAACCCACAACGTCTCCATCCCACCTTGTATCTTCCCGAGGGGCATCTGGACCGCATCGATCTTGCACAACTTTTCAGGCACCGTGCCATCGGGACGCAACGCTGATGGTTCATGTGCGGCATAGTGGTCATGACAGAGACGGCTTTCTATGACACGGCTCACAGGTAGCTGGTACAAGCTCCAGGCGAGGTTGACCAATGCGATCAGAAGCAAGATTGGCCCAATAGCTCGGCGGGTTAGTGGACGTCGTGCTCTGTGTGGTGTATGCCCTGTGGGACTTTGATGTGTATGGCTGTCGGTCATCGGAGTTCTGGAATACAACATTCAGAGAGTCGACTAAGGAAGCCGAGTTGGAGATGATGAGTCGGCAGAGGTTACGCACCTGGTTGCGGGGAACAATGGTGATTCGAGAGTGCCCCACCTCTGGGGCCTGAGCGGGATGTTAACGCCCCAAGGACGATACGGCCCGGGAGGAATATGAGGGCACGCTTAGAACAAGAACATAATGGAGGGGGATGAAAGAGAGCAGTACATATTCAGCCTAACCAGATCGATAGATCTGTTCAAAATGGCACTGTTTCTATCCAATGCTGCTAATCAACTACGATTGGGTCTGCCTGTGTGGGTCCAGTTGTTGGGATTTGTGTAAGAGAGCCTGTTCTTGCTGTGCGAGTTCTTCCTGTTCCCACTGTCTCTTCAGATGTTCCTCTTGTGTCTGTTGATAGGACGGCGGTTCATCAAGGGGTGTCGAAGCAGTCAATGGGGTTGCCGGCTCGCCCTGCGATGCCGAAATCTCCTGTTGTAATTTCGCGCTTTCTGTTTTCCCCAACTTGTTTCCTTTCCCGCCACTGTCTTCGCCATCAGCTACCGCTGGCCTGATGAAGGTGAAGTCCCCAGGTAATTCGGCCTTCTCGTGAGCATCGAGTTCCACTTTGCCTGTTTCATCAGACATCTCGACGCGATATCGCCGCCCATCGATCTCGCAGATGGCGTTCGTATCCATCAGCACCGGCGCGCCTTTGTCTCCCTGAGTGTCGTCAACAGCGTTCTGTGCTTCATCCTGACTACTGGCCTCTTTGCCCTTGTGTAATCTTCGGTAATACCAAAATACCAGGACTGCAGCGATCAGAAAGAGCACGCCGCCAGCGACGCCGACGGCAATGCCGATGATGGTACCTTTTGACATCTTGTCCTCTTTTCGATGGACGCCCGGCGGCACCCACGTCACATTCTCTAACGGGCATGTTAGCCCCACATAGCACATATATATAGATAAGAGGATAGAACTAACCGGGAATAGCCTGGTGCCGACAGTCGTACACCCCGTGGCACTGCGTCCCATCATATACATAAAGGTTCGCTCGGTATTCTTGCCAACAGGTGAAGTTCTCATAGTCATTTCGTCCAACACCAGCAAATTGGCCCTCGGGAACCTTGGGTCCTATCGAAGCATTGAACCACACTCCTGTTGTAGAGAACTGTGCTGAGGTGTTGGCGTTGACCCAGACCCTGGTCTGGTCGTAAGGAGTATCAACGATGGCGACATCCTTCGGAGTCCCTTCGAGGCCATCCTCGTAGTAGGCCATTTGAGAAGAGAGAACTTCACTTGCATCGCGACAATCGGCCAGTACGATGTGGTCATTCTCATATCGCTTGATAATCGGCTTGCTGACTCGTGAAAGCTCATTCAGAGCTTTCTTCAATTGTTCTGCTGGTTGCAAATAGGTAACAGGGTCATGGACCGCAGCAGCAGCGGATGAGGGCAAACCGTATGTAGGGCTGAGGAGCAGGCATGCTGCTATCATCCGTCCTGTGATGTCAAAGAAAGATGTGGTTCCGAAACAGTACCGGCGATCAATTCCGGCGATGCGACCCATCGCGGACGGTTGTGGAGAACTGGAAATTCGGGAGATGGACAATCGAATGCAGAATGATCGGAGAAGTGGAGGCCGGAGTATATGCCGATGACCGGTGCACTCTGAGAAGCCTTGATCAGGAATGGTCCAGAGGCCAGATGGAAAGGAAAAACCGAAAAAGGTAGCGCATATACTATCGACCACTAACGTTGCTTCTATCGTAGCGGCCCTAGAGCTTCCACACTGTTAGAAAAGCCATGGTTATGGAGGTATCAGAGGGAAACCGTGGGGAAGAAAGAGCGGGAAGAAGTGAAATCTTATCAGGTCAGACTGGTGTTGCATTTTAGGATTTTGGGTCCTTTTGGAGGTTGGGGGGAGCCCTCCCGCCAATGCATGCTTTGCAGCAGTCCTTCTCGCTGGTCGGTCGCGAGAAATTCAAAATACCGGGCCAATGGGCTCCTTCTGCTGATAATCAAATGCTGACGGCCGTGTCTCTGAACGGCCATTAGCGGGCTTGGCGCCCCGGCTCCAACGAACAGTGTTGGGGAAACTTTTTGCGGCTGTGATGCAGTCATCTTCTTCGTATCCCCCTATGCTCGCAGCTGGATACCGACTGACCCAGAATCTTGCGCGACGCGTTTGAAAAGATTGCAAAGCTCTTCCGACAGCACCTTGTTCAAACGAGATTCCGACACTTTCCTTACTATTTCGGAACAAAAAGGACCGTTGATAGCACTCACAAAAGTCCCAGAGCCTCTTGAGTGGTTGCGCCCAGGCTTTCTGTGAACTCGAATGTTATGCCATACTATATCCAAGAGTGTCTGGGACCCAGACAGCAAAGCAAACTGGATGATCCGGTTTGGTCCCATTAGTAGATTAGCTCCCAGTTCCTAGTGACAGAAAAAAATATGGACCAGAGGTTGTGACTCCCAGCACTCAGCGGGGCCATTCTGAAGGGTTCACAGGACTTAAACTACCACAGTTGCAGTCGTTTTAAAGATGGCCCCAGTCATCTTTGGACAACTGCTATGTTAGTTGAACTGGATCTGTACCGTCAATATAACTAGGGAACCGGTTACCCTATTTTACTTTGGAATAGACTCGTGCCGGGGCACGGGTGATGCAGGGCCGACCAAGCAATCCTTTTCTATGCTACATTATTGCCAGTCTTTCTTGTAACATGATGGCATCGCAGTGCGGGCCGTGGCATAGGTATCGCTCTTCCCTACGCGTCTAGCTACAGCAAGAACCTGAATCAATGAGAACGATGTTACACTTATCAGCCCAGCAAACATTCTGCTTATGTGTCCAAACTCATGTTTCCTTTAACGATCTAATCTGAACTTCAGCATAATCCAGAAACTCAAGATGATCAGACGCTCAGTGGACGATTATGAGCTGTCCAAGACCAAGGCAAGCAACTCTCGAAGAGAATACTGCCATCAACTGTTTCTCAGTTTCACCGAAGGAAGTCATATGTCGGAAACTCTCTGTTGTAGTAGGTAACCTAATCCCGGTCTTCTGCTAACAGCCAAAGCTACAACATAGTAGACAGTAGGAAGTAGGCGGTTTGCCTTCAACCAAGTAGGTGGGTAAGTTGCTGCCTGTAATTCAAAACCTGTAAGCACGATCGTATTTGAGGATGGTAAGTAGACTCACAAACAGTTTCGCGTCTATTACGGCGTTTCTCTGTAACCCAAAGCGTCACGAAATAGATCTCTGTCTGCCTCCAACAAGATGCTCAGCAATGCTTTTTATTTCGAAGAATTCTTGAAGAATGCCATAGAACATGAGCTCCGCTCTATACTTGCACGCCTTTGCAAGAAACTGATGATGGATTGGGACATTCTGGTCAAGTACTCCGCCAGTGTTGTGCTCAACAAGAGCACAGTCGCACGGCTTTGTCATCTCTTCTTAATTGTGGTGAACTTTTTTGAGAAAGCGAAAACAAGCCAGATGCTTGTTGATATCATCTCCAGGTTAGCTCGCAACCTGCTCTCGGCCATGGCTGTCGAGTTGTCTAAGTTCAAAATGTTTACTAATATAGTTCTCATTCCGTGTTCCCTAAACTAGGTGTTTTTGTAATGGATGAAGAAAGCGATGCTTGGGGAGACACACCCGACTTTCAAATTGATGATTATGTTAAGAATCAAGAGAATAGCCTTAATGGCTTTATGTGGAAGTGCTGCGAAAAAACGGAAGCACCGAGGGCTGCAAATTACTGCTCATGTGCCTGTCGGGAAAGATGGACCTGGAAGGAGGATCGACATGATGGAAGTACTCTAGTCTAACAGGCGGTTAGTCCACTGTATCTATTGGAACATGATGACAGAGTTAGTGTCGTGAGTTACGTCAGCGTTTCATTGGTGGCGGGCATGAGAAGTAAACCTCCCCGTCCTTATTCCCATCGGGTTGGTCCTCGTCATGATCATCCCATATACCAATACTACTGCCCCTCCGTCTTTCATGTCTTAATATTTCACATTTAAATAGCGTCAAAAAGATCACCCTTGTTCGATCGACATCAGCTTGTATGTTACAACATATGTGCAATCTGTTCTGTTTCTGAAACAGGATAGCTGGGGCTCCTTCTTCATGTGGACAGCTTCTATATTGATAAGCAAATAGGAAACGTGTGGCCCGTGGTCACCTGGTTCTGTGTCGATGTCATCGGGTGCACTCCTGACCCACGATGCAGTCTGGTCCATGGTTTCTCTATTCTCGCTGTCAACACGGGCAACACGAGACATGCTCAACACCTGACATACCTGAAACTCTCCTCCTACTGACGAACTGAACAACATTAGCCAGCAAATCGTTAGCCCGCTCCTTGTGCTCATGTTAAAACGGAAGGAGTCTGGTCAACCGAAGACAGCGCGAACCAGAGAACGGAAGTGCAGGCCACCGCGTCCGTCCCCAAACAACTTCAATTATGTCAACAAAGAGGACAAAGAAGATATGTGGGGTATCAAGATCTCGGTAATGTTTATGTGAGGAAGATATCATGGATTATTTCCAGTTCCCTACAGATCAGGAGCTTCCCACTCCGGTTATCCGCCTCTACAAGGGTGATCACGCTACAAGGTTTCATGCATATGTATCTTTTTTGGAAGCCCGACAAGTTCAAGAATATTAGGCGGAAGTACAAAGTACAGCTGCCAGACACATAGCCGTTTTGCTATAGATGGGGCGAGCCACTTGACCCAAATTACAACCGAGGGCGGATCCGCCAATTCCATCCTGGTCACTCGATCTTTGCAACCGTTATAAGCCGTCTGCTCATTGCATCTTGACCTTCGATATTCTTTATATTTCGTGACAAATACCCACCCCCAGTTAACTTATGATATACCTTAACCATTCTATTATGCTGATTGGTGTCACATGGACACGGCAGTTCAAGGAAAGGGATGTCCCCGACTACCAACACAAGGGACACCAGAGACAGGATGATTGTGAGCGGCACAAATATGTGGTTGATCCCGGAAGAAATCTAGAGCCGGGTGACCGAAAAGAATGAGCCATACGGCCGAGGCATGATGAGGATTCTATAAAGGAAGCTACTCGGTCATGATGAACTTCCTTTGGTTCCTCCTCTCCCTGACACAAGGACATTGAGGACCAAGAAAGATTATTGCACGTAGTAATTGACTTCGCTGTGCACCCCACATTGCCAGTGGCCATCATCTAACCCATTTGACCTATTGTCGATCCTTGCTTGCACCAGACCAAGTCACTCGTTATAATTGATGACCCTTCCTGAGCTCTTTACTCTCCTCACGAAATTAGCGAAACCTTCCAGGCCTAGTACCAATCATGATGAATATATTTAGAGTGCTGTAACGATATCGGCATGGATGCATGCGTGGTCTGTTAATGCAAAGAGAGTTGAAGAGAATGATGCTGTCGGGTTTGAGGATGCAAACAGCGCTGAAGCCGAAGAAAGCTCTAACGTCCAGGAAAGTTCCGAGGATGATACCAACGAGAGCTCCTCAGAATCCATTATTTATGATGTGGATGAACTCTCCGAGTCGGATGGGGATATCAGCAAAATCAAATATTCTCATCAATCACGCAAGGGGCAGTGGTGAGATCTATGCTTGGTGTAAATCGCATAGCCATCTAGTAAAGCAATGTTAGGGAACATCTATTGACTTATCATATGATGTATGATCATTTGAGGGACTTTTAGCTGTGATATCTTCTACGCTTCGATCTTAGCATTTTTCCTCTTGTCCTGTTAACAACGTCGCCACTCTCTTTTTTTGTCCATTGGCCTATACGACTAACAGTATAAATTAACGAAGAATGTAGATCTCTCTGAAGAGGAGAGAATAGGTAAGTTTTACACCCGGTAGAGGATAAGCCGGCATTTTGCCATTCCCCGACAAGAAATCCCCAAATTTCTCCATGTAAGTCTCAAATATGAATAACAGAAGCATTAGGCTGCACGGAAGCCAGTGTACCCCCGTAAGCCGACGTTACACTATTGAAATCCCGTATACATTGAGTGCCATTGCTTCCGGCGCAAAACATACAACCGACATTTCAAATTGCCTTACCCAATCTTCCGGGATTTGCCAAGTCACTCCTCATGGCTTAATACAAAACCCGCTCCACGAAACCCAATTGTTCGTTGATCTCTGGTGATCTTCGTAGCTGCCATCATTTTAGCCAAAGCATGTGCAGTGGCTGATCTCATTATCATAACTCCGATCCACAATGGCCCGGGATTGGGAAACGCTGCTTTGCCCAATATGTAGTGATTAGGGTATATCGGAACAATAATGATCTGGACTTTCTACTTTGAGAGCGGTACTGTCCTCTAAAATTCTGCTTGCCGCCATAACTCTGTTGAAAAGCCCCCTGCACCCCTATGGACTTTGAAACATGATAGCCCAGCAAGCAAAAGGATCTGAGCCATTGTCAGGGCGAAGCCCAGCGCTTGGAAAGCATCATGCACTACCGTCTACTGTCATTCATCACTGCCTCGGTGGCTCTTCAAGCCACATACGCTTCCCCGGCCCTATCTCCTGAAGTATATGATTATATTGTTGTTGGAAGTGGCCCTGGAGGGGGGCCTTTGGCTGCTGAGCTTGCAAGAGCTGGGTACCCTACACTACTAATCGAAGCAGGTGGCGATGAGGGTGAGAACCCTACGTACGCCGAAATTCAGCACTTCAATGAGGCAGCCAATGACGAAGCTACGCGCTGGGATTTCTGGGTTAAGCACTCTGACGACCCTGAGCGTGAGGCCAAATTTGAACATACTACTTGGGACACGGGCGATGGGACTTTCTATGTTGGCCTAGATCCTCCGGAAGGTGCCAAGTATCTTGGAATCCAGTATCCCCGTGCCGCCGTTTTGGGCGGGTGCGCCATGCACAATGCGGGAGTATGTTCACTGCCTGCTGATGACGACTGGAACATTATTGTCAACAAGACTGGTGACACGAGCTGGGAAGCAAAAAACATGAGAAAGTACCTCAAGAAGATCGAGAAGAATGAATATCTTCTTCCTGGTAACCCAGATCACGGCTATGACGGTGAGTTTCGCTACTTTCCACTGCTCCGTATCTCCCATATTCATGTCTGATGATGTTTTTAGGCTGGCTATCAATCACTGTATCAGATGCCTCGTGGGCCAAGAATGAGAGCCTGTCGCAGACAAGAATTCTTAAGAAGATTGCGGAGCTCACGGGTCAGGATCCAAAGAAGGCAGCCGAACTTGTGAGCCGCGACATCCTCGAGGTTGGTGATGATGTCGACGAGACAGTCTCCTTCTATAATATGGCTTTCCACGCGACCGCCAAGGGAGAGCGCAGCAGTCCCAACAGCTACATCCGCGCGACACTCGCCGACCCAGCTGGTTATCCCTTGACGGTCAAGCTGCACGCACTCGTCACGCGCGTACTATTTGACAACGCCACTCTTATTCCAGGCAGCACCCCACGTGCTATTGGAGTTGAGGTCATGACGGGTCCCTCACTCTATCGTGCGGATCCTAAGCATGTCCCTGGAACCAAAGGTCCGATTTCTCAGATTTACGCCAAACGCGAGGTTATAATTTCAGGTGGTGTCTTCAACAGTCCACAAATCCTCAAGCTTTCTGGAGTCGGTCCAGCTGAAGAACTTAAAAAGTTTGGAATTCCCGTCGTTGTTGATCTTCCCGGTGTGGGCGAGAACCTAGGCGACAACTACGAGGGCTCTCTCCTTGGAATCGCCTCTTCCCCAACCAACAATGCCGGCCAGATCACTCTCCTTTTCCGCACACCGAATGCGCCGACCAAGAAACGCAACATATATGCCTGGTGTGGCTCCTTCTCCTTCGAGGGATTTTGGCCCGGATTCCCAACCTGGTATGGCAACAAGGTGTACACCTGTGCTTTGGTCCATCTGGCGCCCAAGTCACAAGCTGGCAGTGTCAAGCTTCGCTCTGCTAATCCGCAAGATACACCCGAGATTAATTTCCGATTTTTTGAGCATGGCGGTGACCACGATCTCCAGGAACTCGTCGAGGCGGCAAATATTCTACGAGAGGCGTGGAAGGCAGCGGGAGAGCCTATGGCGCCGATTGAAGAACTGCATCCCTGTAAAGGCCCTGTGCAACCTGGGAGCGAGCGGTGCAGCGATGAGGAGCAAAAAGAGTACTTTAAGCTACAGGCATACTCGCATCATGCCTCGTCGACTTGTGCGATCGGAGGAGATGACGACCCAATGGCGGTATTGGATTCGAAATTCAGGGTTAGAGGTGTTAAGGGATTGCGAGTCGTTGATGCCAGCGTCTTCCCAGTTGTCCCAGGCGCGTTTCCCAGTTGTCCGACAATGATGATCAGCGTGAAGGCTGCTGAAGATATCATCGAGGAAGCCAGGAGGACAGATAAAAAATTGTGAAAAATAGCGAAAGCACGGTTCTGTCCTCATCTCACTGAAAGGGTGTCATCGAAGCTAGCGCTTGGCCTGATTTGTATCTTCATTACCTGTATTGTGGCTCTACTAAAAGCATTCCTTCCAGATATATTATCTAGGTGTAGCTTTTAAAAGTTCGAATCGAAGGCTATGCTCTATCTTTAATATGCTCTCCACATCGCCAACTCATCATGACTTAAAGTTTGGGATTCTTTTTCCTCAGAACCTCTGGCGTGACTTCCCTCTTCCACTCCTCGTCGATGATCATTTTTTCCCTTCTGTCAACCTTAACCCACCTCTGCTGCAAGTCGTCTTGCTCGTTCCTCCACCTCTGAATTTCCTGCTTCAACCACCCGCTGATTGCATCCGCTGTCTCTCCAACCTTCTCCATGGCCACCAGATGCCCGCAATCTAGAACTACCTCTTTTACCCTTCCTTCCTTAGCACCCCCACTTCCTCCCAAACCAGACCCTGTCCTTTCCAACTTGAGTTTTCTTTGATCTGGAGTCGATGCGTCCGACTTCCCACCAAAAATATACAGCACACTAGGCCTAACCTCCGGGAGCTTCTTGAATGCATAAACAGGCTCGGGCCGGTAGAAAGGATACCCCTTCGGCGGGGCCTTATCGGTTTCCGGATCACGATCAATGATCTTGCCGTTCGTCTTGCGGAACGTAGGGCGAAGGAAGACGAACAGTTCTTGGTGCTTGGTTGTCGTAAGTGTTACACTGCCCGCGGGCGCCGAACCAGCTGGGTACAGTTCTGTGGGTATCTCGCGCAGACCGTACTTCACCCAAAGATCAAAGACGCGAGGATCCCAAGCTTGGTAGAATTTAGACTGCAGGAACTTGGCCTTGGCAGATTCACGAGACTCCCAAAGGTCGCGTCGCATGGTCGAGGCGATGGCAGGCATGATACCTGAGTTGGACCAGAGTGGTTGCATAATGGGGTCGATGAGGATTAATGAGTGGAACAAACGAGGGTTGGAAAGAGCGAGGAGAGTGCTGGATGGAGGTCAGTCTTCGATCAGCCTAAGAAGAAACATGTGGTCACTTACAGTTGGGCGCCGCCCATGCTATGACCAACTCCCACCAAGGGGTGAGGCATTTGATCGCTTTTCTGAGTTATCAAGGCCAGAATATCCCGGGTATTATCCCACCAGCTCGCTAAAAGGGGTCAGCAATTTACTGTAGCCCGTGATACATACATTTACGGAGACGTACGATCATTTCCAAGAAGCTTCTCATTTAAGACGCCCGACTGACCCTGATTCCACATGTCCGCGATCCAGATGGAGCGGATGCGCACACCACTGTTGGCAAGCCGCTGATGCAGGTCATCCCAAAGAGGCTCATACAATTCCTGGTAAGAGTGTCAGCATGTTCAACGCAATCGCTCTCTGGTTAAGGCGACGTGCCTTGGGAAAGCCATTCGCATGGGCGCCGATGATAGTGACATCTCCGAGTTGCGGGTTGGGGTTGTCTAAGGGGATGTATTGCTTGACAGCTAGTTTGATCTTTCCAGCGTCAGCATCGCCGTTGACCGTAGCCGTGGCATACTCGCGCGTGTGGGCGCCGTTGACGATGTGCTCGACAATGCGAAAAAACTTCATCGTAACCGCTGCAGTCGTTCAATTCCTCCTGAAGTCCAAGCCTCGCAGATACAATGCAGGCGCAGGTGTAACGTTCGCGTTCAAAGAAACAACATAGATCCGAGGTACCACTCGTCGTTATGGCGGGTGATGTGGATTGAAATGCTGCCCAGGCCCTCCCCAGCAGCCGGGGTACTATGTCCCGAGATGGCCATCACAAGAACCCTGCGTCTACGCCGCGACAATCTTGCCTCGGTCGAACAGTGGGGCGTTATCGGTCGCACTGCTCCACTCGGCTATACTTCTCCGCATTCGCCTGTAAGAAACAGCCGGCAGCTGATCCGCAACTCCGCAACGGGCTTCGACTAACAAGGCCAACAGCCGCCTTCGCGTCGGCCCGCATTCAGTAATCCTTAAATCGTCGGGAGAACGACCAAAACAGATGAAGCCGGGCTGGTCAACTCTCCATGAGACAACAACGTTGCATTCGACCTCCACAATTGCACTTGTGCAGCGTGGCGTTGTCGAATCCGACCTCGACATTCGGTCCCTGCAGGAGACCGCAACCTTAACTCTTATAACGTGGCTTCAGAGCCCTGATTTGACTATAAGCCCTCCTGCCCGGCCTGCTGTGTCTTCCTGTGGCTGACATGTCACCGCTGTCACGAGCATTCAGGTAACGAACGAGAGGGTCAAAATGGCTTTAATTACCAAATGCCTCTTCGTCTGTCTACAAGTGCTAGAACTTTGGGAAACCAGACCCATCCCATGTAATGCCATGACTATGACCCAACATATCGACAGATAACCCCAGAACCAAAACGTGGATATGGCCGATTGCCCAAAACGAATGCTCAGTTGCTCACACCCTCGCAAATCTTTTTAACGCTGATGGTTCCAGCTTCACAAGTATCTTCCAATCCCATCATCCTCTCTTGTTTCACTATATCCTCCACTTTTTTATACTCAACCGCAACCTTATCCGTCTGCACGATCCTGCCCAGTGGCAGCTCCACCTCTTTTGTTGTACTTCCTCCTCGGCTATGCCATCCGCCACCAGCTACACTTGTCCTGTTCCCTCCGGAGGTTCCAGGCCTTATTCCCGTAACACTATTGCTTGTGCTCCTCGTCCCAAGTAAGACACTCAGCCCCGCGAATCGGCTCAAACTATTCGTTATACTTCTCGACAGCTGCCAATTTTCTAATCTACTTTTGCTACACCATACTGAGGAGTCCAAGCCCCCACCTCTCCCATGGTTCCTGCCTTATCTAAGTGCGTTGCCCTGACTCGTGCTGACTCTCATGTTCTTGCTGCCTATTTCTGCCATGCTGAGGATAGTGCCTGACCTAGCTTCTGTGTAAATATTTCCAAGCTTAGAGCTGTGATAGAAGTACACCGGTGCTGGTGGTGGCCTCAAGTCTCAGAGCACGCAACATCGGGACGGAAGCTGCAGTGATAGTGATGGCCGCCTGTGCTGCCGCTAGGATGACAAGCATCGTGGTCGACTCGGTAATTGTGGACTGTGAGATGGACGCCAGCTGTGTGATCTTAACGATAGACGCAATTCCAGCACTGCCACTGTGTTGACTTCGTGGGTTATCACCACCGCCATGGACGCATGGTTCGATTGTCTTACGATACTCTCATGCTCATGGCTACCAAAACATTAAATTTCTCTTTACGATTCACCGTCAGATCTGCAATAGTTTTCCAAGGAAAAAGCGCTAAGACGATGTCCATAATCCCGGAGTACACTTCGCAGCGCTTAGCAACCGTCCTTTTTGACTCATTTCAAAGACTGAATTGACAATTGCAAATATGTTGCAATGAACCTGAATCTGTTTCGAGATGCGACTCCTGGGACCCACGGCCGCCACAACTTGACATGTAGGTATTGTCCCCAGGTCAAAATATGGCTCCCCCAAAAACAATGTTCACCGTGAGGATGATCCCCACCACCACAATGTTAACCCAACCGGACGATATCCGCAAGATCGTGAAGTCAAATGAGGTCTTGCTCCATAGAGCTGCTAGAATGTAGAAGGTGCCAGCAAACTTGAATATCATGAGGAAAATCTCCAAGTTATCGAAGTTGAACTGGGACAGAGGTCTCCCAAATCCCAACTTCACACGCTGATATGAACATACAGTGTGCTACAAGAGAAACCTAGATATACATAAGTTTTCTTCATTCTCTTCTGGTGTTGAGTTTATCAGAGATCAACTTACCCATGACAGAATGAGTAGATGGCCATCCCACCATAGCCCTCGATGTCTCGAAAACTTGCAATGCACTCTCAATAACAGGAATGATGCGGATAACGCAGTCAAGAACCAGAGTGTACATTTAGTTTGTGGGCTAGAGTCGGTCGTCGGTGGTAGTCGAGAGACAAAAGCGCCACTCCTGGAGGTTAGACGAGGCTTCAATCTCTCCATCAGCTGCCTCTTTGCTAAATGTTATTGCGTGTTTCTAAGGATACTTGCTTCCGATAGGCAAAGCTGGACGTGTGAAATGTAGTTGGCGGGAAAAAAACTCGTGGACATAGGAAGCGATCGCGTGTTGTTAGGCTTCAAAGGCAAGACTTTGTTGATCCAAGGATGCTCCCTCCTGAGCTCACAGAGTTCGTACTCCTTAGAGTCCTTCTAAAACATGAGACTTAGGAGATCAGCGTTTTGATCAAGACATCCCTTAAGGTTTTGCAACATGTCAACGGACGGAAGCCAAGTCCTTAGTAAAAAGGGCGCAAACAAACAAGCAATGGACAACAAAGAAAAGAGGCGTCTAATATCGGGTTGGAATGAACTCGCTCTAATCACACAGACTCATATCATAAAGTTATTAACAAAATTTCTGCGTAAGCATACGAAGTTGACGATCTCACTCGCAGACGATCTAGACATAAGATGAGTGCCAGCAGAAGAAATAATGATCATCGTTAGGGATCCAAGTTACTCCTACAAACGAATATCTGAGACAAGTTACTATCATTCGTTATCTTCTTACCAAGACCAGGCTGCAGTTTCGGCCTACCCGACTCTCTATTTTGCAAGAAACAGATAGACAACTCTCGATTGAGGTCATGCAGATCCAAAGCGGCAAAAGTGTGGATGCACCCGGGATCGAACCGGGGACCTTTCACACGCGCAGCTCAAGATGCGAAGCGAAAATCATACCACTAGACCATGCACTCATCAGTGGCAGGTGGCGTAATATTGATTAGTATATCATTGTTTATCATCATATCTTCTAGTTGCGAGACCCATCAATATTTGATTAGAAAGCGTGCTAAAATGGGAATTCTCGGGGTAGCAACTTGGTGGCCTGCTCATTCAGCTTATTGGACACGGCATATCTAAATCGTTGATACTGCTGGTAGCTTAGTGTATCTACAATATATCGAACGGCTCAAGTTCATGCTCCGTAAGAGTTTTTCGGACTCATTAGCAATAGCAGGAAGCTTATGGATGAGCAGCTAGTGATCATAACATAAATAAGTCCTTCCTTCCTTGATCTCCTTCCTATTTGCAGAGTGGTACTCTACAAAGGTTATAACCAACTTGGGACATGTTCCCTCAAGTGTAAAGTGGGATCAACTCAGGGTTTTGATCGCGTGATTCACTGGTCTGTCCATCTACTTTTCCTTGATTCTCAACCATGTAAACATCAGGACTCGAACCTCATGACCGTCTATCTGCTCATTTAGCGGTTCCCCGTATCGAGACTAGCCAGCAATGTTAATCTTAGTGCCGTTGAGCTTTGGGGAAAAGGGCAGCAAGCCCGCTTCGACGCAATCCCCATAATCTTCCACCTAAGCATCCTTAAGAACTTCTTAGAGGCTGCTAGCAACTATAGCTTGGCAGCGGTGTCAAAATCCACGCATTGACCTTACTTTTAGCATTGGGGACAGTTCGGATACTCCTTTTCTACTTTCATCATGGAGCACTGGCTGTCTACCATTAGCATTTCCAAATTCAACGCCATCAGGGAAGGCACACCAATGGCATAGACCATTCTCGGGAACGGAATGATCGCCTTATCATTCGGGCACCAGTCACTTCCTGCATACACATTTTTGCACACTTGGTATACCGTCCTGTCACACCAATTGACAGTAACCACAACACAGCCTATTCTGCACCAACGAAGCTTGGGATAATTTACTCCCTGTGGTTGCTTTCCTCACCTCAAGAAGTACATCAATAAACGCCTCTTTCTTAAGCAGAGTAGTTAGATTCGTTTCAAGTTTTCTCAGTTGACGGGACTCCGCTCGTATCCACTATGCACACATATAGTTCAAGCTCATGTTGCTTAGCAGGGGAGTGTCAACGTAGATTTCAGCATCTCACTCTTATCTCAAAATATCTGGCGTTGACCAGACAAACTGTTGGAGCTGTAATGATTGTTTCCCAGTGATTTGGAGGGTTGGAATCTTTTTGCTTTGTCATTGTACAGGTCTGTCAGTTCTTGGTGGTGACTGTTTTGGTGGCCATATTTCAAGGCCAGCCGGCACGCTTTATCCACGTCACGAGCAGCAAGAATTAGCTGATCATTGTACTTGGCGACAAAGTCTCTGAAAAGAGATTGTGGGATCACAATGGAATGAGGGCTAAAGTGAAATCCAAGGAACCTACCAATTCCTTGGCATCTCGTTTTCAGAAGTAACGGTGTCTTGTGTGACCACAACGAAGGGAATCTTTCGCTGTATCAGATTCATGGTGGTATCGATGACACCGGAAGCCAAGTTTTGACATTGTTTCCCTCAATTGGATGAATGTATTGTATTGAAGGGCCACGCCTGTCATATGGGCATTGCAGTCCAAGAAGAAATATCCTTGACAGCCGACATATAGAACACCGGTGACACAAGAGCTGAGAAGGGCAAAGGCATATCTGATTGGTAGAGCCCAGGAAATATTGAGGGATGGCAATGATGAGTTAGATAACCTTTCCACGCTGAGGAAAACCCCTGAAGATCGCAGGAGACCGCGAGGTACTCACAAGGGCAAAGGGGTTTTGTAAAGGGACACGATGAAGGATTTCTCTTAGTTTTCGTCTCCCGAACACAAGGACACTGAGGATCAAGAAAGATTATTACACGTAGCAATTGACTTCGCTATGCACCCCACATTGTCAGTGGCCATTATCTAACCCATTTGACCCATTGCCGATCCCTGCCTGCACCAGACCAAGTCACCTGTTACAACGCCAGACGAAGCGAACATTGGTGATTTTTTCATAGTTGGTCGATTCTTTTACAAAGTACTACAATTGAGAAGATAGAGACAGATGTAGTTAAATATATTTATTAAGCCTACTAATTTCTTATAGAGCATGTCTCATTCTAGAACCGCAGCTAAGTCTTTTAGAGCGATCCAAAGCTAGAACAAGCAACACACTAGGCTTTCTACAACTGGGCTGTGAAGTCCCGAAACACTAAGAAAATACTTGGCTATGAATCAAAGCCAGCGTTTCCCATGCAATAACTGAATCGGTTTCCGTAGCACTGCCATCATATCTGAAAGCCGTCTGAGCCTTTTCCCTTAGGTTTTAACTCATAACTTAGGTAGGCTAACGAAATTATAATTCATACTCATTGATACTGTCTTTAGCTTTATCACACAATGCTTACTCCATGACAGTTGCGCATGGTCGTCCATGTACATAAACGAGGACCCCTGTTGTGAGGGGGGAATTCGGGACTACTCTAGATTATCAAGAGCTTCCAATTGTCACCCCGACTACGAACCTTCAACGTCAAAAAGAACGATGCATCTGAGTGTGAAAGCACCCGATTCAACTGGTCCACCATGCCTCCCTTAGGGTCAGCCAGCTATGTGCCAAGGCCTGGGGGCTCGGCCTCAGGATCGACCCAAACAAGACGGAGGTCCTCTACATTCCCCCCCGCGGGGCCCGGGCGAAGCGAAATAGGATAAACCCCTCCAGAATCTCGACTCAGATCGAGGGAGTGTGCCTCTCCCCGAGCAAGTCCATCAAGTGGCTAGGAGTCTCGCTAGACCCCAAGCTCCGCCCTGCAACCCACGCTGCTGCCAGGGCATCGGCCACGGCCTTGGTGGTAGGCCTGGTCAAACGCCTATCCAGCACGAGCCTTCGGGGTTTCCCCCCATCGGCAGGCCCCAATATTTTCAGCACAGTCGTCACCCCCTCTCTCCTGTATGGCATGGTACAACCCGAGACAGGCCCAACTAGGGCTGGGGTTAACGGTCGCCCAGTTCCATCCAGACTCACGACGGTTTGGTCGTCTCTCGCCAAGATCGCGAACGCGACGCTGAGAGCGATATTCCCGGTGTGGAGAACGATACCGACCCCGACACCGTGGCTCTGGTGGTTGGCTGGTGTGTACCCCGAGTACCTGCATGACAGAGAGCGGGCACGGTGCAGAACCTGTATCAAGATGTTACCGGCTGACCACCCTCTGTATGTAAGGCTTGCCCGACCACCTTACCGCGGCTGGTCCCGTTTGCATCAGGCAGCTTTTGGTCTCGAGGCTAGGCCCCAGTGGGAGCCCAAACGCCTAGGCGTTAGGGCGTGGCTCGGCCTCCCCCCCCCACGAAGCTCCCAAGAGACGCTAAGTTCCTCCCCCTGACATGCGTGGATGGTGGCGGGCTAACAAGCCTGCCTCGGCCCTTTGGGATGGACACACATCCAAGCCTTTCCTCGAAAGGTTCTACCGGCAGTGTCTCTCCCGGTGGCTGGCGGAGGCTTCGGGCCATGGCGACTTCTCGGAGTACCATGTGCGATTCAACCACCCCCGGGGGCCGCTAAAGGACTGCCCCTGCGGCAGAATAGTGTCTAGAGGCTACTTCTTCACCTGCTCCTCGCTACCTTTAACAACTGCTCGCCGGCAGGATGGACCCGAGGGCGTTCTGGTTCTCTTTTCAACTATTCAAGTCCAGGGCCTCCCAGATCGAACTCTGGGGCCAGGCCTGGGATGCCGCCACGGGGCGCCTTATCCCAACGTTGAGACCCCTCCGCTTCCCCCTCCGTCGCGACCCCAGTCCCACAGGGGCATCGACCCCGACATCGATTCCTCGGATTCGGAGTCTGAATTGGAAATCCACATCCCCAGGTTCGTACAAGTGTGAACCTCCCATTCAACCCAGGACACACAACACCCCAGCCCCCTTGGCTTACACCGGTTTTGCCTCAAATTCAGGCTTTCCGTCGGCGTTACTTGTATATAGGTTAGTTCAGTAGCTATTGCTCGCCGTCGTCATGTGTACGACCTAGCACCCTCAGGGGTGGGCCCGGTCGAAAAATAGAATAATGATAATAATAGTCCCGAATTCATTCTTCATTGCAGGAGCTTCTGTTATCGCATTAAATATATATCCAAAGATACATATATGCTAGATTGTTATCCGATATATGGTCAAATGATGCGTAAGGGCAGGGTTCACTCCTCGATTATCATATATCTGTGGCTCATCTGTGCTAATATAAAATGCCAAGGTTTGTATGCAGCCTGACTGCTCTATGAAGCGTCTAGTGACAGACTTCGCGGTGTAGGTTGCAATTGATCGAGCTAGATTCCTTTAGCATAAAAAGTTTTCCTTCCTCCCATGGCCGAATTGATATATCTGAAAGAAATTTCCTTGACGCTTTCGGTTTCGTAGTTGCTTCTGTCGAAGCAGGAATGTTGTTGAATGCTGAACCATCATTTTCTATCCTAAGCAATTCCAAAAAGGATCCGGTTTATATATCAATCTCCCTCTGGGGAAATACTTGGTAAATTTCTATGCATTCGCTTCGGGGATTCCTGAGAAATGAGTTCAACCCCTTGTCGTAATTATTTGTTGGATGTAAAAAGAAAATGATGAATGTGGATGGAAGTATTTACTTAGGCGTTGCCCTGCAGAACACGCGGCCATGAGGGAATCTGTCAAGCACAATGGGTGCCGCAGAATAACAACGCTCTACCTTATAAACTACACACGCTTGAAGGTGGATGAGCATGGCTCTTATTTAAGGTCAAGTGTGCACCTGACCCCAGTCGAGCCCGGGCTGATTGAGGTAGGTCAACGGTGACCACACCGTGGTCACTTGCAGCTAACATTATTGCATTAACCTCGGGGAGTTGTCAGGAGGGCAAGTGAGCATGCCTGACTGGGGTTCTCAGAGAAGGAAGAATCATTCATAGCTTTCATCCCTTATCCACTGACCTTCGATAGGTCCTAAGGAAGTAGATCCATATACCTAACTGTAAGGCTTTTATCCCTTTCGTCATGTTTTATATCAGACCCATGATAAAGTCAGGCGATGAATCACCTAAATTAACAGCTGTGACTACCTCTTCCATGAGTTCGCTCACTGCCCCTCCATGTGTGGAAGGTACACGTGCTCGATCCGATCTCTCAAGACCCTTTTTGCTGACTCAGGATCCATGCGACCCTCCGGACCAGCCCTCATGATTTTCCCAACAAGGAACATTAATTTGCCCTGTGGGTAGGCTTTGATTTTGCCTTGTTTGAATCGCAAAAACTCGGCCAAGACTTTGTCCTCACCCTCAACTACCTTATCTGCAAGCTCGGCATAGTCTTGTTCCGACAATTCGTTGAACCAAAGATCGTCCGCCTCGATGGCCTGAGTGACCTTACCACGAGGTATTTGCCCGCGGAAAACAGCCCACAAAAGTTCCTTGGCTACCTTGGCTGTTATCTCTCGGCGGTGCAAGTGGAACAGGATGGCAGCCAGGTCGACAGAAGGGACATTGCACTCTCCATCAGGTGTCATGCCTAGATCAGCTGAAACTTCAGTAAGCTTGCCCAGCTCGTGAAGGCACCAGTTTGCGGCGAGAAGGGCATGACGTTGACCGGCCGGTGAGTCGGAGTTGGGAGAGGCACTGCCGGCGGCACGCAGACGCTCCTCCAGCGAGTCCAACACGTTGTAAAAGTACTGGATTCGAGCGCCATTATCGAGTTGAATGAGCGACATCGCATCTTTGGTCGTCAGGCCGTAAAGCTCAATTAACTCATCGATTTCGGCATCTGGCAACACTCCCAAAGTACCCTTGAGGTGCTGGACCAGATCCTCTCCGATTACAACGGGGCCGAGGTCTGGATCAGGCATATAACGATAGTCAACTTCACCTTCCTTTCCACGAAGACGGCGAGTTTCGGTGTTCCCGAGTGACCATCCACGAGTCTCGCCCAACACGACACCGCCAGCTTCCAGAATGGCAATTTGGCGATCGCGCTCAGCAATGATGGCATCCTCCACGGCCTTGAAACTGCTCAAGTTCTTGATTTCCGTTCTTGTTCCCAACTTTCCTGTTGCAATGTCTTGAACTCTCCTTACTGACACATTGATGTCAGCACGCAAACCACCCGTCTCCATGCCCGACACACATGCATCGACCGAATTGAGTAACATCTGCACCTTCCGAACCAGAGCAGCTGCTGTTGCTGGGTGGTGTATTTCAGGAAGGGTGATGATCTCAATTAGTGGAACGCCGACTCGATTGAAATCTAGCCAGTGAACGTTGCCTGGCACGGCGGTCGTCTTGGCTGTGTCTTGTTCCATTTGAATCTGGCGAATTCCGATCTCGATGCATTCTCCGTCCTCGGCAGCAATGCCATCACGAGCATAAAGCATAACGCGGCCATCTCGGGCAAAAGGGTGGTAGTACTGGGTAATCTGGTAACCGGCGGGTTGATCCCAGTGGAAGTAGTGCTTTCTGTCGAAACGACTAATGGGCTGGATAGTACAGTTGAGGGCGAGGGCAGCACGGACAGCGGGGATGAGTGTCTCTGCTTGAAAAAGTGGCTGTGAGCCAGGCATTGCTACATCAAACAGGGCTACATGGCTGTTGGGTGTGTCATTAAAGGACGTGGCTGCAGGGGAAAACAGCTTGCGGGCGGTGTTAAGTTGGGCATGAATCTCGATGCCCACCGTCAATTCCCATCCAGGGACAGTCTGGTTGTCGGAATTCTTTTTCTTTTTCTTTCCTGAAGCCTTAAGAGCCTTGGCTTGTTCCTTGAGCTCTTTGCGGAGGGGCGTTAAAGGGACGTTCGCAGGTGCAGCACCGGCTGGCGTGTCGATCTGAGTCGAAAAAAATCGAGACTGGCGAAGAGCTGATGTTGTCGAGATGCGGGTAATACCGCCTCGCAGACATCCTCGCCGGCTCAGTTGGCCATACAGAAGATATCTGCTAAGTTCCGCGGTTGGTATACGACCCATTGTTGTGTCCTAGAAAATCACCAAACTCACTTTTTGGCTGGCGACTACACGTCATGGCTTGACGAAATTCCGGGTGTGTAGTTGCTGATATTTTAGTCCCACATGTAACGTCTACCAGCTGTTATCGGCTGCCAAGGCGCACTGGATAGGAAGGGAAGCTCCACCATGTACCCCGTTTGAACAGAGTGCACACCTGACCCTGTCATCACGATAAGCTGCAGCTCATGTTGACCACCTTCGTGTCTCAAACGGCACCTTTGACACTTCCATTGCCTTTGTGGTTTCATACCATTTCCGGAACATCTACTTGGCTGCAACATAACTTTCAGGTACCAACATTGTACTTTACAAGTGCTCCTGCTTCAAGGAGGTTGGTTCAGAGTTCCAAAACATAAGCATCAAATCTTGATTGATCACCACCTTTGGCTTTAAGAGGATGCTAGTCATGTTCTCTGGATGGTCACTTGCTTATGTCAGGACTGTCTTTAAACGTTAAAACCTGCGGAAACAAACGAATGGCTCCTTTCAACCTTCAAGTAGGAAAATGAGACAGTCTCGGAACTGCAATCGGTCAACACCCAACGAACCAAAAAGGAACCGAGGCAGTGGAGTGAAATTGATCCCACTTTAATCCCTGAGCAAACTGATCATCTCGACAAGGCTTCCTCCAAAACAGAGCCAACAAAATCAACCTCCTCGTGTTCGACAACAAGAATCACTTATCTAACAATCCTTATTCCCCTCCTCGTCCACTCCTTTCCCACGTTGTGCCTTTCCCAGTCAAGCCAATCCCTCCAAGACCAGCTCTCATGCCACCGTTTCCTATGTCTCTGACCACTTACTCTCTCTCGTGGTCTTTCTCTTGACGAGAACCGCACCCTCGTCCCTCGTCGCCGCTCAGATCCCAGTGCACAGCAACATCTTCCTCCATCTCGATTTTGTCCACATTTTCGACAGAGGTTCAGGTGCGCATGACGATGAGAGTAGAAGCAGCGCCAAGTGTAGAGAGTGACTGTGCGGTTGCAGAGGGGACAGAAGTCACGGTATGATATGTATTTTGGGTAATTCGAGGAGTAGTAGTAGGGCATTGGGCCTGGTTTCCAGTGTGTGGCGGTCTTTTGGGATATCGTTACTGCTGCTCTCGTCTTTGAAGGTGCGTCGACCACCAGGACTCGTGATTCGAGTCGTCTTTGACTGGCTGAATTTTGTAAATCTGTACCTATGCGATGTTGGATGAACGAATTCACAGCAGAAGATAAAATAAAGAGCAAATAGGAGTCGGGTGAAATCTGAAGCTTGAAAATGAATATGGTCGCCGGGACAAACCAATGAGTGACAGTTGTTAAGTATGGGCTCCTCTTTGCTACTCTTTGGAAACCTCTCAAATGAGTGTTTAGAAATGAGTTGATAGAAAAAGGAAGACCATTCTTTCAGTCATCACGGCAAGCATCGAGATATTTATTTTTGGCTCCTTGTCACCGATCACCTCAAAGCTATGACAGTCTTCATCATGTGTGTGTTCTTGATAACACATGCTCTACTCAGGTGAGCATTCAACTTGTTCAGTATGCTAGGAGCCGGCAGCCGCTGCTGGTATGGGCTTGATGGCTGTGCGTAACCTACCGGTTGGGCTGGGCGCCCGGACAAGGGAACGGTCGATGAGGGGCAACAAACCACAGCCATATCATATTGCACTCTACGATGCAAGGCTAAGTGATAAGAATGCCTTCTGAATAGGTTCCTTCCTTTCGAGGATGCATTGCACACTTCATCCTCAAATCCTGTGGTACCTAGGTACCGGACATGTCACTGCACACCACCCACAACCCCACTCGCCTTATGGTAATTGTCATGCATCTGGTTTTTGCGCCCACGTGGGAAAGCCACTTAATCAGTCAAACAACCTACTAAGATCAAGTGCACTTGTCAGACGACGTAAATGCAACTATCCAAGTGCAAGTCTCATTACAACATTTATCCCTATATAACAGGCAGTCTTTGATGTCGAGCCGGCTCTTCAGGCTTGAATCTCGTCTACCAAGTCCGAACTGTAAGTGCTCATCCCAAACTCATCAGCTAATCTCTGTGAAATCTCTACCTCAGGTCTTAAGCTTTGCAAAGGATACTGTGCGAGAGACTCCGTTCCACACTGTGTAATATGGTTTCAGGATCTTGTTTCCATGAATCCAAGCCCGCCGCTGAGCAATTGGCTCCCGCATCTTATAATCACTACCTGGATCAGCGATAATAGCTGAGCACCATCCCGGCTTCCCTGGGGTTGGGCCCATATTGAAGTACTTCTTCTCCAGCACTGCATCAAAAACCTGGGAGCCGGAGCCAAAGTGGAAGACCACATCCTTAGCCACGGCATCGAGTAGAGTGCACGGTGCGCCCCAGACCCCTCTCTCGCTGTCGATCCGTTTAATCAAAGGCGAGATGAGGGCGAACAAAGCTTTTGCAGTCTCGTAATCTGGAGCGACAACATTGTAGCTGCCGGTATCGACCAAGGTGACTGAATTTGTTGTGTTGGGAACAGGAAAGACGCCATTAATGCACACCCCGGAAATGTCAAGGACCCACCACTGCGTGACCTCAGACAGTGGCCAGCTGAGAGGAACCGCTTTAAGGGTGTTGGGATGGTAGAGACTTATGTCTGTACCGCCGATAGTGAGTATGCCATCTCGTGCATGGTTACCGCACTTGACCAAAGCCAAACCCCATTCCGGGCTGCTTAGCTGACCTTGGCTGATAAGACCCCAGTAGAAGGTGGTGTACTCATTGCCCGTTGGGTACCATGCACTTGTGGCACTCGGCGATAAGCCGAATATGCCGTCTCCGGCCAGCTCGTGGAAGTGTTCCGAATATGTGTAGCAAAGCATAAACTCCTGTGCCAGGACCGTCCGGCCACCTAGGCGAACCGCGTCAGTGATAACAGTGCAGTTCGCAAGTGCACCATTCCCAAAACCAATGAGCGTGTCGATGCTAGGCTGGTCCGAGAACGTGCTGGAGACTGACCAATTGAAGAGCGTTGCATTTCCACATGTGGTGCAATTCTGGCTGGGAATAATGATGTGTTGAGCTCCAGTGTCGAAGAGAAGTTGGCTTTATAACAGTTATTATCGTCACATTTCTTCCACTTCATGTATCTGGAGACTCACAACTGTTGAGGGGGGGTTCCGACGGTGATATATGTGTACCAGAAAATTTCCTCCGCCGGTCTCGGCCCGACCTTTTGAGAAAACAGGTCGATGTTATATCCGCTGCTGTTTGCTCCGCCACAACCTCCTCCTGATCTCTTATACTGATCTGCTTGGTGTGTTGGAAAACCAAGACTGGACCAAGGGTGCGAGCCTGGTACGACAAGAGAGAGTGCTGAGGTCAGCCACGCAAAGACCGAGCATGACAACAGGAACTTCATTGTGTCAATATTTGCTATTACAAACTGATCTTTGATGTTGCTGAAAACTGGTTGAGGACGCTGAGCTCTTGGTGGCTTTGCCATGAGAAGATGCTCATATTTATGGAGCAAGGGTCTGTTGAGGATCGAAAAAAAGTTACAGAGAGCACCACCACCGGATGGATACATTAGCAATACGAGGAACAATTCCCTAATCTAGAACGATTCTTACAGTACCTCAGTGAGACAGTTTTTAGATTTGTCCAAAGTCTCGTTTGTGGTGTTCGATACAGACAATACTAAGGAGCTGAGCCAACCAATGGAATACGAAGCTACGCACCAGATTTTTGCCCATGTTCTCCCAGAACGCAGCGCACAGTGTCGCAGTTCAGGAGAATATATACTTGCACCGTGGTATGGAACAAAGCTGCAGTGTCAGGTTCAAACTGGTGCAAGTCATCAACAACACACATGCAGCACGGTGTTTCCACTTCCTAGAACTCATTTCAACTGCCGGTTAGCGGCAGGAGCCTCACTGCCAAGCCCGCAGTCAATACACAGCCCATCTGACATTGAATGGCCCACCAACCATCGAGCGTTTAACTCTGTGTGCTCACTACTCATTCCAATTACAAGACCCGAAAGAGCCCTGTATCAGTATTTATATGGCCTATCCGGTCCAGTTGCAGCTGCCCTTCCACACCATGGCTGTCGCAAACATCTTCCTCTCGACTTCATGTTGCAAACTATTGATGCCATGTACGATACCCGTCGGTTGGGTGTTTGATTGCTGTGAATGGCTTCAAGTTGTTTGCTTGAGGTGAAAAAAACCGGTAATGTAGAGATCCCAGTTCAGCTCTTCAAAAAGGTTGCGCTGGGCCCATCTGTGTTGCTGGATCCTGTGCACCCTTTTTCAATCACATTTGCGTCATTACGTTGTCGAAATAAAACTTAGAATGTTTCTCAAAGAATAACAGAGTACTGGCACATTTCTTGAACGCATGGCAAACTTCCAGGTTTGATGTAATTCTGGTTTCCTCATGCTGTGGTTAAGAAAACTACAGTGAGCTTCTTGGGAGCTTATACCACTCCAGCACTCTGACCCAGTCACTAACGACAATCAGTCAGTTTCACATTATTTCTGTTTCCATCCAGATTTGTCATTGTCATTGTTATGAAAGCTTGGAGTTACTCTATCCTACTATTGCTTAAAAGTTATATATGCACTCAACAGTGTGTGCATCACCCTCCAGAATAGAAGTAGATTGTGAGTCAATGTCAGATCACAGTGAGAAGAGCTGGTGTGTAAGATATTCCTTTCAGAGAGAGCATTAGGTTGTGTGACTCGTTATCAGCGGTCACTGATGAGCCGCTCTTCTCGTTCAGTTCTTTGCAGGTTTGGTCTATCGCTACTGTTGGATGGATCGACTCACCTCAGTTAAGTTTGTACTACATTGAACAAGGAAAGACATTGTTTTGATCTTATTCAACGCTCAAAATTGAAAGATAGAGTAGAGTCCTGACACTCTTTGGCATAACACACCGGTATCATCATTTTTACACTAATTCAGTCACAGAGTGGTTGTCACACCCCACATCGTCAATGGCTATTTTACAACCCATTTGACCAATTGTCAATCCCTGCATACACCAGATCAAGTCCCCTGTTACAGTGGTCGAGTCATGCTTCCTCGCTGCACAACCAGGTCCATGAAAAGTCGCAGACATCGTGCATCCATATCCCTACATTCAGTCAAAATCAGTGTCTTAAATCCTAATCCTTTGCTAATGATTGCGTTCATCTCTCAAAAACCTACTTGGCACTGGCTGACGACAGCTGGTCTTCCAAAGGTTGTTGATCCAGATAGTTTACTGACTTGATTATTCGAGGATAATGCTGACATTATCATCAGCGCTCTGTCTCCTGGAAAATTTGCAATAGAGTGACTTTATGCTTGATATATAATTTTAGGTTCTGCATTGTATCATATAGCATCCATTATCCGCGGCTCTCAGAAGTCAATGACTGTGGTGATACCTGAACTTTGCATCTCATAGACTAATCGTCCAGTTTTGACTGATCATATTATCGCATGTATAGCTTGATGGGCCCTGCTCCTTCTTCATTTCTTGCTATTTTCAGGCTCTTTTTATACCTATGGAACTCATTACGGGATAATTTTCGTGCAAAAGCGGCTTCTCGGGTTGCCATGGACTGAAAGATAAGTATAAAGACCTCCCGAGAGCGAACGGTGTCTCTGGGATATATAAATTTTCCTTAAATCCAGCGTTATGTTTACGAAGGATAGGACAAACATACGGGTTCCAGTTATCGATTGGATGCAGTGACTCTCAGGAGGCTTTGGGTGTGCTTGGTGAGTCTGGCAAATCAAAGCAATGGATAGTGCATTGGACTTGATGGAATCCAATGCACCAGTCTTCATCATAGCTAATCCCAAGATGGGATCAAATTATCAATGATAAAAACAGGAGGAGATTTCCCTTCGCAGGATGCTCTACTCACCAAACTTTTCACTTTCACCAGGGATCTGGAAATCTCGTAGAGGTCACTCACTTCCCGGATTCGCGGTCCCCTAACTAACCTCGATCAGTAATCGCATTCTCCATCAACATGAGGGTTGCGACTCTTTCTTCTGTCCTGATGGCTTTGCCTCTGGGTGACCAAGTGGTATCTAGCTCGCCGACTGATGAGTCAGAGGTCACGACTCGCAATGTCAAGACTGTCAGCAATGTTAGGATCTTTCGCAATGGCTCTGCAACTGCTCTTGTCGAGCTTGGTAGTACTTCAGCTCAGTTCAGCTGCGACAGCCTTGTGTACGGTCTGACTCATGATGACTGTAACTATATGTCATCGATTGGCATGGCTGCCCAAGGCCGTAATGAGCGGTCCAACAACGGTGTGATCTGGATTGGCTCCGACGGTCCGAACACTTTCAACTTCATCAATGCTTTCGATGGCCCGATCATTATTGTTGTTTGGCACAACCCGGTCGGCGACCATGAGTCAAGCTTTATGAACGTTCGCCAGGCCATGGTGACCTACTCCCTTCCCTCTCGTGGCAGTGCCGTTCAGATCTCTGTCGCAAACGGTATTCCTGGAGGTTGGGCCGCCATTTACAACCGCGACACCGCTCTGACTCAGTACGGTCAGATCGACAACACTTGGGGTGAGTTCACCTCCGGCACCTACGCCACGGTCGACGTTTCGAGGCTCGTCAACATGCAAGGCAATGCCATGTCGATTCAGACTTTCAACAACAATGAGGACAACGGCGATGCTCGCTGCATGAGCGATATGCAGACCTGTGTTTTTATCTGCAAGAATGTAGCCGCTCGTACCTGCGGCGAATCTGGCACATATGACTTAATCAATTGCTCAGGTCCGGATCGTACATATGCCATCGACGGCACTGGCAACCCAACTGGCGGTTGCCAGGGTTGGAGCACCAATGGTCATTTGGAGGTTGTGCTGTCCTGAGAAGTTGGAAAGACACCAAGCGGAATTCTAAATCGAAGAGTGCGGGGGAAGAGATCGCTCCGGTCGTGCAGATGGTCTCACAGGACTTTTGATAGACGGCAAGTTTTCTTGTTGAAAATAAATCCGACACTTGAAATTCTTGAGAGCTGTATATGTCGATATCGACATTCTGACCACACAGTAGTTTTTGTAGATTGACATGCCCGGAGTGACAGGTCCATCTGGCCCCAACTCCTCATGCTCGGTATTGGAGATAACCTTTTAAACATAAGAGCAACTATCCTTGAGAGCAGTGGTATCAGATCGCACCTATTCAGTTGAAAATCTATTCCTTCAATATTCCTACAATTCGCTTGCCCTACTGGGGTGGTTGTCCGATCGATATGATGGGCGCAGTGGAAGGAAGCGGAATGGCTCTGGCGCTTGTCGAGATGACGTTAGAGAGGCCCTGGCTGCCCCACCGCACAAGTGCCGCCAAGAGTGGGGTGATGTCCACCAAGGTCAGTTAGAGAAGCTAGGATGTTTTAGAATGACAGATTATCAGTTCACGGTTGACACAACCCGCGTTGCCAAGAAACAAACGCGACTGGCTTTCCTCTGCAGGTACGGAGTGTGCACCAGATTTTTGATGTGGCTAACATTGACCTTTTGTGCAAGTCTCCTACACAAGCTGACTTCCGCCGGACTCTTCCTCCTTTACTGATTCCAACTTCTGACGTTGAGCACACAAACATGAGCGACGCGCAGACTCAAGAGAACACCACAGCGCCAGCGGCGGACACAGCTCCCATCCCAGCCGAAGTTTCCACCCAGATGGAGAGCGCTGTTGCGACTCAGTCGGCCGAATCGGTTCCGACGGTTTCATCTGCAGCTCCAGCCCTGACGGACACCGCCGCCACGATCAACGCGCCCACTTCCCCAGCTTCTCCCGAGACTGCTGCTGCCACTCAAGCTACTGCTACTTTGCCGCCCGAGGAGACTGGGATTAAGGAAAAGCTTATTTCTGAGCAGCAGACACCCATTGCGCAGCTGTGGGCTCTTGCACAGTCGATCGGTCATCCCGAAATCTGGGGCGTCAATCTTGCAGATCCGGCTACCCATGTTCCAACACAAATCATTCTTCAGAAGTACCTTAACGCCAACGACGGCGATCTAGCTAAGGCCAAAGATCAGCTGCAAAAGACTCTCGAATGGCGTGCAAAGACGAAGCCTCTGGAGTTAATCAACAAGACGTTTAGCAAGGCTAAGTTTGAAGGTCTGGGTTACGTCACAACTTACACCGAGGAAGGTTCCAGCGATCCGGAAGGCAAAGAAGTGTTTACCTGGAACATCTATGGAGCAACAAAGTCAATCGAGAAAACCTTCGGCAAACTCGACGAGTAAGTACCTGTGGCAACTGACCTTTGTAAACAAGAGTGTCCTAACTGAAGCTTCAGGTTCTTGGAGTGGCGCATCGCACTGATGGAGCTTGCACTGAAAGAGCTTGATATTGGTTCTGCGACTAAGCCGATTACCGAGAACTACGACCCATACAAAATCTTCCAGGTACATGACTACAAGTCTGTCAGCTTCCTCCGCCAGTCGCCTCAAGTGAAATCTGCGAGCACCAAAACTATCGAGGTCTTCGCGCAGAACTACCCCGAACTGCTGAAGGAGAAGTTTTTTGTCAATGTGCCTGCCATCATGGGATTTATCTATAACTTCATGAAGCTGTTCGTCGCTCCTAAGACTATCAAGAAGTTTCATCCCATGTCAAATGGCCAGAACCTTTCTCGCGAGTTTGGTGCTAGCAAGATCACATCCCTAGGGGAGAAACTGCCGCCAAACTACGGAGGTAAGGGTGCTTCACTCGAGGACCAGGGAAAAGGTCCACTCTTGGAGTAAGGGCCAGGTATGAGAAACTATAAACTTAAGAAAAGAGACAACAGAGCCTGCTTTTAGGGAAGGATAGAGAGTATGCAGTTATAATTCCAAAGATTATGACAATGAAAATACTGGTATATCATTGTCTGATTCCTCAACACTGCTGAAGTAACTGTGAGGATTTAGATGGCTCAATACACTTGAAGTGACGCAGTGTAGTTACGGATGCGAGTAGCGAGGAAATAGTGGGCGCAAAGTTCCAGGGAACTAGGCGATCCACTTGATGGTCTTATTATGGCTGGCAGTGGGGTTCGGCAGCTGCTCCGCGGACAGCCCAGCAGGGGACCAATGAGAAGACCCCGAGTTGTGTCAAGAGGCGGACCAATCAAAAGGAAAAGCGCAGGCTGTTCTCGTGCTGCGGTGTTAACTGCAAGAAGAACCATCAAGACCAAACAAGCAATGGCAACACTCCTAGCCTTCTGAGATTGGTCCAGATCCGCATCAAGGTTTATGAACCTGAGACACAGGGAGTTCTCACACAGGTTCAGAAGCCCTGTGGTCGCCAGTTCGTTCACGTTACGGTTTGCGTGGCGAACCAGGTAGCCTTCCTGAAATGGGTTCGGGTTTGGTCCAAGGCTATGGATTTGAGAGACAAGAGTTTTCACACAGATTTAGAAGCATTGCGGTCATCAGTTTGCTGGTTGGGGAGATTCTCATCCGCGACGATCCAGCTAACCTTAATTGGTTTGAAGTTGGTTCAAGGCTTACAGATTTGAGAGACAGGATTTTTCACACAGTTTAGGAAGCACTACCGTCACCAGTTTTGCACGACTGTTTGTATTGCTGATTGGAAAGTTCTTCCTCTCATTCTCTTGCGACGAATCGATATGTCTTTTATATACAAAAGATCCGTCATTATTTCTACTAACAAAGGCCGTTATTCGTCAGTGAACCTTGGCTTTTACTTTCCTGGTACCCCCTGTTGGTCATGACATCGTCCTTCTTTTCTCTCATGAGAAGTCTATATACCTTTTGTGCTCAGAATTCTTCCTTCATCTTATAGCACCTTTAAGGCCTGTATCGTATTTCCTAAGATACTCTGTATCGAGCTTCCTGTGACGGTTCCAAACCCTCCTGGCATAGGTTCAAAGGTAGTGATCAGGTTTCAGAATCTAAGTGTAACGATCCAGACAGACCTCCTAAGATAGGTTCGATGGTTGCCAGGCTGCTGGATTGAGAGACAGGAGTCCTCACACAAGCAAAGTGGCCGTTGCGGTCACCAGTTGGTAAGCAACTGTTGTATTGCTGACTAGAGAGTTTTCTTGGGCCAGATGACCCTACTTGGAATCAATATACATCTCAGGCACTCTTGTGGCTTCCCTTCCTTCTTCCTCAACAGCACAAACTGTTGACAGTCAACATTCTTGGGTGATGAAGAACACTTTCCCAATGTTTGGTTGTTGCGGGCAGATATCCGAGTTTGACGGATCACAACTCCCTTCTACTCCAATCACGGAGTTGAACGGAAGCTACCGTCCCAGATAGAGTCATTGTTGGTCGTAATACTAGATACACTCTGTTTGTCATGACACCAAGGATCTTTTTCACAATTGTCGCTGGGTGAGAACAATGATAATCCTTCCATCACTCTTATTGGCCATTACCATAGACACAGCTTGACCTGTAAATTAGCCACTTGCTTTTCGCCAAGTTCGCCCTCCATTGGCTCCCTGCTGTAACTGATTAGGATTTCTAACGGTAACAAAAGCGCGTGCTCGCGCCCGGTGCTTTCTTTCTTCTGTTGTCGTTAGTCGTTGTCGGTGGTGGTGGCGGTGGTGGTGCGCCCTTGCCATTCTCTTGTCCTTCGGGCGCTGCAGGGTAGGCGGATCGGGGGCGCGGGGAGTTGTGTGCGGCCG